GCGCCTGACATCTCTTTTCTCAAATTCGTCCCTTGCAAAGAGGTGCTCTGTCGAGCGCTGCAGATCCTTGGAGAGAGCACGCGCTGATTTGCGGGGGAGTGGAGGGTGGAAGGTGGAAGTTGGCAGCGACCATTTAGGCCGAAGCGCATGCATGCATCCGTGCATGGATGCCTTTCTGTTGGCTGCTGCGCGTTGTCTGCAGCTCTTGAGCCTTTCGCTGCCACAGCAACTCAGGGAGGCAGAGCAGCACGAAACACTTCCTTGGAAAATCCTTGCCCGTATGGCCTTCTCCTCGACGGAAACACAGCCTACAATCAACATCGTAAGTTGGAGTGCGATCCTCTCTCGAGTTTGGTCGGCTGTACTACTCCCACCGCCTCTGACTTTTCTCCCCAAGGAAACGTAGACGGCTGCGCTGGATCTCTTCTTACCCTTCTGCTTTTTCTCCCTAGAAACTGATCCTGCTTTTTTCGCTTTGGAGGGGGGGAGAATCCGCTTAGAAACAAAGGCGGGAGAGCGTCCTGATCCCTCGCATGAATGTATGTATGTGTGTGTATGGATGCATGTACATATTAAGATATATACATATATATGTATATGTGTATCAATATATATATATATATATATATATATATATATATATATATATATATATATATATATATATTTTGTATGTATATATATATGTATATTATGTATGTGCACATATATGTATTTAGGTATGTATGTATATATGTATATTATGTATGTATAAATGTGTATGTACGTCAACATGTATGTTTTTGTTTGTGTGTGTGCTGCCGCTGCTTCCAGGACTGGGGAGCTCCCCCTACAGGCGATCCGATTAGCCCTCCTGCTGTGACACACCTTCGCATCATCTGCTCGCAGCCAGGAGCCATCAAAAGCCTTAGGGTGTGGGGTATCCCCCTGCCCCGCATGTCTGCTGGCAGCAGCCATTGAGCGCGCTGAAGGCGCATCCTTGCCTGACTTTTTTCCCGCTTTTGTGGTTTTTTTTCCGCTTTTGCGGCTGGCGGACGGGGGGAAGACGCGGTGCATTCAGGAGGAAACGGAGTGTATAGTCAGACGGCGAGACGTAGACGTCTCTCCGTCTGGAGCTGCTGCTTTAGCGACTAGTTCCAGGCGGCTGTTCGCTTGGGTTGGTGTAGGCTAACAGAAGGAGCAGCTTACATGCTGGCCGGTGGAGAGAAGAGGCGCAATGCCAAATACCCTTGCGTGATTGAGCGCGATTCTTCTTCGAAGTGGGCGTTTGCCTCATTCGCCGCTGCACCCATCATACCTCGAAAAACCAGGCCGCGCCAGCTCTACGTCAAGCGACACGCTTCCCGCCTTGAAAAAAAAAAAAAAATGCCGCATACTACTCTGAGAGCCAAGGGGCGTACAGGCTTAGCTTAGAGCAACCGAGGCAGAAAACAGGGAGAGACAGCCAGAGTCTGTTAGACGCCTTCTAAGGTGCTTCCTCTGGAGCTCTGGGTGTGTGAGAGCTTTCCTGTAAGGGGCGTACAGGCTTAGCTTAGAGCAATCGAGGCAGAAAACAGGGAGAGACAGCCAGAGTCTGTTAGACGCCTTCTAAGGTGCTTCCTCTGGAGCTCTGGGTGTGTGAAAGCTTTCCTGTAAGGGGCGTACAGGCTTAGCTTAGAGCAACCGAGGCAGAAAACAGGGAGAGACAGCCAGAGTCTGTTAGACGCCTTCTAAGGTGCTTCCTCTGGAGCTCTGGGTGTGTGAGAGCTGTCCTTTCAGTGTCGCCGCATGCATCGCCCAAGGAGTCTTGAGTATTGGCACGGGATGGGAGTGCTTCAGAGGCTTGCCCCTCGGTACCGCCACGGCGAATAAGTCAGTGGCGGACTGTGATCTAAAGACTCTGCGTGTGACGACTAGTAGTTTCCACGGACAGAGACAGTGGGAAAGAGGCTCACTCCGCCAAAAACCACGCAGTTTGCAATAGCGTTGCCTTCTGGGGGGTTTCCGCGATCCTGGCACGACGAGCAAGACAGCGTTGGCGCTCTTGACCTCCTCTGCGAGGCTGCTGTAACCTCCAGTTAAAGCATGCGGATGCGGCGGACAAAAGAGCCAGGCAAGCAGTAGCAGCAGCCACATATATAAACATATATATATATGTATACATATTCGGTAGGCTGTCGGTGCGGAGGCTTTGCTTCACAGCAGCAACATCTTTCGAAGAGGACTTCTCTACCGGAAACAGCATGTCGAGCGCACATTGGAGAAGGAGAACCTCTAGGCTTAACAGGGGCTAAATTGGCGTAAACGACATATAAGGTGGAGCCACAGGAGTCTCTCGGAGATGGGCAGCGCGTGCGAGTCAGCAGTATGGCTGCCCCCTCCAAAGACGCTCCAAGGTTTCGCATGCAACGAGCTCGAGTATTTTGGCATCTGCTGAGAAGGATTCGGGGTTGCGAAGGGGGGTTAACGCGGGAAACAAGGCCTATTCCCCCCTACACTTTTTCGACGTTTCCTGCACTTTCCACTGGTCGCATGAGTCTCTTCTTTCAGCACATCCCACAAATCCACCGCTTCTTTCTTTAAAACTCCCGTTCATAGAAAATCGCTGCTTGGCCCACATACCCCAAAGTTCAACACGCGGCGACAGTCCAGAGCAAGGTGTCTCTACAGCCTTGTGAGGGTTAGCTGCGGCTAACCGATGTGTGGGTGTCTTGCAGACAGCCACAATACTGAAGACGCAGTAGCCTGCACCGCCTCAACATAGACGTTCAAAGGTCACTTCCGATGAGGGCAAACTCTTGCGGTGGAATGGAATTCGTGAACCCCGCACGTTTGCCTCGTGAACAGCCAAAATGCTTTGTGTACGGATGGCCATCCCCGGCAGCAGTGCCACACATATGCACACAAAGCCACTATTAAAGGGAACGTAAAAAGATCGCGGTTTCCTGCTGGTCTTCAAAGGGGTTACGCATGTAGACCGAAGAACGCGCAGATTCTCTATGCTCTGCGTATGTCACGTTCGTTCACCTAAGCTCCAGGAACCCAGAAAAATCGCAGGCCTCCTTGCTCGGGGGGAGGTGTGATCGGGGAATTGATGAGACTCTGTCACTGTGGTGATAGAATTGCTGAACTTTCAAAGGCAGTCGCGTAGCACGACACAACCACGGTCCTCCAGTATGCATGGAGTCATCACCTGCGAATCGAGAACACTTGCCTGCCACACAAGCGCCCCCCTGTTTTGCATGATAACACGACCACAGTGGAGGCCCCCCTTTTAAGCTGTTTACATATATATATATATGTATAGCGTGCACCAAGCCCTCTATAGCGCCGACAGCCACTGCGATCTTGTGCGTGGTTGCCTGATCCAAGCATGAAGAGCCGAAACTTGCAAAACTGGGGCGTACATCAGAAGCAATTCCCACAGACGCACCCAAAGGCCCTCTCGTTAGCAGCACAACGCCTTTCACCTAACACTTCGAGAGTTCTGGTCCTGCAAGAAACCGCACAGACAGGATGCAGCTAGTTGTGCCCTTGCAACAGTTTAACCAGTAACTCACAGGATTCTGCGCAGGCAAGCTTACCCCATGAAGAACTTCGCAAGTGCAGATCAGCCTTGCCTAGCAGTTAAACGACTTTTTTGATGCCCCTGGCATACAAGCAACGTGTAGGGGATTCCCAAGTATATATGTGCAAAAACCAATTGGGATACTGGGGGCTTACAGCTTGGATGCAATCGAGCTATAGCCGCATGGACCGCTCCACCCATAAGCTCCGTTAAAAAAAAGCCCTTCTTAGCACAAACAGAGTATCAAACTGTGGTACAGAGTCACTTTTAGTATACTTTCCGAAGCACTTAGCCTTTTGCTTGCCGTCAGCTTCCAGAGTTCCGGTACAAGTGGAGAAACACAGCCAGTTTGCGCGCTGCAGCCTTCTCTAAGCACTTCATGCATTCATTTACATAGAGTTTCGCGATGCAACCATGCATCCATATCCATTGTGATCCATCCTAGTGTATCGAGCCAACCCCAAATGTGCAACACAGCGCATGCATACACAAACAGCCACAACCAGGGGTCAATTTTTATGTATTATTATTAGTAGAGTGGAACCTGATACACTTAGTGTGGAGCGCTACACTACAGGTATTGCCGTATTGGGCTAAGCTATACTAGTTCTCTGCAACTAAAAATTCGAGAGCGTTGACAGTTGATAGTTTGCTTGTCGTACATCTTGTTAACCAAGTCGTGTTAGGCCTGTGTAAAATGACGAAACGTTGTGTGCGCTTGCGCTGGATGCTGTGTGAAACTAGCTGTGAATGCTCGGAGTGCTTACAGGGTGCAGGACGCATGAGCACCCTCACTGTAGTTCTCCCTAAATGGCGGGAACTTTTGGGCGGGGAGGGGGGCGTCAGCATCAAGCTGGAGTTCTCACTAACAGCAATGACCCTTTATAAAGTGTGCGTGGAGTCTGGCGTTAGGTGTCTGCCTACGGATATCGTAAAGATAGAGTGGTACGCTCACGATAACGGAGGCACCCTAGGAACCCTAGAGGTACCCCTCCAAAGTGCCATGCCTTCAAGATTTCCTGTATCCATACGTTTGTGCGACGCTTTCGGCTATCGGTTAAGAAGTAGGAAGCCTATGTCTGAGGCGAAAAACTCGGGAACGGTCTCAACTGGGCAGCTTCCTTAGGAAAGGGGAATACAGCGTGCTGTGCTTTCTGCATACGCGTTTTTTGCGGGCATAGCCATGCATTCCTGTCCTCTCGCTACAAAGATAGTGCCAAGCGCACCATGCGAGTAAACATTCATAAATATAATGCATGCATCTAGCTTACAGGAGCCTGGGGCTGCTTCTCCCCACACGGAAGCTCAGGCCCGCACCCTGCAGGCACCATGCATGTTTGCAGCGCTTCATCCGCGTCGGATTCCCCGTTCGCTGCGTTCCTTTGATCCTGCTGGGTTCTTTGGGTAAGGAATTGAGATAAAGAAGCCAGAGTAAGGAGAAAACACCGAAAGGATGCCGACCAAGCGCAGAAACGGCGGCCGTTCCAAACATGGGCGGGGGCATGTTAACCCGGTCAGATGCAGCAACTGCGGCCGATCATGCCCTAAGGACAAGGCTATCAAGCGTTTTAGCGTCCGCAATATCGTCGACGCCTCCTCCCAAAGAGATTTGAGGGAGGCCTCTGCCTACCATAGTGAGCTCGAGCACATGCAAGTACAACCCCCACGGCAGGAGCAGAAACACAAGCCCTTCAGTCTTGCCCCCTCCTCAATCCTCACTACGTGGCTGCTCTATTGATCATTCTCTGCACATTGTGGCGGAGTACCCGAGCACACGCTCACTAGACCGCCTGTATCTGTCCCACAGTTGGAGGAAGGTGCATGGGTGCCGATTGATGCAACGCGTTTCCCGCTGCCCGCTGATGTGTGACGCTTCGCTTCTGCTTCTAGTGCACCTTAAAAGTGAATGGGCGGGCCAGATATGACTCACCTGGAACATGATCTGCCGATTATTTGGCAGTCTCGTCATCCAGTTTCCCTGTTAGTGATCTCGCAACATCTCATAGCTTTCCACCGAACTTACCGCAAGTGCTGTGTCATGAAAGCTGTTGGCTGGCCTGTAATTCATGATATGCTGCTTCTCGCTCATCCCCATCATATCTCCTTGCTGTACCCTCATGTGTATGGAAGCACGTTCGTGCGTCCATGTGGGATCGTCTCAGTGCATGCATCTGCATCTGCCTTGGGGTTTGTGTTTGTCTCTTCAGCGTACAACCTGCCCAAGCTGTACATCAAGCACTGCTACTGCATTTCCTGCGCGATTCACTCGCGCGTTGTTCGCGTTCGCTCTAGGGAGAGGCGCAGGATCCGCGCCAATCCCCAGGCACGCCCTCACGGCAACATGGGCGGGAACCGCAACTGAACATACAACATGCAACACTTGCATGTGTCGTTCTAATGCTCAGAGCAAGGCAGGTTAGAGGCTGATGGTATAGGCCCTCTGGAAACGCGTTCCCGGGGGTTTCTCCAACGTGGGTATGTGTACCCCCTTACCCACAGCAGCGGCTTCTGCTTGCTATTTCATTGACAGGAGGCGAACATTCCCTTAGGGATGCCTGAGCAAACCGTATGGTCAAAGTTTGGGTTTCACTGCCACATAGGGCGTGGAAAGTAATAATCAGTTGCGCTGCAGAAGGCACGAACAAGAGGAAGCAGATGTGTGGGGGTTCACGCGCCTCTAAGTCTTTTTCCATGGCATACGATTTTCCCTACTGGAATAAGTATCAAGCGTTTTAAGTCATGCAGTATCCAGTAGCGCTAATACACGCGAAAGAAACTAGTGACGCGAAACCAAAGACGACACAAGGGTGGCACCAAGATACGGGGAGTGCCTAAATTTTTGCGAGTTTCAACAATTGTAGAGTGCGTTTCATAGCCTGTTGGCACTGTCGTGGTTCTTCCGAACGTATATGCATTTAGTTAAACACCTTTTACTCGACCGATTTGCGCCAGGTGGAAGTATCGAAGCAGTTGGTGACGATTGCTGTTCAGTCTGCTTTTGCGTTATGGATGAGACACATCTGTCCAAGCCAGCACTGTATTCAAGGGACCTGCAATTGCCTAGTGTTGAGGCAGCATATTAGGCGCCTGGCATTTTTCATGCCTGCACAGGATGAGTGTTGGAGAAGCAAATGCGCCTGCAGGGGAGGGCACTACTGGTTCTCGAGGGGATTTTCTGCGCTTGTGTGTCATGCGATGCTCTGTAATGACTAAAGGCGTAGACATTAGCGATGGGCGAATTGCTGGCTTTTATTTGTCACACTTTAATCCTTGGCACAATTCGCAAATGCCGGCTCTCATTGAGACATGGAAACTTGCGGAAGGGGGGCACGCCTCAGAGTGCTTTTAGACCTTTCAAGCTGTGAACTCGTAATAATAGCTGAATAGGTGTCCTAGAAGATATTATGTTGACTTTAAGGGTGTCTGCGCACACATTGACACCTGGCCTAGAGTACTCCCACTGGTTTGCCAAGTGTGCGCACATTTCTTGTCGTTTAATACTTTTGGTCTTTCCCCCCTTATCCGTCTCAGAATCATTTCAATGCATGAAATACGTATTCAATGTACTTGAACACGCGTCCTATTCGTCTATTTCTCTTTGGGGGGCCCTTCATTTCTTTGGGGGCCCCTGTGCACGTAGGGATCTCCCACCGATTCGCATTTGGCGCTCTTTATATGCGTGTATCGTCCTTTAAGAACATCTTCTAAAGAAACAAGATTGTCTCTTCTTGCTCTCCACCCGCTTCATCTGCTCGCCTTTCCACCAACTCTCCTAATTTCCGGGGTGTTCTGCGTCTTCGTCGCTTGCGCCTGCTCTCCAGCCGTTCCCCCATTTCGGTCTAAACTTGAAACACGGCCGTTCACTCTATCGCTTTAACGGATTCTGCTGAGCCTGCTGTCGGCTGCTCGGGAAAGCGATGCCCACTGCCATAGGGCTCAACTTCTGAAAGCTGTCTTCTACCCTCTGCCCGTTCAGGTTGAAGGCCGTCCTCCTTATTCGGTTTTGCATATGATGGTTTAAGCGCCTTTCTCCCCTTTTCTGCTTCGATTTCCTTCTCCTTTTGCTCCGCTCTGCTCGAGCATGGATCCCCAGTCCATTACCCCCTGCGATGCATCGCTATATGGCTTCGATGAAGAAGCGCACACCGTGTTGCTGCACACCCTGCAGCAACACCACCAGCGGCTCCGGGTGGCTCCGCAGGACGTCAAAGCAGAGAGTCCAGTGGTGTTCACTGACGTTTGGGTGTCAGATTTGGCGCTTACAAAAATGATGCTACATGCGGAGAAGGGGGGACGGATCGAAGTCATGGGATTGCTCCTGGGGAAGGCTGTTACTGTTGAACCGACAGATCCGGCGCCTCATTTTAGCGATTCTGTTTCGTTCGTTGCTCCACCCAAAGATGGGGACGTCCGCGAGCAGAGCTGCGATCCAGCGTGCATGCATGCCGAAGGGGATGGCGGAGCAGAAGCAGGCAGGCAGATAGAAAGGCGGAGGGGTTACTTTGTGGTGACGGACTGTTTTGCGCTTCCTGTAGAGGGCACGGAGACGCGAGTGAATGCAGCTGAGGATGCTAACGAATACATGATCCAATATCTAGAGGAGGCAGAGAAAATCCCAACACCGCAAAAAGTTGTCGGCTGGTATCACTCTCACCCAAACTACGGCTGCTGGCTGTCAGGAATTGATGTCAGAACACAGCAACTGCAGCAGCAGCACCAGGATCCCTTTCTAGCTATTGTGGTAAGCGGGCTGTACACCATCAAGAAAAGGCTCATCGCCAAGCGCAGGCGTCGTGATTATTTTACTCGGAAGCGTGATGAGATGCAGCGTTGGGTATTTCCATCACCTGCTATTAACAACTGCGAGCGAGTAGCTGAATACAATGAAAGAGCGGCCACGCATATGGCGCAGCCGCCACACAAAGGGATTAGCGGCTGCAAGTAAAATCCACTGGTCTTGCATGCGAAGAAACGAGTCATTCTTGCCTTGCTGGCTGCTCGGGCAGCTTGGCTGTTGTTTCTTTCTGCACTTAATCGGAACCGTCTTTTTTCCCGTCACCGCGAAAGGGCTTTGTGTGTACTCTCCGTGCAGGTCGATCCCGTTCGGACGCTGAGCAAAGGCTCCATTCAAGTAGGATGCTTTCTTCTATTCCTGGTTTCCTATGCACCTGTGTTTCCCATTCGCGGATTTCGCATCTTCGAAATGCTTTGAAAGTTAGAAAATGGAGGCACCCGAACAGAGTGTCATGCACACCACATGCATGCAAGAACTATGAGGAAAAGACTCGTTCAAGTTGGATACATGACAGTAGAATATTCATGGATTCCGTTGAAAATCAACCAAAGTCAACAGAAGACACTCAAGCTTTAGTCTCCTCTATGTTTCCATCTACTTTGTCGTGCAGAACAGTGGGTAAACGGTTTGATTTGATGCGTGCCGCTCTTTTGAGTCTTGGTGAATGATCTCGCCTACACAAAAACTGCACTTTCCCCTATCGGGGTTACAGCTTCTTTCTCTAACTTCCTCCTGTCAACTCTTTCCTTCTCCCCCTTCCTGTGAGCTCTGATTTTACCATGAGTTTCTGCGTTTAATCTTGCTTTGTTCTGATGTGCTTGTTCATTGAATTCCCAGTTGGGTGCATTCCGAACTTTCCTCCCGGGAGAGGAAAGGCGACACATAGATGAAATGGACAAAGCTGAACCGCTGCTTCCCGAAGATAAAGTTCATGACTTCGGAGTTCATTGGCAACAGTCAGAAATACGCTTGTTTGCAGTTTTCTAAATTTTAAAGCACACCACATACATGAGGGCACTTGGTCGAAGCCGGCGAGTCTGATAAATCGCTTTTTCACCATTTTGTCCCATTCGAAGCATAAAGATTAGAGAAAATTCTCTCCGTTTTCTAGGTTTCATCCCTCGTGCTGTTTAACGCTCGTTATCCTTTTTTGTTGCTAGCGCATTATTTCGGTTTTCGCGCTGTCCTACCTGGGAATTTCGTTCTTTCCTGCCTAATGCTTCTATTCTCTCAGCTACTATCCGTTAAAGGTTCATTATTGCTGCAACTCGCTGAGCGCCAAATTGATAGAAGGCATGAAAAAAATATCCTGGCCACACATCCTGACAACCCGGTCTCTCCAAGCGGTAAGGAAGCGGCTGGTGAACTTATTTTTCATGCAAATCTTATAAACAGGATCACAGATATGAACAGTCATGTGTATTTCTGTATATATAAATACATACATCCCAATCTAAATGCTAAACGTCCTACATGCAAAAAGTATACACAGGCGGAGAAAAAATTGCCTTGTAATATTTTTCATACTGTGGACGTACGATGGGAGCCGCCGTGTATTTTTCTTTTACCGACTATGTGAAGGTGTGTCGATGCCAGATTTATCAGTGGAATGACTAGTCCATACTAGATCGAAGGGAGTAGCAGCCCTTGATCTTTGCCTCTTCCTCGCTGTGTGGGTGTATGCATCTCCTATGCAGCTGCACGCGTGTATATTTCTTCCCGTGCCTTCATGGTCATTGCTTCTCCTCTGCTCTCCTTCCTCTTTGACATTTCATTGGTACGCGACATTCTTGCAGCATGTCTCGTTTCCTCTTAATCCTTCATCGTCTATCTCTTTTCCCTTCTCGTCCTCTTGTGCATGGATTTACTTTTGGGTTTGAACCTACCTTTTCTTCCTTGTTCTAGGCGCAGGACCGCGCCACGCAGATCTCCAGAGTCTCGTCCCTTCTGGATTCAGCCAAAGAGGCAATTGCCGCAAGCGATGCGATGTCGAGAATGTACGCAAAGGACTTGGCCAGAACGCGAAAGCAGCAATGACGCATCTTACCCTCTGACGCAACATTCAAAACTTGGCATGTCTGCCTCTAATATTTTTCCCTCTCGCTACTTGTGTTGTTTGCACCGTTTTACTGTCTCACTACATCTGCTCAGGCGGCAAGTCTGCGTGGGAGGAAACAGGAGTCCGACCCCACAAGAGTCTGGTGACTCAGTAGACATTTCCTCGGTGATTTCGCTGCCGGATGAGCTGAATCCTCAGACCAAACCCCCAACAGCGACACTGAGGAATACCGCTGAGGAAGCTGCAGGAGTTGCTCTGCAGGCCATGGAGGCATTGGTGGAAACTGCAGCCTTGGTAAGGAGGAAGCAGACTTTTTGTGGATCAGGTTAGGCGACGAGGGAGTGCAAGGGCGGTATAGAGCACGGGAAAACGGGGGTGTCAGCGCGGAAGACTGTCACAGAGGGGCAGAGAGAAATTGCGAAAAAGCATCCGACCAGTGACTGTTGTGTGACGCATGTAGCGTAGCCGTTGTTGCATCTTGCTTTTTGGCTCAGAGCGCAGCATACCCCGACAGGATGAGTTGGGCCGAAAGGCTAATGGCCGAAAACAAAAAAGAAAATATCCGTCTAGACCCCTGATGCGCTCCAGGCATCTCGGTCTTGAATCGAGGGCAGTGCTACTGCTGTAGCCCGCTTGACGCGTTCCCGAAACAGAATTTTACTGCAATCCTACTGTATTTTTAGCCTTTCCCTCTCGTTCCGTAGCGCTGCCTCTTAGTCAATCCGACCATCCGAATAAGCATTTCTTGCACGAGGATAGAGCCGTTAAAGTCGAGCCAGATGTGAACGGAGCGATCGAGTATTACGTAGAAGGCGACGCACGGGTGGAGCTATAGAGTAAGAGATCGCTACACGGAGCACCGGGTAGATGACGAACAGATAGAGTGAGTGGGAAAATACAGAGGCACAAGCAAGTCACGGATCGGGGGAGGCACACTTAACGCGACTCTCCCCATGGGAGCGCCCCCTGCATATTGGACGCATGCCTCCCATCGCTTGTCGAGAGCTAGGCAAAGCGATTCAATTTGGCCAGTTTTGTTTCCTAAGCTAGCGCCGCCAGTTAGCGCGGTGTCTGCAAAGCCGAGTATCACCTATGACGCTCTGCTGTGCCTCTCCGTCTCGAGCGTATGCTGCGTTGGCTGCGGAATCGCCTTATGCAAAAACGCCAGCCACATACACCCGCATGACCATGACCAAAAATAGCAGAAAATTGCGTGAATTGTCGCACACAGCTGTCTTGAATCAATACCCTGCCGCATCGTGAGGCTCGCTCTGTGCTCCAGCGTACCTGTGTGTCAGCACATCAGGGATTCGCGTTTCTGCACGAGCACGGAAAATGAAAGTCGGTACACCAGAACCCCAAAACTTTATCGGGCTACAGCGTGCAGAATGAGCAGCAAAGATAAGAATAGATAAGGACGAAAACGAGCAGGGCTATGATCGCGTGGCCCCCGCGTGCCCTCCGTCTGGCACTATTCGGAGGGGAAAGCAGAGGAGTGAAGGATGTATGTACAAAGAAACCATATACCAAGGAAGGCGAAATAAAATGGCTGCCAAGCAAGAAGGGCTCTGTACAGTGGCGTACTGCATGAGGAACACGGCCTCCGAAAGACGTGCATCTCCCAACACGATAGAAACGAGCACTTCTGTAACTTAGGCGCCTTTGTAATTCGGTGATACTGATTTATCAACGTGCTATTCCACGCCTCATCCGCACACGTTGCACAGAGAGATGGGGACGAGAGGAGCACAAATGATGGGAAGAAGTAAAATACATCGGATGGGAGCTACGAAAAGCAGACAGCAAAGCGGGCGGCGAAAAAAAGTGGTTTCAACAGTGTACATCAACAGAAACAGCCGCATAGTCGCAAGAAAAGAGAACGGCATACTGCGCTACAAAATCATAGCACAAGATAATTCGACCTCTTTTGTTCGGTTACAGTCTCTCTTCCATTTTCTTTGTGCTGGCAATTCAGCCCTATATCTGCTTATATCTGCTCCTATACCAGTCCGACACAGTAATCCCTCTGTGCTTCTTTCTGCGGCTCTCCCGTGTCAGCCAAAGTGCCCAGTTCTGCTCCCTTTCGTTGAGAGCTGGGGCGGACTATTCGGTATTTTGGCCTCGGATATGAGCTCCGGGATAGCATTTTGCATCGCCTTTACCGCCACCTTCCCCTGTCGTTTCGATTCCATTCTTCGAGTTTTCGCCATCTCAAGAGTCGATAGGGTCCCTGACTCCCAGCCGATATTCACATCAGCAGCTGCCCCCCTGACAGGTAAGCCCATCCTCTTGCTTGGCTTGGCATCGTCCGATTCAAAAAATGGACTTTCTCCGGTTCCGATGGATGGGCGAAAGGAAGAAGAGCGACTGACATCGCCTTCCTCAGCAACTCCCTGCTTGGACTGAAAAGACGGAGGAGACGGACTGCACAAGCAATCGATCCACCACGGCATGCTGACGTGTTTCCTCAATACTAGACACCCCAGCAATCCCAGGAAAAAAATGGTTACAGATCCAACAGCGACACCAATCACCCATCCAGGATACCCTTCCTGGCGATGAGAGAAGTCGCCAGATATCCGAGTCTGAAAAATCACACTCATAAACATAGAATACCATTAAAGCGAGGATCTGCTTCAATTTATTGGGCTCGTATCTTACAGCAGGCATTTGTTCACACACTACTCGTGGCATGCGTCTTGCGCTGTGCCTCCGCCCGCCCCCCTACTGTGCTCCATCCTTCTTACTTCAGGAAGCTTGACGGGCTCAAGAAAGATTACATTAAACGTTCCTCGTGTTCTGCTCTTAAAGCGCTTATAGATCTCCTCTGCAGTAGCTTCCGATTCCTTCCTACTGATGTCATTCCTTAGACCGTTCACGAGCACATGCACTACGAACCCGTGCCTCTGGATGAGCTGATCAATCAGGGGCTGCTCACTGTATGCTAGCCCACTACCAAATTTGCCCATCCGAATAGGTCTTGCCGATCCTGCCTTCATGGCATATCCCATAACATGAACTCTATCCATCCTCACGTGACGAGGGGTTGCGTACGTCAGTGGCTGTACTAAGATGGCCCCCATGAAAAGTTCATGAAACGATGCACTATCCTTGAAGAGATCAGACGGCACTTGCAACAACAAGTGAAGATCTGGGTCATATCGTGAGTTGCCACCGACTGCTATTTCTGCATACTGAAGATCGTTGAATGTAGAGTACACTACTTCTGCCAGGCCTACGCCAGGAAGAGAAGGATCATCTTCAAGTCTCTGCTTGAACATGCTAGCGGCTTTCAGGGCCGAAATAAACGTTGTGTCTCCCTTCTGCTGTGCATTAATCGGATCCGCTACACTCAACTGTACATACATCTCATTTTCATTCAGATTCTGATTTAAAACCGTCACGAAACCCTCTGAAATCTCACTTCCGAATTCTCCCCGTTCAACAGCCGCTGTTGGGCCCCCGCTGCCTCTCGCCCTGTAAGCGGTCACCAAAACATCGGGAAATCGAGCTTGCAGAATTTGTTGCGAGCACAGCCAATTAGATTCCACAAGAAGCGCCATGCGAAGAAGCACTTGCCGAACACTCTCCAAAATGGAACGCTTCAAAGCCACTTCAAACTTGTCAAGTTGCTCCTGCAAAGACGGATCATCTTCCCTCTTATTCCTCAGCAGTATAAGCAGATCCTCAACGACTAGACGGCTCAGCTTAAGAATCAAGATGCCTCCCATGGGCCTGTCTGTGACTTGCGTGTTGCTCAAGCCAAGAAGCATGACGGCTGTCGTGGCTGCTCGCTGCTCGTGTCTGAAACTCCGTTCCCACATGCTAATCCAAGACGGAGTTGTCAGAACTGCAGCAAGACAAGAACAGCCATCAGAGGGGAGAACAAAGTTAAAAGCTGCTGCCGCAGGATGAAGGGGCACGAATCATAGTAGAGTCTCATCAGGACCAAAAGACTGATAGGTAGACAGACACCCAAACAGAGGTCTGCTGATAGAGCAAAAAGTTCCCCCTTCCCCCTCTTCCCCTCTCCAAGAGTCAAAAAGCCAGACCTCTAACTATTCGTGTGTCTGCCGACAAATGGAAAGATGCGGGGGGTACACAAGAATCCAGGAAGCAAAACACGAGTGCAAAAGTCTTCCGTCATAGTCTTACCGTTTGAATACGAATATAGGACGTGCAGCTCGGAGACTTGGTGGTATACATAACCAATTGTCGTGGAGCTTTCATCTAAACTCCACTTCAAATCTGGGATAAACCTTAGCATTACTGCCAAATGATGATCCTCCTGCTTCTCTTTCCTTACGAACGAACTGAAACTCTCGTAGTCCGTCACCTCCGTCAATCGTGGCAACTTAGGGCACACACAGCCAGCATGCAGTTCGAACATCTGACTATGCTCAAGCAAAGAAAATTCGACCAGATTTTCTGTGCGACTTTGGTGCTCTGACTGTGGAAAAAGAGTCAGGAGCTGTACAAAGTCAAACTCAAGCATGCATTCAGGCTAAAATGCAGAGGGGGGGCAAAAAGAGCAACCAGGTTCTTTTAAACCAGCGACTATCGCCTATTAGACACTGCTCTGTTGTCATTTCTACTAGGAAAGACAAACGCCGGATGAATGAAAAGGAAGAGGCAGACGCAAACAGAGGAAAGAGCTAATATACGAGATAGCAAAATGGACTGCAACACACGTACGCCTTCTTCGATTATCCCCTGAAATCCACATTGTGTTGCCCTCTTGACAAATCGTGAAATCCTTGGATTTGAATTGCCGAGGTCACTCAGCGCAATGGACTTGGCGAGTACGACTTTGAAGAAGTTTGACGTCATCGGAGGATTCCAATGCTTCGTTCGCGTGTACATTGGCCAGTAAAGCGCGCTCAGAAATAAGACCAAGAACTGCCGTCGCCATATCTTGTCTACTTTAAGGCGCTGGCAGTACGACGTATAGAGGATGGCTAGTGTGGCATTGAGTTCTTCATGAGAAGCTGATCATATGCACATCAAAAGCACAAAAATCAGGAATTCCAGTTGCTGAAAGAATATAAAAGCACGAACATCCGGGTTAACGACCAAAAGACAGATCTGTCATAGGAACCTCATGAAGTCGCAACGCCGGCTCTGCCGTGGCTGCCAGCACCACGCCGATCACCTACAAGCCACACGCCCCAGCACGAAAAATTCGAGCTCAGTTTGTCTTACTAATTGAAACAGCGGCCTTTTCTACTTCATTGCTGGTTGCCACGTCTGGGGGGAGAGTTCCATCATGCAAACCGGCAAAGTAATCATCCGAGAAATCAAACCATGGACCTGCATCGTTTTCGCCGCTCGATTGCTGCCCCGCCTACAGCAGTGCACAACGAAACGCAATATGTTTGTCTATCTACAAAAAATGCATCATAAAATATAGCAGCACCAATGTGATGAGGCGAGGAAGCTCAGCCTGCTAACGGATGCCGCAGTGGGGCGACAGCACGTTCCCATGCGCAAGCTGTGTGTGGGAATTGAGGCAGCTCAATGGAGAATCACACACACACACACATACACTACAACATAGGCTTACGGCGCAAGGAGCAAAAGCAGCAAGAAGCGCCAGCGAAGCAATTATAGCCGATAAAAATGCAAATCGAAATCCTTTGTTGCTCATAGTGCTGGACGGTTTGCAAGGCGCTGACATTGCTGCGAAGGTAGCGACAGCTGCTGCTGCGCATTCTCCAGCTGCAGCATCTTTGATCGCATTCGCAGAAAGCGCGGAGCCCTCAGGCTCGTGCTGCTTTCCCCTCGTTAGGGCCATTATAATAGGATGCAAGTCTTGTACCACAGGTCCAGCATCAGGCATACGTGATGCAGGAAGCGAAAATGTTGACTGCTGTGGAAGAAAAGTGTTCGTCTAGTCGAAATGTGCAGACTCAGCCACATGAAGTTCAAGAGCTCCCGCGAGGCAGCACCTCTCAGAATCTTGAATGAGACTGCGGGGTGCAGCGAAGGGCCGCGTGCATCGCCTATCAAAGCACTGAATTTCCCTTTTAGAAGTGTGGCGCCAACAGGTACATGATAGCAGCCACGAAAACAGCCGTCACGGGCTTCTGTAGTGAGGCAACAGGAGCGGAACGATGAGGTCCATGCTCTCCTTCTGCCTGAGAAAGTCAACGGCACGCTTGCTTAGACAGCTGCTGTAGGAGCGCAGAGAAGTAGATGCTTCTCCACCAAATCCCTGGAAGTCGGCAGTTGGTGCCAGGGGTTTAGAGGACGCGACTTCTCGAGCACCGTGGACGGCAGTTGCAGGAAGCAAAGCGATGGGCGTTCTGCCGCTTCCGGAAACAATATCCTAGCCTTTGCAATATACTCCGCGATACAAAAGATGTCTACATACTGGAACTCAAATAACTTTGTGGCTGGAGTGGCTGCATCGGCCGGGTGGGGCGAGAGAGAGAAGGCAGCGGTTGCATCAAATAGCTGCAAAGACGAAAGTAATCAAGAGGGCGTTTTAAGAGATAAAGCAAAACGCTGACAGGGAAGGGTGTAAGATACTGAGTTTATGGATCAGGGTTCGGAGACGGCTGGCAATAAATATGCCGCCATAGCGCGAAGTAGAAAGCGGCCGTGACTGAAGCCAAGCTTCTGCTAATCAGCTGCTGGTGTTACATCAAAACTTCCAGTATGATGATAAAAATAGAGGAAATTAAGACAAGCAAGCTCGATTTGAGCAGCAAGAATGGGCTGTTCTTGTGGGGAGCAATGAGTGGCTGCTTGGCTTCACATGTACCGATCCGGGCGCATAGAGTGGTAGTCTAAGCTCGCTCATGTAATTAATTTTCTTATAACAAAAACCCAGCACCGTTTACCCATCACTACAGAAATGGCTTACCTTAGCTATTTTGGATTTACTCATTAATTTATCTGTGTCTTGTAGAGCCATTCTACCACTGCCCTTCGTCCGCTAAAGCTTGCTATCCGTTCTGCATTGGCTGCCCCTTCACTTTGCATTTTTCAGCGGGGTATACCTAATTTACCGAGGTGGATATCGATCGTATGAAGCGCACGCTGTGGTCATGTCTTGTTCGCCAGATGCATGCCACTGCAACCGCAGTGGCATGCATCTGGCTAAAGGTCTATTGTGTAGCGTGTAGCTTTCAATTCAGGGTTTCCCTGTGGAAACACTTAGCTTCAAACTTAATACAAGCTTACGAGAAAGTTATTGAGTGTGTTCTAGAGAAAATCTCGCCTTTTCCCTTTCCGCGCCTTAAAATTCTCGATATCAGGGGTGTGGGACAGCATGTGTAACCCCTCATCCAAGGTCTGGGTAGGGTGACACTTAGCTCCCGACTCAGTACGAGCTTAATAGGAAGTTATTGATTGTTTTCTATGAGAACTGCCGCCTTCAGTGCAGAGCAGAGTTTTCCATATTAGCGAAGAGGGACAGCTAGAGTGCGTGTAGCTGCACCCTCTACGCACTCCGTGCAATCACTACTAATTGTGCATAGCATCTACCGTACACGCACACAATATTGCGTGCTCTTTTAGCGATTTGACAATGATGTACAATACACCAGATATAGGAACAGATAAATCAATAAATAAACTTCTCTCCAGCTCGTCATTAAACATAACTAACCTTTTTTAGTGGAAAGCGTCAATGCACAACCTCGTCCGCTGCACCGTCCTCCCCAATTGAAACACACATACCACTGTTCTATTCCTCTACCTCGAGACCAACTGTGTGCCCGACAGCGTAAGAGTTCCCGTCATGGCCATTCCGCTGCAGGCAGAAAGGCAAGAACAATGCATTGCAGACAAGCAAAACGTGTCCGTCTTACACACTGTCGTCGGAGGGTCTTAATCCGTGAGCCTCCTTGCTTTCAGAAAAAACACAGGGGACATGCGAAATGTCTAAAGGGGGTCAACATGTACACAAATGTTAACAGTATCCCCGGACCTCGTGCAACAATATCTGCATGCCACTGCAGCTACTACAAGCAGCGCAATCCATCTTCACTCTACAGGATAAGCGCTAGGGAAAATATGGATAGAATATCCCTAAGAGTGCCTGCGCATAAATCTAAGTGTAGGGAGCACTCTAACGATAAAAACCGAAAACTCTTCAAAGGATCGGTAGCTACTTGAGTGGGAAACGAGCTATCTAGTGGCAAGCAAAAAGCAATTACCAAGGATTTCGAGACATATATGGCAAAAGGTGTTGTTTAAAAATCAGAACCGCGAATTTTCTGCAGGCAAGCGAGCCTGCAATTGTTCCTTCGTGAACCAGTGAGCTTAGCGTTCCCCACACGATTTTACTAGAACATCTGGTCTATTGCGGCCTCGCCATTCAATAGCCCTATAATCCGGCACTCCTACCGCTTTTTGGCTATGTTGCACACTGTCTGATAAGCAAGATTCAAAGCCATGCTGCCATTGTGTAAACATCACTAAACGGCTCAGCAGTACATATCGTCTCTCAAAAGAGCACTACTCATCTTAAAGCGATCAACATTCGAGTCCTTAATGCCTGGAGTCCACTAGACTGACCCTCACGCATAGGCTCCCGTGTCTCTTGCTTACACCCGCGCAGCCCCATAAGGACGGTGCTTAATTCTAGGACTTGCAGGTGAGGTTTTTCTCTACTTTTATTTGGGCTGTTTCCTATTTACGAATTGCCCATTTATCTCTTTCTCCCGTTTACGTTTAAGCCTTCTCTACCAAGTTTATGCTAGTGTTGTGCTATCCACTGCGCGGGTTAATCCGTGCCCACACGGGTCACTTGCGTGCACACTCGGAACCCCAATATTGATAGTTCTTTGGCGCCTCCAACTTTCAGGAAATCGATACAGCAGGGAATAGCCTTGATTTGTGAGAGAACCGCAAATGCTCTAGCCAACTGGCCGCAAACTTCTTTGTCGAGCTACCTTTTGATGGGCATCGCAAAAACTGCTGGTTTGCCAGGAGCAGAAGTCCAGGCTCAGAACACACACCACCGACCGCCACTTACTATACTGACGTGTTTGTCTCTCTAGAGTTTTGCGCCCACATTCACGTGCACTGACCAGCTCTTTTCTCGATCCATCCACCACTAAGGGTGACTGCCGCAGTCAGACCACCAGGTCCAGGCCCGGATAGGAGATGGTCTACTCTGTGTTGGCTAGGGATGCGTGATAGCAGCGGGTAAAGAAATTTCCTGTCAAATTATAAATTCACTAAGGATAAGAAAGAAACTCAAACCAAGTAAGTGGACCTTTGTAAGAACCACAAACACTGTATAAGGGCTCTGCTGCTGCCCTCGGTGTGCCCATCTGCCGCATTGTAGCTCGCAATGGTCATATTGCGACCCAAGTAAAGGCAAGTCGTGTAACCACTTCCAGAGGCACTGACGAGAGTCAGATCCCTATCTGCAATAAAACTTTTGGGGTAGCCGGTAGGCTTTCATACATGAGTAAGGAATAGGGTGAATTGGTCGGCCGTGACAGAGGTGGAGGGGGGTAAATTGAGCATATTCGCTCATTCTGTAAGCGGCAACTTAAAATGCTGTGGTGACCCTTCACATCCAGCAGTTCAGCATTGAAATTCTTTGTAAGAGTAGTCTAGGTATCTTAAGGACACAGAATGCTTGTACCAGCACAATTTAGGAAGTACGAAAAGCTTCAACTGCTAACCATCTGGGCAGGATATCGCACACTCCTCTGTTGCGGGGCGCACCCCGGGACATCAGACAAGCTTGAAGAGCTTCTACACTGTAGTTTGATTCCCACCGTGACCTGAAAGAACATTATCTTACGCGTTTTGCAGAAAAAGGCACTCTGGATCAATGCCGGAACGTAAAAGCGACGAAGCCCCCAGTTTGTTTTGAAGCGCGACACGCTCACCCTCAACGTGGAAGATGTTCACTCTTTGCCACTTTGGATTTGGCAAGACTAACCGATCCGTGGGTGCCCAAAGCATAAGGCTCGTGAAATTCAAGCAGAAACCGTGAGTCACCAAAGGCGAAACCGGCTACTTTGCACAACTGTGCATTTTTCATGAGTCGCGAGAGTGCGTCAGCGACCACCTTGGTGATACCCTTACTAATGACAGTCTAAGGTACTGCAGGAGGCGCCCAAATCAGCGACCACTTAAGAGGCTATCAAGGTCCTCAAAACTCTTCACAACGTCCGTTGACGACTGATGGGTGCTTTTTCTGGGCAGTAGAATAAAGCCAACAGGAAAAATAGCGGTGACATTATCCTACTCCCCACCACCTCGTAGAGGTGCCTTTCCTGGCACTGGGTACCGTTGCTCGGTGTCCGTAGAGCCATGAAAACGAATAAGCAAGTATCCATTCTTTTAAATGAAAGCTACATCCTGGTGGAAAGGAGAATCGCTACCATTTTTTCAGTCACTAGAATCGTTTTGGGGTGGAGAGTTGAAGCAGGTTTTTAAGCAACTCAGATAATGAAATAGTTTCAACACGGCAAATAAGCTTCTTCTGTCCAGATTGCAGACTCCGCTTTCCCAAGTATATCAGTCTGAGGAACAGAGATCTGAGCAAGCTCAAAAATGATTCTTTGGTAATAAAATGCATCCCCATGAAACTTCTATGCATCCGTCGGGGTCCGTTAAGGCGAGAAACGCTCCCTGATTGCTTTGATTTTTGCGGGCTCTGGATCAATCCCTGTATCTAAAATACAATGGCGATGCATTCGTACTGTCCAGTAACACACACTTCGTAGGTGCTGTAGGGGCTCTTGAACATTTTTTTGAAGATAAAGATACCGTACGTGCAAACAGCCGTCAATTGCTCCTTGATAAGCGCATACAAAGTCCTGATTACCTCCACGTTGCGATTAAGCTGGAGCAATCGACAGCTATCTGCACGTACAGTATCTTCATCTTCAGCAAAAATGATCAATAGCCTTCGCAGCGCCTACGAAGCTCGTTTCAACTGTTACGAGACAGTGTGGATGCTGTCATTTGACAGGTACAAACGGCACAAAGCATCCGCGAGATTTTGGCTGAAAGCGTGGAATGCCGCTTCGTGCCGTCGTTAAGGGGGATTTGTAAAGTGACGTCTGTATGGCTAAATGTTGAGTAGACTTTTAATCTTCGTAATTTGGCAAGTGATTCGCAGTACAACGTCGAAAGCTGGTGTTTCACAGCAATCTTGTGAGGAGTGTAAGGTTATTCTATACATGTCAGCCTTCCTTCGTTTTTCGGCGCTGGATATGCCAAGAGACGCAGGTCAATTCCTGCACTTCGGTTATTTTTCGGCAAACCGTTTGCCTGCCACTTAATATCCTCCTCACGCACTGAGAGCATTTCGTACCGTGAAAATTTAGTTTGAGGCGGACCTGGGAATCAGCTCGATGCGGTGAGATGGACGACTACCGGGCGGCCAGCCTGTTGACAACTTCTCACTGTTTAACACACCCCCTAATTCCTCGTTGACATTTGCCCACTGCCGGTTTTTATCGGCTGCATGTTCAATAAAATTCCCCAAAGAAGAAGCGTTTACAGCGCCAGTTAGACGAGAAGCACGCTCAGAGACGCCTTCTTTTTCTGGCTTCCTGAGCCGCCCGCATGCTGCCTCGCATGGCTAAGGAAACGAGTATGACTCGAGTAGCATACATCAAATGAGGGTTGATGAGGAAACTAGAAGTTGCTTCTTTCTAGGGGTTCACAGCGCATCCACCTTTACAGTGCAGTTGTGACGGGAAACGCCCCTCCATTGGGTAACCCGTGCATCATTTCTAGGATGCATTGATGCTGCGCTGGTCCAGCATAGAGGTCTCGGACCATGTTGATTGGACCAGAATCCGACTTAAAGTTGCCTATAGCCGCCTTAGCCTTGACAGTCTTTGCGCTCTGCTGCCTACTGACGAACCTGAGTCGAAGAGACTGTCCTGATCAGCGAATAAGCAGACCGTACTCCTTTGTCTTCGCAGGAAATCCATCCACTTCACATCCATTGCGAAGTAATGCTAGTGATCATTGGTCATTAATGAGAGCTTGTTTTAGCGCAGGATTGCCCCGATGTGGGTCCCGAATGCGTCGGCTCTACCCTCTATAGGCCCCTTCACTGCGCCGCAACCTGCTTGAAAAGCTCTCCGATTACCCCATGCGCCTTATCTGCTCGCCAAGCATCCCGCCTCTGCTCTGCCCAGTTCCAATGTTTGAGGTCTTTGGAACTTTTGATGGGTTCCCAGCTACAATTATATAATAATGCCCTACGATATTAGCAGGTGCATTGTTGTGGGGTTGTCTAAGCTGCTTTGGAAAGTGAGTCCCCTGTTGCTTTCTCTCTCGTTCGCCTGAGACTCTAGGTAGGGGCCAGTTGACACAGCCCTGACATCCGTATGTTTCTAAATCCAAGGTTTGCTCTCCCCTTCGTGCCAAAGACGCAGGAGCTGCGCCCATTTGTTCCTCAAAACCTCAAGGATCCCATTATTTGCAGTAGACTCTCCGGTTGGTGTTTTGATTGCTGTACCACTGGCAACAATGCGACCACCTGACGAGACGCTTCATGTAGATCTGATAGAGACTGATGATCTAGCAACTTTTTGCCTACGTTGTGATTTTAGCAAACAGAAGTTCTATATTTCTCGATGTACCAATATTCTAAAAGATTCTCATACTTAAGCTTTCTCAGCTCGCCTAAAGCTTGCCGTTGAGCTGATCTCAAAAACTTTGATGAGTTAAAGCGTGGATGAAAGGGCTGTAGTGATGCCTGTAGGCAGACAAATTTCTCTACGTGAATAGAGCCGCCATGAGCTTCTTCTTCCGCAAATAGACATCCTGCAAAAAGCACTCGTTTACCTTGTGATTGGCATAACTTCATGGACGCATTCAATAACACTTATCAGCTGACGAATCATACCATTCTATCAGTTAGAGAGCCACTGCATTCACACTTGCTTTTAGGACGACCTTTGCCTTTCCAACAGGCACTGCGCCACCGGCCACTTCCATCCCCAGAGCTTTGCTCCTAAAGGGCGCTTTTTGAAATTTAAGTTACTGAATCACCAAAATAATTGCTCAAAAGAATATATATGTCGCAGGGAAGCCTAACCTCCCGCTGTATCCGTGGCCGGTAAACAAAAGGCGAATAACTTCGTCAAGCCACATGATATTAGGAGTGTATCACTCCACGTGAGCTCTCTCTGCATCCGACCGCATGTTTTGATGCGATTATGTAGTTTAAAGCGGAAAATTTCTCGATTGAGCAATAAAACCACCAGAAGCACCGCGACAGCAACCAGAGGGAATATGGGGATGCAAAAATGGCTGAAGGGGATGGGTGCAAGGAGGGACAGCGTTGCTTAGGATGTAGCCGTAGGGAGGTTCAAGCTGGCCCGCGCACTGCAGTTACTTCCTCCTGTTTCTCTTCACGCAAAATACAAGGGTAATATAAAGGGGCGGCTTTAAGTAACCCCTTAAACATGCCCTCATGCTACAGAATACTCACCCCAGAGAGCACCAAAAAGCTGTACGAAAAAAGTTTAACATAATAATTTTCACTTGATCGCACACACAATGGCCATGCGCACGCGGATGCAGCAAGACTTTGCTCTCCTGCAGGTACCAGAATACACTCGAATGCAGTCCACAATAAACAAGCGATACTGTGCTCTCAATTGGTCAACCTGCTTAATACGCCTAACTGAAATGTGATACCGTCAATACTTAGTTGAATTTCGACGACGCGGTAGCAAAGTTTCAGCAAAACTGGCAAACAGCCGCAGACCGAAGGGAATGCAGAGCCTGCTGTAGGTGGTCATGCACGTGGGTGGTGTTTAGGTGCTTCTGCCCTTGTTAAAGCTCCTTTGCTGCAAAATACGGTCAGCATAATAGAAGTAGATTAGGAAACTGCCCGATGTAGCATCGGCTTTTAAAATTCAGGCGATGGTCGTCTGCTGTCTGGATGCGCTCTCCCTCGCTGCATGCACAAGGGGGCCGTTGTTAGTTTGCTGATTGTCTAGCTTTTCTTTGTGGAAAAAAGTGTTTTCCGAATATCTTTCCGTATGGTAACTGTAATGTGCTAGCTTTACGCCTACAGTCTCTTCAGAGTACCCCTGTCTTCTTGTGGTGTACCTACACCTGAAAACACGATACCGCCAGCCCCCAGCTGGTGGGCCTTGACCCGCCCTTCAGACCCTTTAAAAGGTCCGTACTGTTCGTGTCTTGTTGCTGCGGCTGCATCACAGTGTAGGCACCCCCCTGGGGGCCCCCAAAGGGCCCCCGAACTCTCCAAGCCAAGGGGCAAAGGGAGAGTTAGAAGGGGGGGCACACGTAAAGCCCTACTCTCACTACACATAACTCCGTTAGCATTTTTTCGGGCGGCAGTGGCAGACGCCCTCTTGCGCTTTGGTGGAAGGCCGCCAAGCGCACACACGTAACCCCAGCGACGCAAGCCGTCGCCTTAAGACTGAATCACAGTGCTACTATGCTCAATTTCACTTACCCTCTCTACTGCTTAAATCTAGGTTTATCGGCTGCTTTGGGGGATGGTGTTTTCCGTGTGGACGCCTCAGAATATCCGGCATAGCGCCCAGGTCTGGATCCAGCCTCATCACTAACAAGCAACAGGCACACCCCCAGCCAGCAAGCATCAACAGCAGAACGCCAAAAGTAGAGTGCATCAGGATGTCTCGCCGCTACGACTCTCGTACAACCACTTTTTCGCCTGAGGGTCGCTTGTACCAGGTGCCTGTGCAGGTTGTTGCTGTGCTGCAGCCACCCATAGCGCATGTCTCTTCCTGCCCGCACGTTGTCTTCTTCTCGCTACACTACCAACCTGTTGTTTCTTCGCTCCCTTCCTGTTCTTGGGTCTTGATTTTGCAGTCGGGGCTTCCAGATCTCGTTTTCGGAGGCCGTCTGACTACTCTTTGCCTGTCTCTGCCGCGTTGTGCTTCAACAGGTCGAGTACGCACTGGAGGCGATTAACAATGCTTCTTCAACCCTCGGGATTCTAGCGAAAGATGGGGTTGTCTTAGCAGCAGATAAGATGGTGACATCGAAGCTGCTGGATCATGGCAGGGCCAAGGAAAAGCTATATAAGGTACGTGGGCTTGGACATGCAAAAGAAGGCGTGCAAAGAGGCGAGAAGAGGAGAGAGGAGCCACCGAGAATACCCGTCTAGATATACATGTATCTTTTGAAAGAGAGAAAAAATAGTACACAGTTTCGATGACCTTTGCTTTTCCAAATGATGCCCGACTACACACTAAGCGCATTTGGCGTTGACGGCCTACTTGCAGCCTGCCTTCCGTTCAGCTTTTTGCAACAGGGTCTCTAAAGTCAACATTTCTGTGCCTTTTCCCTTTCTCTACAGGTAGACAACCACGTGATGTGCGCTGTTGCGGGCCTAACGGCCGATGCAAACATTCTGATCAACCAGGCGAGGGTCAATGCTCAGAGGTTCCTCTATCAGTACGGGGAGCCGCAGCCTATTGAGCAGCTGGTAGTGCAGCTGTGCGACATCAAACAGGTAAATTTATGGCTATTCAGCTGTACATGGAGTGAAGCAGTCTGTATGAATACATTGGGCTCTCCACCTGTACGTACACCTCGACGGACTCCTGGCCCCGTGCCTCTGGTTCAAGTGCCTCGTTTGCATGGCATGCATCTCTGCCTGGTGGCTCTCGCCATGATGATCTATCTGCTTTTAAAACGCCTTGTTTCATGCTTTTGTAAATAAATGTTCTTTTTTCTTCATGATTTGCGCAGTCTTACACGCAATTTGGCGGCTTGCGCCCTTTTGGAGTCAGCTTCCTCTTCGCGGGCTGGGACATGCACCACGGCTTTCAGCTGTATCACACGGACCCCTCTGGCAATTACTCTGGCTGGAAGGCGACTGCAATCGGCCTTAATAACCAGTCTGCTCAGACGATCCTGAAACAAGTGAGCAAGATGGAGGAAAGCGAGGGAAACAACGCTTCAGAGTCCTTCGAGTTGTATGGGTGTGTGCATGTGCGCACGTAACTGGGCCTAGCAGCAGAAGCAACGGGGTAGGGCGAGCAGGTGTGCCTATGTGCTGGTTCCAAGTGTGGTGCGCGAAAGGAAGAAAAAAAGGAAGGACTCAAAGTGTTTTTTCTCGGCTACACTTCAGGATACGAACCGATGCCCTAGGCAGAAGAATGCATGTGCCAGTAGCCACCGACTCTGTACACTCTGCTTGCCTCAGGAGCTGCGAGACGATATCGACGTTTCTAGTGCTCTAAATCTAGCGGCCAAGGTGCTGAACAAGACCATGGACTCTGCTGCCCCTAGCGCTGACAAACTGGAAATTGCAGTCTTGCAATTCGACCCCAAGAATTCGGGAGTCCTCATGCAACGCCTACTGCCTACTGCCGAGGTGGAGGCTCTCTTAAAGAAGGCACAAGAGCAACAGACCGAAACGCAATAATCTATGTTTAGGTCTGCCGTGAAGCGCGTGTTGCCATAGTTCTATAAAACAGTCGCAGACGCTTACCGTGCAGCGTAGTGACCAACACGGCGTCTCCACATGCACGTTTTCATGAGCATGCCCCAGCCCTTAGGCGCCCTTTGCCTTATATAGGGGCACCGATAAGAATGCATATACATGTATGGCTGAGATCGGCATCGCGGCGTCCTCTTCCTTGCAGTTTTGCATGCGAGCGGACGCTGAGCTCCAGGGTGTACTTACAGGCAAATGCCGCTGTGCATACACCCCATGGCAACGCGCGAACCGTGTTGAGCTGCAACACGTTGTGTTGTCGCTTTGCTGCCAAGTGGGGTAGCACAAACAGCGGAGGAAGAGGCACAGGCAGAAGCGTTAAAGGGGGAGGGAGGATCTAGCTTCAGAACACCCGGCAACAGGCACTGTGTGCTGCCCCTGTGCCTTCCTTTTCTACGCGATTCTGAAAAATTGAACCGCGCACAAAAGGGTGACCTGACTACATGCGCACACATCAATACCTACACTCCCAAAACACATTTATCGAAGACTTGCCGAGCAGCCCTTGATGCTTCATCTCTGCAAAGCCTTTGATAGTTTCCATCTAACACTGCATACGTGCAACTCGGAGTAGTGGTGGCAGCCCCCGAGAAGATAGTGGCGTGTAGTCAAGGGTCAAGAGCCACACAAAATACGCGTCAAGGTTTTGTACACGAATGAAGCGGCACCCCCACTCGGCCCCTGAGGAGCACCCCGCCCAGCGACGCGCTTTCGCCGCTGTGCGAGATGAAAGCTGTGCATGCAACGCAGAGCGAATCCCCTCCTCTGAAGGGAGGCAGGCTCTCTTCCGCTCGAAGAGACAGCAGGAGCTGTGGGGGAGAAGGCTTTGCTCGAAAAAGGATTCCTCCCCAAATCTCTAAAAAGGGTAACACCTTGCAGCACTACTACGGGCGCCTTCTCTATTTACGACGGCGCGCGGTGCACTCTGCGCAGCACCCCTGTTTCTCCATTCGAATGGCGCAGGCATGCGCACCAGGAAGGCAAACAATTGCGCATTTAGCCTGAGTCGCAGACTCATCCAGTGTCTGGCCGCCTTAGAGTCACCCGCAAAAAGCAGTCGGCCTGTCTGTAAAATACACAGCCGTTGCCGCTCATAGAAGAACGACGCACAAGGCTCACACCCACCTTGTGCTCCCCCTCCTCCGAAGTAGAAGGAACTGAATGCGACATGGAACGTGACTCTGCCGCTAAAGCACCCTGAAGACAGCAGTCTGTGTCTGCTGCTGCTGCTGCTTTGCGCCGCATCCACTTGCAGCCTCCACAAACCGCTGCGGGCTACAGCTCTGTGGCTTCAGAGATCGTCTCGACGCATTGCCACTTGCCTTCTCTCTCTCTGCCACCAGCTCCAAGGCTTCGGCACGAGAAGCACGTCGGACTGCTGCAGAGGAAGACTGCGGGGTAAGCTCCTCCCCCAAGGCGGCGACAGCTCGAGACAAAACAGTCTCGGCGAAGGCGCTGCTCCCCCCCCGCCCTCCCCTTTCATCAGCATCTCCCTCCTCCCCCCGCCCTTCAACACCAGCAGCGACGGCGCATGCGGGAGGCTGCCGCTCGCACCAGAACGTCGAACACGAAGACTTCTTTTCCGCCTGCTCACACGCGAGAAGACGCCTCTGCTGTTGGCAGGCGTCTTTGCACCCTTCCGAATTCGCAGTGGCGTCCAAAAGCAAGTCGTGATGCTTCGCCTCTACTGGCGCTCTTGACTCCGCCCCCCCGCAGCTCGCAGTCCTCATACACGGTGTGGCTGGGGGGGGATTCGCAGCAAGAGAGGAAGAAGTTGAAGCCTCCTCACTCGCCTCCTCCCCACCAGCAGGCACGGCTAACGCCAAGTCGGCCCTCCAACACGTGTCGCTACAGCCTGTGTCTGCCCCCCAATCCTCGTCGCTATCCTTCTCTCGTGCAAGATGCCCCTTGTTCGCCTCCTTTCCAAGCTTTAGCCCTCCCCCCCCTATCTCGACTGCTCCTGTTTCGCGAGACGCACAAACTGCATTCCTGCCGTAGCCTCTCTCCCCGTGTGAGGTCGGTGCCTCAGCCGCGTCTAGCACGGTGCTGATTTCACCATCCGAAGGCCTAACTGCGTTCGCTTCTTCAGGAGCGAAACACACACTCTCAGTTGGAGGAGCACGCGCTGCCTCCTTCCTGTCCGCTGCGGCTGTGGCATCTGCTGCTTGGTCGGCTGCTGTTTCTGCCGCTCCAGAAGCAGGAGCTCTTGCAGGTCCGATCATCCTCTTAGGTTTGGGCTGCTGCTGCCTTCGCGAGTTTGAGAGGGAAGAAGATGCCGCGACTCTCTTTCTGGCAGAAGCGCATGGGGGCACCCACACCCCCTGTGGCGCATGTTGCAGATGCCTCGGCTCCGCCAATCCGCCCCTCGCCTCCTTTTTTACCCGCTCATACAGAGAAACAAGTTGCTCCCTGAATGCCTCGTTCGGACAGGCGAGTGGATTCTTCCTTCTGACAAATGCCAGAGCCTCCGCAGCGCTCATGCCCTCAAACTTGATGAGGTAGGAGCAAATGAAGGCAACAGAACGCGAAACGCCCTGGTTGCAGTGTACCAACACATTGCCGTCCTCTCGCGTTCTGCATGTCTCCAGAAACTCCCAGACATCTTCAAAGTAAGGATGGAGGCTTTCCGTCTGCGTGTCATACACGGGCACCCTAAGGTACCTGAAGAGCAACCGTGATCCGATGCATCGCTTCTCGTGAAAGTTTGGCACGCCCCCCTCTCCGCAGGGCGGTGTGCAATTGATAATGTAGGATATCTTCAGCCGACGGAGCAAATGCTCGTCTCGAGCTGCCTTCTTGTCACCCCAAAAAAGCCACGGGAAACGATCCGCGTCGAGAGGCTTTAAACTGCATGCGCCGGTAGCTGCAGACATCTCCGCACCAGTCGGTGCCTCTGCGCTTTAGCCGAGTAAAACGGGAGAAAACAGTATGCAAAAGCGAAGTCAGACGCTCGATCTCTGAAAGACCGAACAACAGACACCCGAAGGGGTATACACCAACCCGTTCAGACCCTACGAGGCTCCGCCAAGCGGAGAGCCACGAAAGCACACACGCGCATAAATGCTTGGCAAGGGGCTGCCTTACAAAACACACGGATCAGCTTCGAACTTGCCCTTTTGCAGCTGCTTTTTGCGAATACACCTCGCGTATAGATAGAGATACGTATTTATCAAGAGTGCACAAAAAACAATGTTATCCTGCACGGAACTGGACGAGAGGCTGGTAGAGGTGGTCTTCAATAACCAAGCAGCACGCCGGAAGACACAGCTCCACGCGTGTCGTCTGAAGCTTAGAGACGAATGAAAAAGGAGGCGTGGCGATTGGCCGCAGGAAAGCCTTAGTGCCTTCCGATGAAGATATCGAGATATGTACGGCGGGACGCACTTGGGAAGGGAGGATTGGTGCCGTCTTCAAACTAGAGTGGAGACGAATAGCACGGAACTATGCCTGTAGTGTCGAAAAAATCCCAGAATTGTGAAGTCGGGTAAAGAGAGGTAGCAGGGTGATGAACGCTCGTGAGCAAAGAAGAATGCCAGGGGTGATCCTGCAGGGAAAAGACGGCTGCAGACTTGCTTGTCTATTCGCATGAACGCAGGGAGGTAAAAGGGTTCGCAATTCACAAAAACACCTAACGAGAAGAAATGGAGAACTTCTTTGTCTGGTTTCCGACCTTACGCACGTGTTCAAATGCTGAGCGGCCTGCAAGAAGACTCGAAGAGCTATATATATATGCAGTCCGCGCTCAATGTAGTTCCTGTGCATATTAATAGGACTGAGAACTCGTCATTTGCCGCTTCTCATCATTGTGAAACAGAAGTACGTGTAGAAGAACATCCAACTACGCTAGAAAGCCCAGGGGCACAGAGGGTAGTGATATGCTTCGAGGGCTGCGGCCAGCCCCAGGTGATATACAGGAATCTTTTGATTGTGTGTCAAATAAAGCCTAGATGGCTTTTCTTTTGATCATTCGCAGTTATTATATCTTTGCTTTCCATCATAACATGCAGTTAGGCAGCCAGTATACTGATTTACGAGAGTGAACCTTCTTGAAGGGACCGCACAAAAGGCGATCTTTGTAAACTCAGAGAAAAGCCGCTCTTGTAGCCTGTATCACCACAAAAGAGAGATTTGCCTTTTGTTCTTTAGGTCGAGACCTTATCTGAGTCTTCTGCCTCTATCAGTGCCGGTAGTCTTCATGGAAAGAGAACTCGCCCTATCTTTCCTTGATCTTGTTAGATTCCCATCACGAGACACGCGGCACGAAACAGCTGATTCTGATTAAACGCATCTGAATTTCACTGTGCTTGCATTCTAGAAGACAGCTAAAGGGGCTCACTTGCTGGACTCTCGTCAAACACCCAGTTCCTCCCTCACTGAAGTGATGTAGTTTGGGCACTTCGTGAAAGAACACATCAATTCAACGAGGAGAAATTGTGTCCATAGATAAGAGGAGCTTGTAGTTAGCTTTATCTGGTATCGATGTACCACGGTACTGCCTGTACAGCTTGGGTATTTCTAAGGGGACCAGACAGCGGCCCCTTCATGTCCAAATGATCTCCACTTTGCGAGCTGGTCAGTGATCGAAATAAGCACGACCCTTTGGTCCTGCAGAAGAGGCAACTTTGTCTGGTACAAGCGTGCACACCCTCAGACGATGGGTGCGAGGTCAAGTGCAGAAGGCACATCGAGTGAGATATAAAGGGGAAGAAGGGAATAAAATATAACGACTGAAGCCATCCCGATCAAGTACCGCAAGGGACGGGGATTCAGGTGGAAAACGTGGGAGTGAAGATCTTGCTGGCTATCCACGTGTCAGGATGGCTTGCGAAGATGCATTGACAGTTGAGATAGAGCACTGGTGAGCAGAAGAAGCATTCGAACAAACGTCAGCGTCACCCCGTGAATTGCAACCAATGAAAAGCAGCGACTTGCTAACAAAGGCACAAAGAGCCAACTCAAGTAATCTGCCCTTGTGCATGCATTCAAGAAGCTTAGTTTGGCATATTATGCCTGATTCTTGCCTTTTGTGCTTCCTGCTATGAAGAGTCCGCTACAAGTATCGATTTAACACAATGTGCAATCGACCGTGGATTTCTTTGCAGTACTGGATGTGACGGCCACCAGATGTTCACCAGACATACACAGAGCAAATATGAAGAATACGCAGATAAAGGTATTTAAGGAGCTTTTTCCATTTTCGTCCGTTCTTTGCGCTTTTCCCGTTGAAGAAAAACCCCTGGTGCTCCCACCGGTACTTTACATCTCCCAAAAGAGCGGCAAATCCTATAAAAACCGAAATGGGTCCACTTAATTCCCAACGACGTTTTACACTCATGTATATATATATATATATATATATATATATAGAGGTATCCCTGTCAACTTTGTCTACTTCGAGTTTTTTGAGGGAGCCAGTTTTACGCAATCCAGCACAAACCGCCTTCGGTCTTAGAAGCATGCAAGACCCCATAGCCATAGATATCCTTCATAACGGACTTTTCTTTCTTCTTGCATAAAAATTCTTGAGTATTCTGCCTTATCCTGCCTGTTGCGTGCATCTTTCACCGTATTGTGGGGCAGTGGGTAAAAGCATTCTAGAGAGCGTCTCCTCGGAGCTACGGATTCTCGTACGTACTTCCTAGGCTGTCTCGTCTTCACTTTTGCAGATCGCTGCCTATCTGTCGGGCTGCCTCCCTTGTTGTTATTGCACGACCGAGCTGTCGAAAGGAAAATAAACAAATGAATGTTGACTGGCTTAGGAGGCCTTTCTGTCCCGCAATTGGTTGTCGTGACCGTTCTAAATACTCTTTGGCTCTCTTACCTCGCTTTCCGCCGTATCGTTTGGGAGCACTGTGTCTGACTGCGTCATTAGGTGAATCCACAGCCAAATGTGGGCCTCAATCACGATGAAGTCATCGTCAAAGACCTTTACAGCCCAGATTACTGTGTGTTCAGCTTCTCACATTCGACAATTCTCAGCGATTTCCTACACACCAATCGCAGCTTTGGAAGCTGCGCTCACCTCGAACCGCACATCTCCACAGGTTTTCCTACATACATCTTTTTTTCAAATCGTATTTTGGCTGGCCATCAGATAGGATTGCACTGCAACGGTGTCGCGGAGTTTTGTTTTTTGAGCAGACAACGCCCTGGATAGCACAGGGAAGATTGCCTGCAGATTCCGCTACCCGCGGCTTGGGGCTTTCGAGGTCTTCCTGCGGATTCCATCAAGCACCAGGAAAATAGTACGCGTAACGTCTGCTCAGTTGTATTCAAACTCCCACACACGCAAGAATCTGAATGCATGCTCAGGCAGGCTTTGCAAGGCTTCTTGCTCCCAACGCTCGTCATGCTATGGACCTCACACTGCCAGTCAGGCTGCTCTGCTTGCTTCTTCCTGTGTCTGATAGCGTGCCCTCGCACAAGTCCCTCCCCTGCATGCATGCCCTCACATGGGCGTCTTGCTGGGGCTGCGAAAATAGTCTCGCTGCCAGCTTTCCCTCTCCCACTGCTACTTTCAGCCTATCTTCTCCAAGCTGACTTGTGGCAAATGGCCGACCCCTGCAGCTGTGGCACGGCGGGTGCAGCGGGCGCTACAGCAGCCCGCCTTACTAGAAGATGACGGACTCGGGTGTTCCGGTGGAGAAGTTTCTCCTTTGGTTTCTAAGCTTGTCAAGAGCCAGCCCTCAAGTCCAACAAGCGCTGTAAGACTCAGAGCGATAGCAACACGTAAAAACAAAACGCCTATTAGTTGCAAGCGCCCATGGCCCGTTCTGCTTCATTAAGATGCATTTTTACCCGCCTAGAACACCAAACGCAAAGGACAGTGCCCACGGAGGCCACAGAAAATAGCAGTCAATCCGCATTATGCAGATGAAAAGAATGCTACTGGTTGAGGGGAAAAAGCCCCTATACAGCTGTCAGCGCGATGCTGGCAGGCAATCTGGAAACCATTTGGTTTTTTTTCGCCACCTTCGTCCTTGTTTCTTTTTAGAGCTTTATGTTCACTCCTCTTCAGGCTTGTTCCCTCCTGTGGCTATCGCATCTTTGTGCCATCTTTTTCCAGTCGTGCAACAAACACCTCAATTTTGAGTGTGCAGGTGCCAGGACTCCCCTTGTCTGTTGGTAGCGCTGCTGAAAAAGCCGAGCAGTCTAATAGCGCAAGTGGCGATGTCGTACAGCTTCCCTCAGTCCCCATACAGAACGCCTCGGTCGCGGCTGTAGAGACCCCAGAAGAAATCATGGGTGTGTAGCAGTGAAAATAACACCCTATTGCTAGTTATTTTAGTAATTTGGAGTTTAGCGGTCAGGAACTGTTTTTTCAGGGGTTAAGGTTCAAGCTGCAGAGCACACAGAGGTTGACGATGTACGATGTAAATTTTGAGAATGATCTCTGCAGGCATCTCAGCAGCCGCGGAGAAGTCGACCCATTTGGAGGGACTTGAAGCAGCAAGGAAGGCCGACGTAGAAGAGCCTGTCTTGGAGTCAGCAAAGCTGAGCAGCAGTGGATCCGCGGCGAAGCCCAAAAAAAAGCACAAAAGCAAACAGAAGGAGAGAATCACGGGGGAAAACGCAGTACCTGCAGAACGTGAGGAGGGTTTCGAGCAGCCCTGTGCCTCCCTTCCGGCTGATAAGCCTAAGAAGCACCACAAGGCAAAGCACGACAGTAAAGGCAATGAAGGGCAGCCGCAAGAAAAAGAGCACAGCGGCAGTGTGAATGGTGGCTCACAAGAAGCTTTGGAAAAAAATGCACAAGAATTTAGGAGTCATAAAAAGGAGGGGGAAATCGAGAAGAAGAACTTGACCTCTGTGGATTCCGAAAACACACAGATGGAGTCGGCGGCCAAGAAACAGCACGAGCAACGGGGCGGCAGCAAGAAGTCGGACACGGAGAAGGAAAGTAACAGAACGCTGATTCACGAAGAGGCAGAGGAGACACTGAAGCCAGACGAAAAGAAGAAGAAAAAGAAGAAGGAAGTGGGGGAAAAGGACGTGAAGGATGTGTCCGAGAGCCAAACGATCAACAATAGCGAAGTCAAAGACGAGGCAACAAAAAAGAAGAAAAAGGAAAAAAGCGAGAAAAAAAAGGCGGCCTCGGAGCGTCGTGGCGAAGAGGCCCCTTTGATTAAAGCCTCGAGTGGTCAGGAAACCAAGAAAGAAGAAAACTTCATATATGAGGTAGAAAAAGCAACGGCGATGGGAGGAGACTATCAGGAAAGCCCAGATCGGAAGAAAAAGAAAAAGGAAGAGGCAGAGATGGAGGCCAGAGTCCGGCAGAGGGAAGAAGAAGGGGCTGCATCTGAGGTAAAGAAGCAGCACAAGGATGAAGTTTCCCGAAAAACTGCATCACCAGTCCAGCAGGGCATGCCGTGCGATATTGACAACAGCGAGCGAAAGCAAAGGCCTGAAAATGGAGGACTAGAGGCAGCGGCTAAGGAGGATGACAAGAAAACCACCACGACGGACACCAGACAGCTTCTGACGTTCTCTACACGTATGTCTTGCTGCCTCGCCACTGTCTGGAAAACGGATATAGTTACTATAACACATTCTTGGAAAGATTTTGTTAGCTACGCTGTGCGCCGCGACTGGGTGTGTTCTGCGGCTAAGCCTTAAGAGCTGCTCCTTGCTGTAGCCGTGTGTACGGTGGACGGCCACAGGCAGCAGCCTGTCAGTCTTGATCTCTTGCGTTTCGCACTATTCCTTCCTGTCTGCTGCTGGGCCGTGTCCAAGTGCCTTGGTCTTATTGGATGTCACTCGCTGCCCTCTGTGCCTCTACGGCACCCTTTTCTAGTCCCCGTTCATCTCTGATTCGCTGCCTTGTGGGTGTTTCGTAGATCCGGCAGCTCCCGTCACTCGTCAATATGAGTTGACGCTACCCGTTGGCGCAAAGCAAACACAGGTATATGGTTTCCTGGGCAAACTCTCCGCAGCACAAGCGATGGCATCAGATGAATTAGAAGCAGATTTCGGAGCACCAGACAACTGTGTGCTGTTTCTGCACTTCCTGGTCCAGCAAGCATCTATCACCCGCACGAGTGTTGCTTTGTAGTCAGTTTTGTAGACTGGATACACTTGACAACAACGCAGAATTCTCTCTGGTTTTAGAGGTATCTGTGTCGCAACTAAATTTTGTTCATGCCTTTTCTTTCTACACGCTTCGCCTGTTTTGACTTTCTTGGCAGCGACTATCCTATCAAAATCCACAGGACGTTGCGGTGGATCTTTTGATAGCCTCCTCAGACTTTGAAGTGATGAATCCAAAGTACGGACGATGCACTATAAAGTATAGCAAGGCGCACATCCTATGATCCAGATCCTAAACCATAGCAGCCATACCATGCGTCCTCGCATCCAAAGGTAAAGTCTAACTTCAAACCCTGTGACTTGATGCGCGCATCTAATGCGTCTCCTCAGGAAAACCGAAATGACAGTGGGTCCTGGAGAGAGTGTCAAAGTTCCGGTAATTTTTCAGGAGGTGCGTTCATCATGCCTAGGGTTACCAGTCAAATTCAGTACGAGCTTCACGGGATGTACAGGTCCTATTGACTACTATAATGTGCAACCTGGTACTACCTGCTTTACGCTTTGTTTCAAATGTACACCTTCGGTTAAGCTGGATGGTGTGACTACTCCAAGGCATTTCATCATGGGATAACGTAGAGGCAAACCCCGCCAAAACAGTTCAGTTGCTGGTTTTCTTGCATCGTCGATTCATCCTTTTATATGGAGAATATCTGCATAGACACGCAGGAAACAATATCCCATCAGTTCTTGTCAGGCGATTTCAGAGCATTGGAATGCTGACCTGCTGCTGCTGCAGGTGGATGCTCCATGCAAAAGAAATGTTTTCCTTTACTTGCTACAAAGGGAAGAAAAAAATATAATGTAAGGCGCACCCTTTCGGTATAGCGGCTTGTAAAAGCAGCTGTGGAACTTACTCACTCAACGATGCTACACGCTGAATCCAGACACCTAGCTGCGCCTCCCTTCAGAATATGCAGGAGCCAGATAAGCATAGGGGCGAGACACAGCAGTACCAAAGAGCGAATGGTGCAGTCAGGGTATCTTGTGCAGAGAGATGAGAGAAAAAGCACACCGTTTGCTCTTTGGTACCGGCTACTGCTTTGCCTCGTTCTTGTGCTTATATACATCCTGCTATTACGAAGGGCGCTGCATTCAGGCGTCTGGATTCAGCATGTAACACCGTTGAGCTATTTTCCACTACTTGCTCTGTATATATTGTGCTTTGCTTCGCCTCCACACTTAAATATCGCACATTGCAGCTGCCTTTATATCGGTACGATGAGTTCTGTTCACCAAAGTCATGTATTCAGAAGCGCTGCAATTTGTGTTTGAGTTCAGAGAATGCGTCGCCATTGCCCTTACTTTCAAATAGTGTGGTGGCGGTTGGAAATGATGCCGAATGCAGCACTCGCTTTGTTTTTATATTCATATTGGACCATTGTAGCACCTGGTATTTGGGCTCCGCTTCCCTCTCTTGTGGTGCACATGCGCCCTCCTGATACCGCATGGCGGAGAAAGCAACAAGCTGAAGGTAGCTACACCTTCCAGACTTCTGCGTTCCAGCGAGAGACTTGAACGCAAAACAGCCTAAACCGGTATAAAATTGCTTTTAGTTAATACGAATTAAACCACTGAAAAAGACAACTGCTGAGTTTGAGCTGTGTAGACTTTTGCAGTGATCAATTCGCAGTACTATCGTTTTCCTATTGTGTATATGTCTCTCATTCCATTACATTTGAGGCAAGTCCGTTCCTTGCCTTTGGTTCGTTGAAAATTCCAATACTGTGAATGGCTGTAGTACGTTGCAAGTTCATATTAGAAAGCAAGCGGACTGAATTAAAAATCGCGATACTAGATGTCTACGCAATAAGTTACACCGATCATCGGTAACAGTGCACAATAGAACCACACAACTGTTGCATTGCCAGCTAAGTATACCCTAAATGATGGGGGGATCCTAATTATGCAGCTAGAGAGGGACATTGTCTCATTTTATCCGTTTTGCGTGTACTGACACAACATCGAGCGTCCAAACCCATTATGTATACACAACATACTTTTACACATCTGCAGATCTGCCAGTAAACATATTACAAAGATTTGAAAGAGTCAAGAAAAAACAATAAAAAGAGCCTGTTAGTGTTGCTTAAGCGGACAAGGGTTTACTATCTGCTTTTGTTAGGAAGGTGTGGTGGATGTCCAGCAAAATTAGCTTCAAGAAACCCAATTGCACTTTTTCATTCCAGCTTGCTTTGCTCCTTTAACTGCTTGAGCAGCTGGCTAGGAGTCAGAATGTTCGTGCTACCTAAAACGCAAGGAGCCAATGAGAAAATACTGTAGTGTAGCCTAGACCATAGAAAACAAGGCCATAGAGCAAGGAAGCACGCGCCTATTTGACACTTAATTGACCGAGGCAGGAATACTTAAAATGATTAGCCCCTTATATGCAGAATCTTACAGGATGGCGACTGGGAACCAATGGAAAACCTCACCGATAAAGATCTCGCAGTTCAATTCATTCGATACTTCGTAGGCGCAGCGCATTTCCGAGTGAAGGATCCCTCCCAAAACGAAAACCACCAACCGGGGTTTGGACTTGTCTAATACCTGGGTAGGACTTTGCGACTGAGCATGGACCAGAACCAGTAGATACTGTTTAAATCAAAATACAATATAAACTGAGAGGAAATACTGATAGAGCTTGGAACCTCATGGTGGATTGAGGCCAGAATTCAAGTACTCGGCGGTGAACGAAACTGCTACATTGGTCAGTAATCCCAAATGCTATGAAGCGTCGACATGAAGCAATTAACAGCATCAGTGATAATAAAGGTAGCGGTGCGGGTTGTCTAGGAGCTGAACAAAAAGGTCTGCGGACTGCCACTGTGGACAGACCGAAAGGTACCTTTTGCGAAACTTCGAGGGTAGAACTCCAATTCCATTCAGTTGAGCGGCCAATGACAGACGCTGAAACCATGCAAACCATTCAACAGGTAAAAGAAATCTGCGCAAGGAGGTAAGGAGGCAGTAGGCAAAGAAAGGGAGGGAGGATAAAAAAAGGGCAGAACAAAATTCCGGGACGGAGATGGCGGGGGGACGTAAACGGGAGATTGGAAGAAGGAGCTACGAAAAGGCACAGACGACTGACAAGCTAAAAGCAAACGAAGGCCAAAGCATTTAACGAGAACCGACTTCAAGAACTAACTAGCTAGAGGGAGAGCAAATAAAAGACCCACTTCCCCTCTTGTGTCGCGTGGCTTCGTGATTGGTCTCCATCCGCCGCCTGCGGGCGAGGAAAAAATTAATCAAAACGAGGAATAGATTTTACAGAAGCCTTGAGGCAACAACACCGTTAACCGAAGCATACGGGAACGAGGCGATACTCAAATCGTTGAATGCCAGAGACAGACGCCACTAGAACAAAGAAGTACCTAATTTCTTTGCCATACTTTTCGGATGCGAGACACGCAGATGAAATGCATGAATTCACACTTTTGTCCTCGGAGTCAGACTTTTACACGCAACATTCCCCCTCAAGCAATATTTCGCAATTTTGTGATTCAATTCTCATTCTTCTTGTCTAGTCTTAACCACCGTCAGGCTTTGCCGTCTAGACGCACGTGGGCTCGTCCACGAATGGGAAGCGTCCCCCATGAAGAGTTCCCTGAACCGTTTTCTACGTGACACACGTATCACAGCACCGCGGGCATGAACATTTTGATTTCGGCTTGGGGCTTTTAAATTTGGTCAGATGCTGAAGAACTGGACTAACATCCATTCGCTCTGCCTAGAAATATGTTTCATTTACCTCCATGATGCCCCTGATTGAAGGTTCGAATCTTGAGAGGTCGTATCTCGCTCTTTTGGCTCTTTGCTTGAAGAATTTCACTTTATCCCTTTCTGTTTCAAACCTGTGCACGGGCTTCCCCTTCTAAATTTGCCATTGATAGGACAGGCCAAACAGAAAACATATTACGCACCAAGTCATGGTTTTTTCTCTTCTTTGCCTGCTGCGTTATTCCGGTGAGAGTAGATGATTCAGATCGAAAGACAATATATCGGGAAGGCTGGGAACGATTCAAATGAAACAGGCCATGAAACTGCGCTTTACTACAAGGGAAAGTGATGTAAAGCGTACTGTGGGATACTCGCCGGAGAGTGAACCCGTGTGCAGTTCAACTGCAGACACGCAGAGCTACATAGAATCGAAAACTGAGATTTAACATTTGATGTAGTCTTAGAGTGCTTCATCAGGGTTCGTTTTTGTTTATACTACTAGATAAAGAAACCAGCAGTGTTTCAAGCAGCACACAGGCAGCAGGCTCTTAGGTGCACAATGCAGGCATTGCCGAACCGTGCTAATCAAGTGAGGAAAAACAGATGAACTAGCCCCTCCCCCTATCCGCAGCAAACTTCCACTTGTTGCAGCGTACGATCCATGAACTTCTGAATAACCCTCTGATTCACGAGACTTAGCTGTGCCGCCTCCACAGCCTGAACCAAATACAGGAGAAACCATGAAAATGAGAGGTCTGCAGAAGCATAGCCAGCAGCTCTTTGAAATCAGCACTGCGACCTCCTTGAACAAGCATCTCAGAAATCGTTGAAGAAGCACCATCAGCAGGCGCAGCTCAGCTGGTAACGCAAGAGCTTACCTTTGTTCTGTCCGCGGCATCCAGTCCCAGTAGCTGGGTGAATTCCAAAAGCAGCAAACGCAGTTTCTCATCCTGTCTGAACAATTAAAACGCCACTCGACTCCAGAGGACGGAACGTGGCGAGTCTTGCATATGAGTCGCTAGACGCTTTTGTACTATATCTGGTGCCTGTGGAACAGCCCGAGCTAGCGACCTACCTAATGGTGTTGTCCGAAGCCAACGACCCCACTGCTGCCTGCAGCTTGGATCCGCTAATTTCTTTTCCATCCTTGTCAACCGCGCAACAGAGGTCCTGGGGCAGAAAGAACAAAGAACCAATGAGCGACACAGCAAAGACGCTGAAGGGGAATATAATAGCGGGAAGAGCTTTCATAGAAAGTGATCGCTTAGTGAAGGCAGCCGGAAGTAGTCAGAAAACAATTAAGACTGTCTGTTTTGAGGAGAAACTGAGCCAGGAAGAAGGCGAGATATCAGACACATGGCACAAAAGCGGCAAAGGTCTTGAAACGCAAGCAATGTGAGAAATAGGGTGTGTCTCTCGTGCCGCCTCCAAACCGCCACCCCAAGAGGCAACGAAAAGTGCAAAAGATGAACGAAAAAGACCTTTGACAGTCGATTACACACGGTTGCGCGCACCTGTTCAACTGCCCCAAGTGCCATGAGTTTCAGCTCCTGGAGCTTCTCAAAGCAATTCTCACTCAACGTTACGTGCATCCAATACTGAGTCAAGACACAGCGTGCCTCATTGACGGCTCCAGAATTCATCATCATTGCGCATTATTTCACGCCACACAAGCTTCGTCCAGGAGCGCCTAACTAGCTGTTTTGCTACCTGACCAACCAACTCGCCAAAATATCAGGCACTGAAGACAAAAAAGGGAAAAATCAAAGGAAGGGAGGAGGCAAGGACCACCGGACGAAGGCGTACACGAGACAGGGCTTCCTGGTATTGCGGCAGAGAGCGAATCGCTTTTAGTGTGTCTTCTGTGCTAGTAGCCTACAACCACAGCCCGTAAAAATGCACAGAAACGGCCGATGGGCAAGTGTGAAGGAGGGAAAGGCAAGTATACATCGCTGATAAAAAGGAGCAATAAACCGCCGAATATGCGGAGAGTTCGAGACATGAAAAATCACGAAAAAAGGTAAGCAAAGCAAATGCATGCAAATTGGCTTGGGAATGACACACGCCCCTAGAAAAGCCGCGACCATGCTGCGATGTAACTGGGAGAGCCACAGCACCAATCCACGGAAAAGACACTGTGAGCCTTGTATCCGCTCATAAGTAGGAACGTCGAGTCCGATTTTCCGCTTTCTAGTTTTACTATTCGACTGCTGAGCCAAGTGCAAATGTGCTGCACCTCAGCTCCCTGTTGAACTCCCAAGATTGCAAAACGATTTACGATGTGAGTTATGAGACTTCCAGAGTAAAGAGAGTTTTCTACAGGGGACACGATCAAAACGCTTCTTTTTAGCCTCACTAGAGACCCTTTGGATCTGCTTTAATCCAAACTTTCTATCATCGACTCCCTAGTCAACAGCAAGCCCCCTGAGCTGCACAAATCTCCCTCTGCGCTTTCCTTGCTTGGAGTACGCCGCACCTGATTTTGCTGCACCTTGACCGTGCTGTTTTCCTTTAGAAAAAGCATAACTTCCTCCTGGACTGACTGATTAACTTCCTGAATGTGCTGGTGCCGACAACGAACCCACACCTCGTCTTGCTCCCCCAGGATAGTCTGCCACACGTGCACATACACTGTGGTAACACGACAGCAGTAGGCTTGTGTGTGTGCGATTAACGCAATGTACCTGCTGCTTTCTTGGGCACGTCTCTCTATCTCTTAGTGTTTGTATCGATATCTATACAGAGATCAATCCGCATCTACAAATGCATAAAGGTAATGCAAGAGGCTTCACACACAGCCAGTGCACACCTGTTTCTTTTCCTGAATCCCCATATTGTTCGTCACTTCGTAACTGAGGCCAACAACAACAACAAGCGTGCCCCTCAGCAGCAGTTCATCTCGCTCTCCTCCCCCTCAACCCCTTCCCCCTATCTTTTAGTCCACCTATTATAATCGCCCCCAGTGCTGGCTAAATGCGCAAACTAAACCCAGGGGCTTAAGCGTTGGTCTTGCTGGTCCTCCTTCCACATCGCAGCACAGAGCGACTCCCCCTTTGCTTACTTGTACACATCTTCCATCGGTTGAGACACCTCCGAGTTTTTCGTCTTTGTTTGGGGAGGGCAGCAGACGGGAATTTCCAATACGTCGTATGCCAATGCCTGGACGAAGGGGCACGTGATGACGAGTGCAGGAGAACTCGAAAAGCTCAGGCGTATTATGCCACGTGCTATCGATGTCTACGTATCTCAGTCTGTTTTAGTGCACCTGACTAGCCAAATACCGATAAGATAATGCCTCTGTTCCGTTAATCTCTCCCCTTCCCCGCCTCACCCCCCTCCGAATTCGATGAAACCGCTCCGAAGCGATAAGTACCTGATATGTGTACTCGTGAATGAAGAGAGGCGCCAGGTCCACAGACCGATCCAAAATAAGAAGGGTTCCACCCTGGCTGTCAGACGACTTCGCAAGTAGAAAAAAGAAATGCACATGCAAAGACAGCAAAGCTTTATATTCCGGGGGAGCAGGGTGGGCTAGCCATGCCTGGCGGGCTCAGAACATCGAGACTAGCAGCATGGAGGATTAAGAGTATGGTCACTCGTCGTTAAAGCATTAAGAAAGCGAAATATGAAGTCCGAAAGGCAGTACCAGGCAAAATAGTGCGACACACCGCTGGCTCATGTTCCTGCAGCCCTCTGTGGACGAGCAGAGCGACCTGTTCGCACCACGGCAGCTGATTCTTCTGAAAGCGGATAGCCGGTCTCCTGCCGAGAGTCATGCAAACTGAGATGAGCTGAAAGCAGTGCCCATAAGAAATTTCAAAGCAAGTGATGAAGACCTCTTCTTTGTTTTCTAGGTGTGCGCGCAACATGGGACTAAAGCACCAGAAACATGTGCACTACCTAGCAACCGCAGGAACACATGCGTCTCTAAAGCAGCAGAGTGGAGCTCTAGTTTCACGCCTTTATGAATACTTGCTATGAGGACATACACCCCAAACACCGCTCACATCTTCTGCTATCTTCTGTAGCAAGGACGGAGCAGGAAGGGGAAACAGTTGCAGCAAAGCGTCCGGCATTCCCAAATGAAACACCCGTTGCTCGTACGCTGCAGCGACACATAAAATACCCTTCTATGCAGCGCAGTTGAAGGTGGAAACGCGACGAGCACCGATGACTGCCCTCAACCCGCAGCAAAGCGTATACACAATGAAGGAAGATATACGCGGTGACGCTTAATGGGTCTATACATATACATACACGAAAAAAGGAAGACGTGCTTTCACTGCAGGAAGTACAGCAGCTGCTTAGGCACTGCACTGCTGCTGCTTCTCCTTCTCACCAATGAAGCTCAAGTTGAATTCCACAAGGCATCTTATTCTTGGGAGCAGAGAAGGCGCATCAGCCAGGAGTGTCATCAGCTTGCTTGACTGGGCTGATGGAACACAAGACAGAAACCTAGTAGGCCGCTCTTAGCTGCTCGCTGGCTGCTACCTCTAGGTGCAACTCTACATACAGACAACAGGCGCACTGTGCGGGCATGCAAAGAGGGCAAGCGCTACCACTTGAAAGAGGAAAACAAGAACAAAGACAACCGAAGGAATAAAGCACTCCGCCTGACAGGCTCCCCGTTTCACTTTGGCTTCATGCTTGCTAGCAGAGCAAACCCTTATCTACAGAAGATCGCTCTACGTATCCAAGTCCAAAAACACCCCCACTGCCTTTTGCCATGGATCCACCTACGTATAGGGGAGCTGAAGTAGACGTAGGCCGATCGATGCTGGGGTTTGCGTTCATCCTTGAAGTCAGTAATGAGGGCTCGAACGGAATCTTCGCAGGGGGAAAGAAAGTACAGAGCATTTAGCTCAGGCAGTGGCTGCCGCTGTTTCGAGATAAGCTCAACAACTGCAAAGCAATAACACCGGAGAAGGGAAACCCTATGCAAAATCCTGTTGGTCTGGGTTACCATGCTACGCAACCACAGCAACGGCTCCACATAGGCTACCTAAGTGGCTCTTGCTTCTGTGCGTGATGCTCACGAGCGAGACACCGCATGGCAAGACGATTGGGGGAAAAATGGGTACGCAACGGTTGCGTACCAGTTACTCCGTCGTAAAGCACATCATAGACGCTGCAACATGAAGATAGAACGTTGAGAGTCTGGCTGTCGACAACCATTGCAATGTAGTTTCCAGGCCCGCCGACCTGGCGCACCATTTCGTCCAGAAGCCCTGCGAATTCACGACCCCTAAATAGCACTGCACATGTTCGAAGAGCCAGAACATGAACTTGTATTTACATACGCTTCTCCTACATTTCGATACGTGAGCTACTCAGAAGCTGGAATGGCTGCGTCTCTCTCTCTCTGTGTGTGCAAGTGGAGGTATTTAGGGTTGTGCATCTACACGCGTATCCACAGATGCCGTGCAGCAGCGACGAGTAGATATCGTACATGCATGTGTATGCATAATACTACGGGACACCACAAGCAGCAGAAAGCTTACAAGCACACTTGGGTATCCCAGTGCACGCAGGTGCTTATTTCTAGTATTTGGATTCAGTAAAGCGAGAATGTGCGCGCCTACCCGTTTTGGTGAACTTGCACACATGTCCCCCACGGAAGCGTGCTTCCGCATAAGATTTTTAACATGGTGCATGGCAGACAAGAGAAAATTTTGCATAGTTTGTCTATTTATTCTCGTTAAAAATATGAAAGCAACTCGCTCACTCTTTTTGGTCATTAATTTGATGGACGCCATCTTGCTTGAGAAAGAGAAAGTGTGCGCCCATCTCAGCTCAATTTTCGCATCAGAAGTTCTGCTGAAGCACGGTAAACCAATAAGCGCTTCCTGTTGGCCTCTGTTGCGGCATAATGAACGGAGGACAGAGAATCTTTTCTACCTGGTGTTGCTCTCCTGGTTTCACGCTGCTTTCTCCCGCTATTGAATGCCTGACTGTTGAACCTATGATTGGTCGCAGTAAGGCCTAGCTGCTATTGCTTTTTATTGCCCTTCATGCGGAACAATAAAAGGATGCGAGATGAGTCCCTTTCCTATCGTTGTGCGTGGCTGTACCGCTGAGTGATCGTGCTGCAAGGATGAATCTTCTGATGTCTCACATCAGTTATAAAGATAAATGCAGCTGCAGAAGTTCAATACTCTCACCCTCCTTGTGACTGAGGGAAAAGCGTAGAGATTTGCATTAGTTTGCATGCAGCTTCAAGGCCCCAAGAGTGGAGCCGACACCGGTACAGCAACTGTATTAACGTCACGTTCTGTGCTTTCCGCATGTGCAATAATGAATAGCGATCTCTTTCAGACTTACAAAGCTTTGCAGACACGTGTTCCAGACTCAGCGTGCCGTGAACAACCAGCAAACGCCCATGAGAGAACGCTGCATCGAGTAATCTACGCTAAGCAGGCTGTCGTCTAGTGCGGCGTGTATTTCCTGCTCCTCAATTCCTCTCTGTTTCGTATTTTTTGGCTATGCGCGGCGATCTGGGGACGGCAGGACGCAGTGCCCGCTTGACGCAGCTGCTCTTGAAAAGGACCAATCCCGTGGGAGACGATGGAGTTACCCGTAGAATGGGGTCTCGGCATGATCCTTCATGATCTAAAGTTGTGTGTGAATGAGAGACTAGCCTGCCTGCTGCCTCACTAAGCGGTAATACAGGCACTATTTACCTCCAGGTCATCCACAATCCTGAGGCGTTAACCATCAACTATTCAAAGATGGGCAGCTCCCAGCGTTTCTGGGAACTCCTCCTAGGCGAAGACACGCTCACTTGCCTACTCCAGAGAGACAACGCAAAGGAGTTTACGAGGGCTGACACCCCTCAGTGCCCTGAGGATGAGTCAGCCCCCTTGGTGACGGCTGGCGAGGCAGCACAAGAAACGACAGTGCCTGCCGAGCTAGAAGTTGAGAGGCTTCTGCAGATGACAGGCGACGAGCTCTGCAAGCAGCCTGTAGGGCAACGTCGGGAGTAGTGCACTGTTTTCTTGATCTAGCCGCACGTGGAGGAGATTGCCGCTTATCGACATCTCATGATATGTGTGATCCACATCTCATGATACGTGCGATGAGGGATGAAATGCTCTACTGTAGGGCGCAATTGTTTGTTCTGCATCGGTTGCGCTTCAGGCGCTGCTTCAAATCGAGGCAGCGAAGCTCAGAAATGCGCAAGACGAGCTAGCTGTACAAAATTGTTCGTTGTTTCTGGCATCTTCTAAAGCTCTCAACAGCCTGAGCTGCAGTGTACGTACAGCATTGCACGCGGCTGCACACCAGCAGTACCGTCGATATAGATACGCATGGATCGCGGCGGCTACACCCAGAGAGACGCCGAACAGCGAAGCCCCACGACAATGGAGGGGGGAGGGGGAAAGCGACAGCATGCGCAGTTTTTTCGTATGTGGATAATCTCAGGTGGACAATCTCTCTGCTACTTTGCGGAAGATAGCACAGTGCGTGCAGCCACTGCAGAGTGGCTTGAAGGTGAGAGATGGCTCCAGATGCCTTTTCAGAATGAAGACTGAGTAGCAGGCGCCTTCAGTTATGTCTTCTCGTATGTGCTGCAACACTGCGCGTCTTCCACATTCCTCCCCACGCCACACACGTTGCCTAGTGAATGTGCCGTCCAGAAGTGAATTAAAGCCATAACGGCATTTTGCAACTCGGGGGGATAAACGTGTCCAGCAGGGTATGGAGCCAGCACCTCCTTCTGCCTTCGCAGTGTTGGAAGAAGCGAAGCAACCCTAATCCACGGATGTGTGGCTCTTCATGCGTTGGCTGAATCTGCAGCAATTTAGGACGGAGAGCAATGCAGCGGCCAGCCAGGAAGCCTCTTTACACATTCTCGTTTCGATGCAGCACCTGGTCTCAGGGGTGTGGCGTCTTTTTCGCTAGTTTTCTGGTCACAGCCGCGTGGTGTATCGGCATGCAGTTGCAGCTGCCAGCGTCGGAGGCGGAGGCGCCGCAGTGCAGTTAGTTTGCTGCTTCAGAGCTCCCTCATTCCAACTGGTCAGAAGATTAATTTCTGCAAGGAGCGGTTGTGTTTCTCAGCTGCTGGAGCTGCCATCATTGGTGTTGCGTTGCTCAAATGGAGGACTGCACGACGAGGCGGTGGATGCGCTGATGCTCGCAGATGAGGTACAGCCCCGTCGATTTCAATTGGCTTTTAGTTCCCTGCCTTCCTTTGAGGTGTAAAAGATGTGTATACACATGCTTTTGATCATGGGATTCTAGTCTACATGCATGCCTGTTGCCTAGCGGCAGCATGAAAGTGCTCCATCTTATGAGTAGGCAGACAGACGGGAGAGGCGATGTAGACCTGTTGCTCTTGCCGTCCCCCTTTATGCCTTTCCTTTCTACATTCTCTTTTTGTTCCTCTGGTATTCTCATGTTATCATGCAGCAAATTACCGCTCTTCGAACTCATGGTTGCTGCAACTTGCGCCTGTTGGACTCTCTAGAGGTCCAGGTATTTTTTCCAGTTTACCGCGATTACCCATTGAGAACTTTCGTTTGTCTTAGTTTCCTTTCTGCCGTCACTTTGACGTGACTCTCGTCACGTCTGCAGAGCCAGCAAGCGATATCTTTCCGCGGATGTTGTTGCTGTATATTTTGTTCGACAGTTGTAGACCACTTGTGCGCCTTATTCCTTCTAGGGAATAGGGAGTCTTCAACCACTCAGGTGTGCATGCGTTCTGCGGGTTGGTACCGTGTCCGTTTGCTGCTCCTCAGATGAAAGACTCGAGAAACAGTTGCATGAAGGCCATGCTGCGGCAGCTTGGCCAGCACTCCCAACTGGCTGCTTCTATAAAACTGATTGGGTGCGCACTGTCGAGCAGTGCGCGAATGAGGCAACACGAGAAGCTGCACCAGGACCAAACATGCTTGCACACGCAGCAAGGCAAAAATTTCTTTACAACCGTGGTCGCCTGCCTTTGGACTCTGGCTTTGTGCTGTGTGATTTCTTTCTTCCCAGCGGTTACCTGGGCTGCCTGCCTTAGAGCTTTCTTCCTCTTCCCTCCTGTCTAGCCTCTTGCAACCCAATCTCGCCGTTCAGTGCGGCCACTCCTGCCCTCCGCAGGCCCCTCCGTCGTCTCTCCTGTTCTGAGGAGCAGCTGAGGGCCAAGTTTTTGCAAAGGCGGGACGAAAAAATTACGCGCGAGAGGCGCAATGCTGAGCAAGCATGTGAAATGGATGCAGCGCAGTAGGTTCTGAAAGGCTCTTAAGTGCTGCACTTAAGCGGCTGTCGTCCTGGCCTGCCAACCAGCACTGACAGGAGTATCAACGCCTGCAGACCCTCAAAGGTTACTTAGCATGCAAAGCAGTGTCAGAAAAAGGACTCCTGTACTGCAAAATAGATTTGCCGCAATTGCTGAATCGTGGTCTGGCCTCCCTGTCTTGCACTTTCAGAGGCTTGTGCGCAGCAGCAGAGCTACTCCGTGTGGAGATCTTACAAACTGCCATGCACTACAGGTGGGATGTTGGCGATGCTTCTTGCGTCCCCTGCCCTCTCCCTGCCTCCGCGCCCTCATAGTGCCCGTTTCTCGCATTATTTTAAGTATAGAGCTCCTATGAATAGACTGCAGCTGTGTCTGCTGTCACTTGCGCAGGGCGATATTCGGCACGACAGACCGCCACTTGTCCGCCTGGCTAGCTGACCAGGTGCATTGGTTTGTTAAACTGGTGCAGCATGAACTGGCGAAGGGAGCGAATGGCAGAACAGAAGCTACAGGGTATCTCGACAGCGAGAGGCCCGTATTCTCCCCTGCTGCAGTGGAGGCGATTGTTGCTGCCTGGGGCAGTCAAGCAACGTCTTACCAAACCAGTGCTTTCAGAATGGAACTGTCGGAACTCTCCACGGTGTATAGACAGACGTACAATGCTGCCTCCGCTCTCCGACGAGTACAATGCGACTTCTTCCCGGCCGTCTCTCTGTCCTTTGACAGCCATGTTGTTTCCCTCCACTCCCGAACCCTCGAGAGCGTTGGCGTGGCGTTTGCACGGGTGCGGCTCTCTTCAGGGCTTTTTCCCATCGTAGAGTGCTGCCCCTAGAAACTAATCACAATTCGTGCTCATTCCGGTGCGCAGCCCCTTATCCAGCGCAGTCCGCGACAACAGCGAAGCGAAGGCCTCCTTTTACCACCGCTCGCACCCTGTCTGCCTTACGCTTGGTGCCTGCATGCAGAGCTTGGACGAATACGACTTCTCCCCGGCTCCGCTGTACTTTGGTCTAATAAATAGCTCTCCTTGGCTTGCGACCTGTCTCTCGGCTGGCTCGTCGTGTCTCTTGCTGCTGCGTCACCCACCACTGGCCAACCTGTACAATAGCATTGTGGAGACCATCAACGCCTATCAGGACTGCCCCGTCGCCTCCGTGGCTGCTGCAATTGTTCGCCTTGTGGAAAACTTACTTCTCTTCTGCGCGCACAAGTTGTTGGCGCTACGCCCAGCGAAGCGTCAAGAGCTCGAATCGGAAATCGCTGCCATTGAGCAGAGCTTAATCGACAAAAAGGAGCAGCAGGACCCTATCAACAAGCAAGCAGAGTTTTTCGTGCTCTGTGATATCTTTGTTGGCGTCCTAGTCCCGACTCTCGCGAGCCATGTTGCAGCGCTCATCCCCTCCCAGGCAGCCCTTTGCCCTGAGGTAAGCAAAAGAAGCGTGGAGAGCGCCAAAAGGCTGTGCAATAGGCGGCGCTGTCCAGCGCGACTTTCGGTACAATAACCCCATAACGACTGAGAGTAGCACACAGCACGGCCAAAGTATACTATTGGCTTCCCATGGGGGGGAAGCCAAGGGCCATGTACACATGTTTGAGTTTGTGTGCATGTGTGTGTGTTTCTTTGTGCGTTAGAAAGTATGTGCACCGATAGAAGAGGCAGGATTGTCTGCATGTGCAACAAACCCTTTTGCCGTTCTTCCTGGTAAAGGCAACGCTCAAATTTCTTCTAAGGATGCCACCACCCAGTGACTTCGCGGGCGTACACCCCTCGCGGTTCCTTGCCACAAACTACATTCTTGTGGCGAATTCCCATGTTTAATCATATCCCGAGTGAACCTCATCCGGGTTTCGTATTAATCCGTTTCCACGCCGTCGTTCGCGCTGACGGACCGGATAGAACTGGGCACCAACAAAGGCCCCCTGCCATTTCTTTTATCGCCAAACACCTCCCGCTGTCTCGCTGGGCAAGGCGAAATTCGCACACGCCTGGTGCAGTTCGTGTCATATCGCCCTACTCATGCAGCCTTTCATGCCCAGTTGTTGTCAGATATCTGCTTCCGGTATAGCAGGCCACTAAGCGGGACCGGCATTTTGGCATTATTTAGTGTCGCACTACCATGATCCTCTAGAGGCGCAGTAAGAAAGCCTGGGCTAGACGAACTACCTGTCTCGTCACGCTGTACGCACACGCTATTCAAGCCATGCACACCATTTTAACATGCTTTGCCCTGGGCAGGGAGTTTATAGATATCATGCATGGGAACGCCAGATTGGAATGTTGGCGGAGGTAACGCAAAGACGCGCGACAGCACACACAGTAGAGCCGCGACCGGTGGGAAATGTAAGTAACGACAGCAGAATGCAAATGCTCCACCGTCAACTCCAAGACACAGCGAGCACACTGAGCTCCCGCGATCAAAACCCACCATGGAGTTCCAACTTTGTGTATGTGAGCTAGAAATGATTGAAATTCTCGTGCGCTTTGGGGTGAGTTGAGGAAAACTCGCGTTCTTCGTTTACTCAACGACAAGGACCTTAAGCAGGTTCGACCAGCCGGCAACTTCCTCCTTCATGCCATGAACCGCAACAATGCTCTCCCCCTCACTCACAAGCTGCAGCTCCTTCGCAGCCGAAAGCGCATTACGGATCAGCTGATCGGTGCCCTGGAATGTGGGAACCAGAAGTGTCGTGACACCGCGGATGACCTGAAGGTGTTTGATTGTTTCCTCAGAAGCACTCAGCGCCAGAATCGGTTGCATGGGCCTGTACTTGGCAATTAGACGGGCAGTGCGGCCTGTCTCAGTGAGTGCAAGAATGAGGGAGGCGTTGATGGACTGGGCTGTCTCAACAGCTGCGCGGGCTACAGCCTCTTGGGTGTCAATGGGTGTCATGGTGGCTTGGCAAGTTGCACGGTACACCTGCTGGTAGTCGATGCAACCTTCTGCTTCAAAGCAAACACGTGACATGACCGTCACTGCCTGCACAGGGAAGCTTCCGTTCGCTGTCTCCCCAGAAAGCATCACGCAGTCCGTCCCGTCGAGGACCGCATTTGCCACGTCGGCTGCTTCTGCGCGGGTGGGTCGGGGGTTCTTCGTCATGGACTCGAGCATCTGTGTTGCTGTGATTACCGGCTTGCCTGCCACGTTGCATCTGAAAGCGCAATGATTAATTGAAAACAGACCGCACAGCTCAGGCGAATCAAAGATGAGGTGGACACGACCCGCCATATGATCGAAGCACTCACTATGAACGCCCGCAGCAAGGTATGTTGGGTGCCTCTCCCCAGGGTTTGCGCTGGAGGGCTGAAGAAAGGCCACCATGTGTTGGAATCTTACTTGGAAATCATCATCTTTTGCGCAAGGAAGACCTTTTCGGGTGGAATCTCCATGCCCAGATCGCCTCTCGCAATCATGATGCCGTCAGCCTCTTGAAGAATTTCGTCGAAGTTCAGCAGCCCCTCAACATTCTCGATCTTGGGAATAATCTTGATGTTGCGGCCCTTCGAACCAAGAATGTTCCGGATGTATCGCACGTCGTCTGCCGACTGTACGAACGAGGCGGCAACAAAGTTGCACCCCATCGGCACGCCAAAATTCAGAATATCATTTTTGTCTTTCTCTCCGATCACGGGCAGATCCACTTTGACGCCTGGCAGGTTCATATTCTTCTTGTTACCAATGATCGCCGGATTCATCACCTTCGTCATTACGTAGTCCTTCCCGCACTCCACTACTTCCACAGACAGAGATCCATCGGCAATCAGAATGGTGTTACCTGTGAATCGAGGGAGCAACGCACACGAAAGAACCTACACAGAGCACAGTCCTTCCCACAGACCATCGATACAGCGCCGTTCATTCGTGATGCACCAAAGCAGTCCACTATGCTGTGCGGAGTGGCACCAAGGAAAAAAAGCAAAGTACACCAAGAGGATGGGCAGGCCAAGTAACGGGCATGATGCAAGACCTGGTTTAACCGAGGTGGGGAGTTTCTCATAGGAACACGCGATGCAGCTCTTGTTTCCAACATGGGAGTAATCCGTCACAATCTTCAGCATGTCTCCCGCCTGCAGTTCAATTGGCTTGTCGCCCTGCGAGGCGGCACACAAGCAGTTCGAAACATTCCGGCGCAAGACAGAAGGGTGTACGGAAGGAAGAGGCAAGACTACCGCAACAGCAGCACGCGTGATATGCATGCAAGTTGGAGCAAATGAAGACTTTTCAGTCACGCCACACACTGTGCACACTCCACTTCGTGTTCACACTGGCCTACCTCTAGCATCCCTGTTCTGATTTCTGGACCCTTCGTGTCGAGGAGCAGAGCTACACGCTTCCCCGGACGCTGCTTGAGTGCCTCCTGCAGGTTCCGAACGACGCGTCCATGAGCCTCATGGTCTCCGTGGGAAAAGTTGAGTCTGCAAACGTTCATGCCGGCATCAATAAGCTGCACAAGCTTGTCAACATCCCAGCAGCTGGGGCCCATTGTGCAGACGATCTTTGTGCGGTGTGCACTGAAGTCTTCGTCATCGTGATGCTCCAGAATCTGAGACATGCGGATGTTGGTGCTCTTCCCCAAGAGCTGCATCATAACAGAGCTGGCACTAACGAGACGCAGCAGCCGCCCAGAGCTGTCTGGGGCTGCGATGACTTGGGAGTGAGAAGGGTTCGCCATTTTTTCAAGAAAGCTCAATCGTGGGGGCACAGAGGCAGAGTCTGCGAAGAAACAGATAAGAAAACAACAAGGGAGTCTTCTTAGGACACGTACACTGGAGAGATCCTGCAGTGGGAATGCAGGGCTAACAAGAAATAGGAAAACTCTGAGGTGAGCAACAGAGCTGCACCCTGCGACAGCAAGTTACTTCACTGGCTGCAACCTCAAAAGAAAGGGCTGAGCATAATGCGTACCAAATACACGAAAGCTGCAGAATAGTTTAACACACCGGGGGAGCAGGTCGACTCCTCCCCACCCTAAAAGCAGAGGTCCGTGTGCGCGGCGTTCGATGTGAGGTGCGTGCAGTGCTGCTCCTTAACCCCTAAGGGTCGCATATCCCCTCTGTTCCAGCTGTAGACCCAACTATGTGCATTGACGTAATATTTCCGCCTTTAATAGACAAGATCTTTTAGTTCGTCCATCAGCTTAACACGTTGATTCTTTTGAATGCATGTCCTGTGCTACATGGCGGTTCGCACGTACGGCGATGTTTACCATTCCTATGCTTGTGCTTTTTGTGTTGAATATACAAGGCAGAAGCAGACATTTCACACTTATTGTACTCTGTAGGCTGTGGGATATGCCGTTGAAAGGCCCACTGTGCAACTAGCAATATGTCCGTTGCCCCTAAGTTTGCTTGCGTAACAGGCCACGTTGCGAGTCGCCTGCCACTAAGTTGCGAATAGACCTTTATTCTTTTGTTATTTCGTATCAGGCGGTGCATAGTACAGTCTGCTGTGTGTTTTTGGTGCGTAAGTACTGGATAAATGGGGTGTGGTTGGCCGTCGTTTTAACGCTGTATCTATAGTGTCCGGAGGAAGCGAATAACTCCAGATTCGATGCAAGTTTAATAAAAACACATTGAGTGTTGCTCAAGAGGGCTCTATACTTCCTATATCCAGAGCCCTGAGAGTTCCGGACGTCAGGGGACAAGTAAAGCTAGGGTGTGCGTACCTGCACCCCTCTAAAAGTCTTCTGGGCATTCCCCGCGATGCAAATAGCATCTGGCGCACACGCACACAACATTGCACCTGCTTGAGTCAAGCTAACAGTATTATGCAATAAACAAGATGTACGAAGAGGCATCAAAGTGTAGATTCTTTCCCATGCATTGTTAAATACAATTATTGCCGTAGGAAGTGTGTGAGCATGGCTTAGCACTCAACATATTCTCCCCGCATTTTAAAACACGTACCCACGTGTTCGGTACGTTTATATCGAGACCAACTGCGTTCAAGACGACAGAGGAGCTTTACCCCTGTCGCCCCTTCCTGGAAAGGCAGCAGCAGAAAAAGACTGCAGATGGTACAAGCAAAGTATATGTAAGCCCCGAAGGGAAACTAAAAGAAAGAAACCGACATGCGTTAGCCAACAACAATAGGGGACCAAACCAGCACGACTTTGGTGGCGTGCTGTCGTTGTAGCGGTGACATGTATGAGCCTCTAGCTATGAGAAAACAGAAGGCTAGCAAAATATCTGGAGAACATTAGAATTCTCAGTAGGCCAGAAGTGCCACAACACCTGATAGGGCGCTTTTCGCCTGCCATTGCATCCGGTGCATTTAGGATAGTTGAGTTTGATTCCCCTAAAGAGCCACAAGGAAGGATCTAGAGTTAATTTGCAGAGAGTGCCTGCTCATATAACCAGGTGTTCTGTGTACTTGAGCAATTATTAGGGGCAAATTACCAGGCAAGCAGCGTAGGCGGAGGTATCCAAAAGCTCGCTCTTGAAAAGGACAATACCAAGGAACTAAAGCAATACTGTTCGTGGCAACCAGAGCTTTTAACCAAACAGGGTGGTAAGCTTTATTGCAGGCAACGAAAGCCGCAATCACTCCTCCATCTTTTAGTGAGCTTGGCGTTCCAGCTCTCGTCTCCCCAGAAACTCCCGTGTAGCTAGTCCTCGGTGCTCAATGGTCCCAGAATCCGGCACTTTCACGCATCTGTGCAAATCATCTGCTGGGTCTTTTGCGTGCGCGGCCAGGTCCGCAAGTAGCTTAAGTTTGAAAACTTCTTTGGGATATAAACGAAGATGAGTCTGTGAGAGCTCCAGCTTTGGGGGAATTTCGATACAGCAAGAGGGAGCATTGGTTTGCGAGAGGATTGCAAGTGGTACTAGCCACCTGGCCACACATTTGGTCGTCTGCTCACTTTCTCGGACAACTCATAAAGCCTGTCGATTCACCATGACCGAATCTCCGGGCTAGGAACCCACCTATCACCGCTTTTGAGAATTCCGTGGTTTTCCCCTTGAGCTTTGCGTGTTCATTTGCTTGCATTGGCTAACTCTTTTCTTATTACCTCTGCCGTTCAGGGTGACTGCCGTAGTCGGACCACCAGGTTTAGGCCCCGACTAGTGGAAAGGCTCCTCTGTCTAGACCAGGGATGCGACAGCGCAACTGGTTGAAGAATTTACTATTTATTATAATCCCGCTCAGCACGAGGAAGAAGCTCGAGGGAAGCAACTGGATTTTAGCGAGGAACATGTTGCTACTAATGCAGAAGAGTGCAGTTTATGCGTTCAGTGTGTCCCCGCACGTCACGGTGGTTCGCTGCGAGCACTCGACGGCAAATGTGGGAACAGCTCATAAAGGCACGTCAGAACGCTGTAACAAACTGCGAATCCCAATCCGTAATGATAGTCCTGGGGAATTCTTCAAGCTTTCGAAAATGAGCTGAGAATAATCGGGCAACTTCTTGATCCATGAGAGAGCTAAAGCAGCTGATCGAATGATAATATTTGCCGAGTATCTCGAGGACGACATAAACGTAATCCTGACCCTTGACATCCGGTAAGCTAACAAGAAGGTCCATAGTTACACTAGTCGAAATCCCTGCAGGACCCGGAAGTCTTCGCAAAGGCTTAAGTGCTGCCTATTTAGGCAGGACAGTGTGTACTCTACAGGCAGGACGCATCCCAGGCCACCATAAATACCGCGCGAGCTTTTTATGGATGTGAACTCCAATATGGCATTGAAGAACATGATCATGGGGTTTAAGCAGGATAGCACTGCTGAGCGAAGTTGGAATGCAAAATCGACCGAGACCCTGCTTTGGTTTTGACAACAGCATGCCATCCTCGACTGGGTTCTGTTTAGCCCTTTTGCCATTATGGAGGTTGGCAATAGTATCTGATTCATAGGTGTCAACAGTAATGGTTCACGCAATCCTGACAAACACCGTGAGTCACTGCAGACAACAGCGGCTGCGTTACACAATAAACTATTCTCGGGCTTTGCGAGAACGGTTCAGCGACGATCTTCGTCACGCACTTCACATACTTCGCTGTAGAGTCATGCTGCAGGAGGCATCCATACCAGCAAATAGCTGTAGGGTTGTTAAGCCTCTGGAACAAATAGGCCCAGGTATTCGTACCTGGAAAATCCCTACAAGGCTGCGACTGCGGGGGCCACTCAACCAGCTGATAGCTGCAGTCTGCAACTCTAAAATGATCTCTTCAAAGGTATTACTGGCTCGGCAGGAAGCTTGTTTCTACAATTCTCCGTCTGGTTAATAAAAAACTAATGTTCTACTTGGATAGTAACATGCCACCCAAATACACAGTGTTCGATTTCTTAACGCCCCATCGACTTCCTTTCCTAGCACTGGACACCGCTGCTCGGTTTCCGTGAGGTAATGGAAACCGCAGGCAGCTATTTATCTTTTTGGGCAGCCCGCAGCCTATTGATAAGAATAATACCAACTACTATGTCGCTGAAACGGCTGTGTAGACAGCTCATGTACTGGAGGAGTGTCAGGGTGTCCACAAGCTTCCTTCCTGCGGCACCTGCCTCCTGCTTCCAGGTCACAGACTGTGTGTTCTTAAGTATATCAGTCAAAATAGCAGCAATTCGATCACATCCAAAAATTAATCTTCGATAATAAGGGTCAAGTCCGTAAAACTTCGCAACGTAGTTGTTGCTGTACGGGCTGTTGAAAACTTCCGCTGAAGTTCCACAAGTCCACTTAGACAGCCGTCCACACCTCCTAGTTAAGCTCTCAAAGAATGTATATTGACTTGGCGGTGTTATTAAGTTGAGAATTGAAAGCTCAAGCGGCATGCAACTACTCGAATTGAAGTGCGAATGTGGAACGGTGTTCTTATGTGCCTGTAATCGGGGAGAAGGGAGATTCGTAATAAAGCGTTTGTGAAGGCATTATCGAGTAGCCTGTTGAACCGCGTCCTTTGTCCCGTTACTCGTCAGTAGGGCATGGGGAACTTGTTGCCCGCATTGATCTTGCTTAGAAAAAAGCTAACGCACATGCGCCACATTCCGTCGTGTAGAGCAACATTGGCGAGTTATGCCCAAAAGCGCTAGTCGATATCTCCGGTATACCCTGTTTCAACGAAATTCCTTTTTCCCCTCTGTCCCCGCTTCATGTTGTGAGAGGTTCCGATATGTTAAAACATAGCTTGGGGCTGACCCCTTGAGGGGCTCGACGTTGTGAAAAGGACCAACAGGCAGCCAGCCCGCTAGCAACTCCTCATTATTCAGCATGTCCACAAACTCCTTGATGTTTGCCCGTCCTGTTGTTCCTTGCTTGAAGCTTTAATCGAGATTTTCCACTAATGAACCACTTGCAGAGGCAATACGACCGGGTGCATGCTCAGAACCGTCTTCTTGTACTGCTTTCCTGAGCTTCAGCGTAAGATTCTGCCTCCCGCTGTTGAGGTACGGGTTGCACCACGCTAGTCATAAATGAAACGGGTGCTGTCTACAAGTACCAGCGTTGCTCCTTCCTAGCTTGTGCTGGCACACTTGCCTCTACAGCGCGTAATTGTGGCCGGGTGCATGCCTTCCCTTCAGCCAGCCATGGCATACCAAGAATTACGTAATGATGCAGGGATCCAGCGTGAAAGTCACGAAATAGTGATACAACTAGATCCAATTTTAAAGCCTCAGCTAGGCTGCTGTAGCGTTGCCATTTTTTGCGGGCTGCCACCCGTCAGCAAATCTGAGTCTGAGACGGTTTAACTAGTGAGCATGCAGAATGCACTTCGTTTGCTGGCTTCTTGGATAATTGATCCACTTCACATCCACTATCGAGTAGCGCTAGCAATTTTCGACAACAAATGCAAGTACTTATTGGCGCAGAATTGACCCGTGGAGGGTTCCCGACTGCGGCTCTATCGTCTTTGGACCCCTCCACTGCTCCGCAGCATAAGGGGGGCATATTTGCGTTTTTCTAATGCGACTTCTTCACTAGCCAAGCAACCTGATTTCACTGAGCTGAATCCTATTGCTCAAGCTCATTCATTTTCTTCACGCGCCTGCATTTCCGGATAACATGACTATCTTTCCACAAGAAGCAGGTACGTTGCTGAGTCTGTCTGGGGCTGCTTAGGAGTGCGAGTTCCCTCTGGCTTTCTTGGATCGGTCACCTTATACTGTAGAGTACGGCCGTTCAAAACGGCCCCAACATATCCTGGGCTGAGTCATTGCCCACCCTGATAACAACCGACGTGACCCTTTGGGTAAACATAATATAAATCACTGCTAAAGCCTCTGATCGCCTGCTTTGTGGCTTTGCAAACCAAAGCCTCATATTGCTCGCTATAACGACGTCTAGTTAGATAAATCTGTTTAAGCGTTCTCAGTTTGCCCATGTTATTGAGCTGATCTCGGCATGAACCGGCGAGTCACGGCTTGTAGATTGGACTACAGCAAGCCCCTCGAGGATTAGCCGTCATACTTATCTGGTCGCCCCAAACTCTTCGACGCATCAGTAAATATTCATCGGCTGGAAATTTTTGCCTCTCTACCAGCTGTGATGCTACTGCTTTCTCACCAGCTCTCAGGACCCCCCCTGCAGCCCCAGAAGGCATTGTATTAACATATCTTGTATCACCAAAGGGTTTTACTTTTCCAGCCGTTTGCCAGAAACCAAGTGATCAAACTATTAATCGAGTTCATCAAAATTAGGAAAGTGTTGTAGAGAAAGCGGACACCCCACTGCATTAGCAGCCAATAAAATGAACGGGGAACAGCTGCAGAGAACCATGTAGTGCTACCAAAAGTAACGCTCTATATAAAGTCTTTGTGTTGAAAAAACTTGACTTTGCACTCAATACACCATTAACAGAAAACTATTCAGCGAATTCAAGAAGAGCAAATATCCTCCCACTCCACCACTCCCCACGTCCCTATGTGTTCCTGGCATCATGAAATAAGGACATCGAGAGTGCGCGTAGCTGCACTCTTTTAGCATTCTAAGCATTCATGGCTAGCTGCACAGAGCAGCTAACGCACACGCACGCAACATTGCGTCTTCGTGAATGAAGCTCACAGCGCTTTAAAATGAACACGATGAGCCATAAGGCAAAGCAATCAATAAATTCCGAGCTATCATTTTGTTAAAGTCAGCTATTGTAGTAGAAGTGTTTAACTTCAGCATAGCCCACCGAAGCAATCGTCAGCTAAGCTGAGCAGGTGTCGTGACAGTCACACGCTAGGTGTGTCATGCAGCCAAGGTCAGCTTGCCAGCACACCGGTGGAAGAATGGGCTAGGGATTCTTCCGTATAGCTATGTTGGAAGAGAGCCGCGTGAAGTTCTTCAGTGTGACGGGCTTGCTACACATGTGCCCATTCTACTACACGAGGTATTTTTGACAATTAGTAGAGAAATGACAGCTTTGTTGGCTGTTCGTTTATCTTATTCACTGTATGCCGCTGTCATATTAATACACGGAAACGCAACGCTGTGTGCGTTTGCCCTGGATGCTATGTGCAACTAGTTTTGAATGCCAGGAGGGCTTAAGGGGCGCAGTTACGCTCACCCTTGCTGTACTTCGCCTTCCATGTCGGTAACTCTAAAGAGCATGTGGAGGGAGGATAGTAGCCCCATTGGGAAACATTTGATGGGGCTTTTTTATAGTTGTGTTGAGTGTGGAGTCAAGTTTCTTCATTCCGAGACCTGAGATGGAGCGTCGCGTTACATTCAGGCTACGGAAAGAGGCCCATCAAGATCCAATGGATGAAAGCTTGTCCTAACCACATAATGCGAGCTTTGGTCTTTATTCCCTATCCCCTGAGCGCGGCATATAAAATGAATGCAGGCAGTAACTATGGCCTCCAACTCATAAACAGCCCAGCCTTCCGCGATCTTGATTGTCCCCCGCCAGTTTGCTGTATTCAATGAAAAGCGCTATCATTTTGATATAACTCAACCTTTAAAAAATTATCGTGGGGACCCGGCAGGCTAGTGGCCTTGTACGAGAAGGTTTTAAATAGATGAACGTGAATTAGCTGCGATTGGTGCAAAGGCATAGATTCGCGGTGTCATGCAACGAACTAGGGGGAAGGCACACTTGCTGATTCTTGTCCCTAAGCAGCTACACAATGCATTGATAGGCTTGCTTGAGTGTATCTCTTAAAAGCACTATTTGGGTGCAATTTCGTAGCATCGAAGTGGCATTCAGCAGTTCCCCGCAAGGGGGTACTGCCCCATTCGATTTCCAAGCAAATGCTTCCAGCACGTAGGCTTTCTCTATAATATAACTGGAAAGCGATGAACCGTACTGTAACTCTAAGCAGGCCAGAATTATCCTGCAAACCCCCATTTTCCGTAAGGAAAGCCATATTTCTTCGCACTCCAAGAATTGCTCATGAGTTGCCCCTTGCTTTAAGAACTGGCTTTGCTAGAGCAGAAAGGCCTCACAAACCTTGTTTTATGCATCGAAAGTTCTATGCTACCTCAGGCTTTAATTGTTTAACACAGGCGCATGCCTGCGCGAAGTCGGCTCAGCAAGACCGCCGCTGGCAATGCCTGTCTAGCTCTAAAACTCGAAAAGATGATAAAATGCACAAATGCAAATAACACTGCAGTTGCATGTTTTTAGTTTTGGGTAGAGACTTAGCAGTAGAAAAGACAGGGTACTTCCAGTCGGCCCCAGTCGTTGCGACTTTGCGGGAACTGCTTAGCAGACGGCAGACAGCTCTTTCCTGCCTGTTCCACGCTGCTGGATTCAGTGGCTGTTTATACTCATATATGTACCCTTGGGACTTGACAGTCAATAGGCGTACTTTTCCTTTGTGGTCTGGGGCGTTCTGTGGAATTATTCCTTCCTGCTGCGGATACGACTGACTTACGCTGTCAAGAACAGCGTAGACGGAGGGATGCGGCGGGGGGTGCCTTTTGAATAGAATTTCTCGCAATTATCCAGAAAAAGGAAAATGGTGGTAATCGGCGCCTGTATCACCAGCAGAGTTCGGCCCCTGCTTGCTCGGCAATTTGTGGATATCCGCAAAGCCAAGGTGGAAGGACTCTTAAATGCATTCCTCAAGTTGGTGGATTACTCCGGTAAGTCCGCATGTTTCAGAAGCTCCGAATGGAATTGCAGACTAAAGGGACGTGACCGGGGCGGGGGTAGTACCATGCACAACGAAATATGCGATCCGTAGGGCATTGAAGTGAAGCTTTGGATGTTCAGATCGCCGTTGATCCAAGTGCCGCTGTTCATATTTTGACAAGTTATGCCTGTGTGGCTGTTTGGATACGATGCACGCTGGGGTCTTGCACGGTCCCTTTTAGCGTGTGTGCCTTCTACACTATCCGTCATTGCAAAGTGCATCATTCCACGGTGAAATTCGGTGTGTATGACGATCCCCCACATCCTTCTCCGTCAGCTAGCACTCAGCCCGTGCAGCTTTCTTGAAAGCTCTTGGCTATTAGATTGCTTCATGAAAGTGGGCTTTGAGTGTGTACTGTTCTTCTCAGGCTCAGACCACACATACCTCGAGACGGAGTCTGTCCGATATGTGTATCAACCTGTCGAAAATCTCTACCTCGTTCTGATAACGACAAAGAGCAGCAACATCTTCGAAGATCTGGGAACCCTGAGAATGTTTGTCAGCATAGTTCAGGCAAGACACCCACGCACGCACGTCTCTATACATCCCAAGGGCTTCGCTAGACCGAAGTCGTATGCTCTGGGTGCAATTGAGCACTTCGGATTTTTCCCCCTAGAACACTGCTAGCAATCTAGCATATATCATTGCTTTTTTGTGCTTGAGCAGCAAATGCTTCCACTGCATCCTCTCATGCCGCGCAAGTTGATGTATCATGCCTGCTCCCCATCTACACTTCTCAATATGCCCGGCCGTTGTGTGCCCTTTCATTGTCTCCGGCTTTGGATGCTGGTGGTATATCGTGCTACGTCAGTCTCGTCAGCCACTCTCTAGGCTGCGCCAGCAAATGTAGAGCCTCTTTAGTCTGCTCAGCAGCAGCACAAATGTGTGTTCTTGCGCCGGCATAGCTGCATGCAAACTATACACCACCAACATTTGCGCAGGAACCGGAACTTTTAGTTAGACATCAGATGCCGTGGGAGAATTCTGCATGATTTGATGCGTATCACTCTGCACACTCGATTGTGGGTCGAGTCTTGCTCTCTTCTGCAGGATACCTGCGGAGAGGGTCACAGCAGCAGCAGCAGTCTGGAGGAGAGTGTAGCTGCTCACGCGTTTGACATCATCTTCATGCTGGATGAACTTATTAGCGGGGGATACAGGGAGGCTCTGACTCTGCAACAAATTCAGTCCTTTGTCGCCATGGATTCGCATGAAGAGAAACTACAAAAAATGATCGCAGAAGTACGTTTCCACTTTCGTGGGGTGTCACAGCAGTCGCTGCTAACTTGTAGCTGCAAATCGAGTCCACTGGCAACGAAAAAAGGTGTAACAGTTTCTCAGGATCGTGCTGAACGGCAGCTCTTCGCCCCAGTCATCAGCATGCATTTTTGTGCACGCCTACGAACGCACGGGTCAATAGGATTAGACACACTTGCAGTTTCAGCAAGTCGTGCTGCACTCAATGCAAATTCCCCACTGGAGTCCACCCATGTCGATATGAATAAAGTTGCTTTGGTGTCTATTATGGAGTGTACGCACTGGGTTGCAGATTCCTTGTGTTGACCGCAGTTCACGCCTCGTATTCTGCACGCTGCATGTGTCGGCTGGGGTTTGTATGCATTGCGTGCCTTTCGTGCTCAGGGCAAGGAGAAGGAGCAGGCCGACAGAATGCGGGAGATCGCGCAAAGACTAGAGAAGGAAAGACAAGCAGCGAAGAAGGCGGGCAAGGGCCTGGATATTGCATCGTTCCGAGGTGCCTTGGCATCTCCTCAGCTGTCTAGGGGGCCTACTCCTGCAGTGTCTGCGCCTGACACGGGAGCTCCCACCGAACATTACTGGGGTGCAGGAAGTGCACCAGGAGGGGTGTACGACTCGCGTTCTCAAGCCTCTCCGGGGGAAAGCTCGGGGGCCCCCCCCAGGGGTAGCCAGCAGGCGAAGGGCATGCAGCTTGGAATGAAGCGAACACATGGCGGCGACGACGGGTTGCTGCAAAGTCTCGTGCAGGATGAGCATACAAACCCCTCAGGAGGATATGGAGAAGAAGTGCATCAACAAGAGGGCAAGTGCTTTGACTGAGGGGCACTACCCTGACCTATTGCCAAAATAAGCTTAAATTTCAGAAGCTAAGAATGAGTTCGGCCCTCGTCGATGGAAACAATAGGGCGATCTCTTTTTCCCAGAAAGAATGAAAAATCTCAGTGGAATAGTGTATGTGTGTGTGTGCATGCTTTTTTTGCAAAATCGGATGAGATGTGGTGCTCCCATTGAACGTTTTCATGAACAAGCCTCCCGTAAATTGGCAGAAAATCTCATTCGATGCGTAATCTAAAACTTAAGCTGCTTTTCGCGGGCTAAATCGAGTCTCGTGAAATATTTTGAAATCCTGCGTCCTGCCTTTGTGTTTTTGCAGCTGTGAATAACCTCCTGGCTGATCCGGTGAGCGTTTTGATTGAAGAGAAAGTGAAAGCGTCGCTCCAGGCAGAAGGCGGTACGTTTGGGAACAGCCTCAATCTATGTGAACTCATTCTGATATGCCTTCGTTGGAGCGCATGAAAGTTCCGGTTGCCTCGTGCCAATTGTGCTTTCCTTTCTTCCCCGTGCGAACTCCCCCTCTGCATTGTTTGCCTGATGTCTCCTGCGTCTCCTTGCAAGCTGCGTCTGTTGCCACCATTGCATGCTAATCTGCGTCTATTGCCACCATTGCATGCTAATCTGCGTCCGGGCGTTTAATACAAAGCCTCGTTACCGTGCGTTCTAATGTGTACTATCGCAGTTCTAAAGGAGGTAGAACTCCAAGGAACATTCTTCGTGACCGCGAACGATCCACAAAGAGGCTCTCTTGCGTCATTCCAGGTGTGTCCTAGACAACGGCAGCGAGTGTATTGAACCCATACTAAAAAAGAGAGCCGTCGCCATGGCTATTTGCTTGGTTGCTCGTTGCACCCCTTTCCAACCTTGCCAGTGCCACCACAAACACGCCCTGTTTGCACTAGATGAGTCACTCACAAGATGCGGCTTTCTTCTTGGTGTTAATTTTTTTAGTTAACTCCAGAGGACAAGCGATTCAAGATGAAAAGCCACCCCAATGTTGACAAGGCGGCACTTAGTCAGAGCAATTTGCTGCAAGTCCGCGACCCCTCAAGGCCGTTGCCTCCATTTCAGCCAGCACCTCTCCTTAAATGGAGAATCAATGAGAAAGACGAGGTAATGAGTTCGAGATCACACACGTTGACGGCAGAAGGCCCCAGTTCATGTATGGAAGTAATTCCCTAGCTGGGTGACAGAACCACTGCATGTTCTTAGGGATGCTCTAATCTTCAATCAGTGTCAGCACATAGCACAACACTATTTCGTGACTTTTTCTGTTTTTTGTGTGGTTGCCGCAGAGTTTAGTGCCCTTGGCTGTGAGCTGCTGGCCCTCCAGCACACCAACGGGCACAGTCTTGACTGTTGAATTAGAGGTCACTGACACCACCAAGCGGTTGGAGGACGTGCATGTTTCTTTCATGTGCCCTGCCCAGGCAAACCCCCAGGTACTTAGATTGCGCCGTTCAATGCGGTTTCTGTGTATCGTGCTTCTGCCCTCGCAACTTTGATGGCCCTGCTCGTGTCAGTGCAGAAACGCGTGTCAGTGCTGCCAGAGGCAGCAGTCAGCTTTGCATTTTGCTCGGGTGCTCCTATCCCAGTCCTATTTGTGGCGTAGCGCTTTCACAATCTTGAATGGCGACGTTGGCTCGACACAAGACAGTCTAAAGATGCGATCGGGACGAACTTACACTTCTAGCTGGTACGACCTGCGTTTGCTTGCTAACAGGTGTTGAGGACAGATGCTGGGGCCACTGAGCAAGACGACGTGTCAGTGCATTGGTTTCTTCCTGAAATGGGCCAGGACCTTTCCGCAGCAACCATCGAACTGGCTGCAAACACCAACCTCGCGACCCTTATGCCATTTTCAGTCGAAATGCATAGCAGGGATAACATCTGCTGCGTGGAGGTGAGGTCCAGAGCACAGTCTTCCTTCCGGGTGGAAACAGTCAATCAGGGATGTTTCTGATGCCAGGGTTTTGTAGTAGCCAGGCATGACACTAGTGGTAGCGAGCTAAGGCATGGCTTTACACACAGGCCAGCGGGAACACATAGCATCCGGATGACCAATTTTGTATGCGAAGCTGCTGTATTTGGGAATGCTCTGTGATACAGGTTCTGCAGTGCAGCCACATGGAAACAAAGGCAGAGGTGCCTTTCTCGCTGACACGCAGAGTCGACTACCTCCTCACTATCCACCCATAAACCAGCGTTATAAAGCTTTAAACAGCTTCCTGCGCATTTATTTCGTCACCTGCAAGAAGCAGGAAGCAGACTTAAGAGACTAAGAGAACACTTAATAGTCCAGTGGAATGGTGGCGTGTTGCTTCTTTTACGAATATCCTATACCAAGGAGCAGGTGCTTTGCGTGTTGCGGCCTTGTGTGGCTACAAGTCGGCAAGGCTGCTGGAGCCGTCGTACGCATTGTTTCGTGCATATTCTTTATGAGAAGGACTCTCGTGGGTAGTACATACGACGTCGGGCGCCAGTTGATCGATAGAGGAGGCAGACATGACCCAAGGGCGATATAAGTAGGCACCAATGGATATCATAGACTTTCCCTAGTGCTGCGCAGAATTTGAAATGCTTGACCTGAGGGCTGTGAGCCTAACGGTCTAGGATCTAGTTCACATTAAACACAAAGGCGAGCCATAAAATAATCACACATGCAGTACGTGCGCACCCGTGGATGGCCCGTTGTTTAAATGGAGTAAAGCATTGGTCATTCCGGAACTAGCAACCAAGCTAACACCTGAGGTGCTCTATTCTGTTTGTTGCTCGCGTACTGTACGTGATATGGAGGCGCTCAAGTTTTTTTAGGATGCATAACTCGAGTGAAGAAGCATGCCTTCGCGCGTAATGCCGTAAACTAGGTACAGCTGCACCGCGTCGGCACTTTTGTGTAGGGAAAAGGATCGCCCGCATCAAGAGATTTTTGCTTTCATGTGCAGTGTTTAGCACCTTTAAGGTGGAAGAAGCGACTTGGGTAGGTGTGGTGAGGGTGCAGGGCGGCATCGTAGCAAAAGGGCATGCAAGAGCACAAGAGAACTCGAGGAAATCCGAATGCACTTTTAAAGTCATGGTGCAAAACGAGTCCCTTAGACCCAGACCGCTGGAGCGCTGCTCATGGCACTCCGCGCTACCTTCATGCTATCGGGCGGCAGCGGCTGCATCGAGGAGCTGCTGGGGTGTCACCAGTTGCTGCAGCAGCACCTCCAGCAGGCTGCTTTTGAGGGCACAGTCACTGCAGCGTACTCTCAGGATGGCACAGGGCTGCCTTCCTGCCTGAAGTGCGGAGTGCATCTGCAACTCAGTCTCGACTGAGGCGTTTCGTCTCGCTGAGAGCTCCACAAAACACTCAATGTCCCCCTCAGGAGCATCTGCATGCCACCTGGCTGCACTTGGGGGCTGTAGGCCACATGAATCCTCAGCGCGTACCGGAGAACAAGCCACCGGAAATGCACAGGAAGCATGGACGGTCATTACACCGGGCCTGTCCACTTGGAGCGCCCGCAACGGTCCTGTTTCCTCCATGGGGAGGACAAAGAGACGGCCTCCAAGCGAGCACAGAGAAACAGCGGATCGGATGCGTTCAGGCAGCAAATCAAGGACGACCTGCGGAAGAACGCACAAGGGTGGAACAGCCAAAGAGCCGAAGCGCTAGAGAGGGTGGGGAATGAGAAGTCTGCGAAAGAAAGCAGGATCGGGAGGCCAAGGTTTTGCTGGGGATAAAAATGAATGCTTCTTAGGCCTAATAATTGATTGTTTTATCGTCCAACCAGCAAGACGCAGCGCTGCCCCCTAACCCTGCTCAGTTCAAGTTTGCATGCTGCTTGCTTTCGATTGGTGCTGCTTCTACCGGTATCTCCCCGCTCCTTTTGTGCTACGGCTCTAATTCCGCCGCTGCCCTCCCTAAAAGTGGAGAAGAGCGAGAGGATAAATAGGCAGTCAAAAGTGTGCTGCCGTCATGGCAAGCGACCTACTGCCTCTTCTTGCATTTCTAGGGAGCGCCATTTGGAAACGAAAAGATCCCCAGACAGGGGCAGCGGAAAGCAAAATGCTGCCGAGGGTAGAGGAAGCCTCAGACGGAGGGGCTGACACTGCGAATCAGAAGTGCTGCACGAAAGAAGCCACTGCGCAAAAGAGCATTTAAAGGTGCCTCCGATCTCTTAGTTGGCTCTTGATTTTCTTCACTCCGATGCCTAAAGGTCATCGAAGCTCCCCAGCTGTCGAGCCTTATACTGGTGGCCACGAAAAAGACCTGTTCACTGGCGGTGTGTGCATACACCCGGCTGGCAAGGAAGGGCCAGTGGGTGGTGAAGAGTGCCTGAAGAGACCTACAGGGTAGGACTAGGATTCGTCTGAATGGGAGTTGTAAAAGCCGTGCTAGGGAAAGAACTCACAGGATATTTAGAACAAGCACTGGAATATCTCGATAAGGGCGCGATAGCTCGAGTTCCCCATCAACTTGAACGGACTCAGGTCTATCTTTCCGGGGTGCCCTCAGCACTATGCGGCCTGCACCGAAAGCAATCCAAGAAATTCAGAGCCGTGCATGCTAAAGCTGAGAGCATCGCCACGTTTAGCCACTTGGTGCTCCTCTTCATAGGAGTGAGGGCAGATGGTAGAGAAAAACTACGCTCCCACAGCCCAAGCGACTGCCCCGAAGGGCAGCGAGGGTGGAATTCAAGTCAGCTGTATGCGATGCTGAGGACGGCGCATGGCAGGGGACGCTAGCGCTCGTGAAGCAGAATTTCTATCAACAAGCTTTGAGGGAAAAAAGGGCAGCACAGTAGGCAGGGAGCGTCCAGCAAGCAGTCTGTGCCGCGTCAGCGGGCAGACGAGGGCGAGGATAAACACAGCAGATATACAATCAGGAGCGAGGAAGGCAGGCAGGTGCATGGAGTCCATAAGCGAGAAGGAACACGACAAGCCGCAGAGCGATCCATAATGGCATAAGGAGCGGGCAGGAAAAGCACGGTGCAGGAAATACGAAGAAAGGAAGGGAGTAAACCTGTCTCTGTCTCTCTCGCTCGGGGTATATATACATGTATATATCTCACCGCCTTCTAGCACCTCTTTCATGAGAGAAGCAGTTATTGAGGGGGCAGCAGAGGCCTTTGAGACAATGAAAATAGAGAACGTTGCAATCGCTGCAACTCTGCCAGAAAGGAACGTAGGAAGCAGACCCGCGCTTGCATTCACCACCTTTCGACGCAGTGTGCAGCACCAGTCCACCTGCAGTAGCGGTCATTGGAAACGCAACACAAGCGAAGACGGCTTTCCAGAGGAAAAGATATCAGATAAGGATGCTTTGCAGCAGAATGCACCCACTCTTCGCCCTTTAGAAACCCTGAAGGGGGGAGAGCGCAGTCCTAGGCAGTCATGAAAGTGCGCAATTAGCATCATGACGCGCAAGAAACGGTCCCTCCCACCATCTGCACAAGCTTTCGGGATAGCAAAACCTCGCTCACAACCTCTTTCAGTCCTCAGACACCGCTATTACGTAGCCTACACTACCCAGAGAGAGAGGACACGAAACTGAAATAAGGGCGAATGCGGAGTTGCGCACTCGCATGTATCCGCTATCGAGGAGTCTGCCGCTCCAGGGCTGTCCATCTATCCGGATATCCTGTTGCAACAAATTGACATAGCCTTCCTGCAGCTGCAGGAGCATTTGCCTTTCCCCCTCGTCTCCTGCTGCTGCTTCAAAGGCAGGAATAACTCGGCGTAGCACTCGGGTGTCACTCCATGCTGAGACACCCACTCGAATTCTCAGTTCACGTTTACAGCCCTATACAGCTACATACGTTTTTGTGTCCAGAGACGCGAGCACACGTATAAGCGAGCATACAAACGCAACCATATCAACCCGCAAAGAAAAAGCTTTCCTCAAGTCCGCAAGGCTAGGGGGGGTGGCAAACGAAGGCCTAGAGACAGATGTCTAATTCTACGCAGCTTTTCGTCATCAGGTGTTCGTTCATGACGTACGACTCTTTAGATGTAATGCAAACCAATACATCCTTACGTCGGCACACATACACACACTGCAGGGAGCCAAAACATGTCCCTACCTAAGGGTGGCATTGCACAATTGAAGGCCACTGTGAGACAAGTTCTATCCCGTTCTCTGCGTTGTGAGCTGGAGAGTGCAGACTCGCTTGAGACTTCCGCATGTGCCGCAGCGATTTCCTGCCCTCGCTCATGCTGCCGCCGCTGCTGACTTTCGGGTGGTTGTTGCTGCTTGTATCTCTCGCGGGGAGATCCAGGGAGAGACGTGTACCGAGGCGGAGCGTCCTACAGAGTGCCATCGTAAATTACAAGCCCACTAGGAGTCTCTACGTCCCTATGTGGCGCCCAGCATGTACTTTTCGGGTGTACGTACAGCTCAATTGGGGGGAAGGGATTAACAAGGCGCAGAGGCAGGAGAAGAAGGGATAGGTCTTGTGGGATGCAGTGTGCAGCCAACAGCACCACCAATCAAAGCAATGCAGCAGAAGCAACAGCGGGAACTTCATGAGAGGCGGGTTACGTGGGAGGCAATAGAGGCATCAGGAGAGAGGGCACAAAAAGAGGATCTGATTTTTTACTGAGGGAGCAGCCAGCGGCACAAGTGGAGGAGGCGCAGAGAGGCTGCTGACTGCAGGAAGGTATAAAGTCGGAATCTCTACATGCGGCGTTGGTAAACGGCCTCGTTGCAGCGAGTCGCTGCCAGACAGAGGGCAAGCGTGGTTGCGGCAAGAAAAGAACAAGCAAGATGGAGGAAAGAAATGACGAAGGAGAGGGATTAAAAGGCGGGGGTGTCGGCTGTATTCGTGGTAGGACGCCTACCAATCCCCATGTCAGGCTCAACAGCTGTCTTCTCCCTTCCTCCTCCAATTGCCTGCATGAAAAATCGCAATTTTTTCCAACAGCTGCAGCGGAAAGGCATGCGCCGAGAGAGGTTCGGGGGATGGAGCGGCACGCCAACAGTAAGAGATTATTAGAGGCAGGAAGCGGGGACAGGCGAAGAGATGAAGATACATGTGTTTATTTCAAGTGTGGTAAGGAGGAGCAGCAAGGAACTAGCGCACTGAGTTGCTTGCAGCTCCGCCTTTAGGGCCTTCTCCGCTTTGGTGGTAGCTGCGAGACGAGGAAAACAGCAAAAACGCAGGGGAGGCTGCGAAAGGCGCAGCACTGAAATTTGGAAGAGGTGACGTGATACGAAATAGACACTCTCAAAAGGGAGATAGAGCAACAGGATTGGCACCTGATGGCGGCAGAAGAACAAAAAGCCAGATGCACAAAGGAGATCTTAGGGTGGCAACTTTTAGAAGCACGACACGCTGTACAGGGGCAACAGGCACACGTCTTGAGCAGAGGATCACTCACGAGAGAGCACCCATAAGAGCGTCAAGTAAGGAAGAAGCACCAAAAATACACACTGATACACACATACTACATAAACATACATACTTATTACACACACACACACATGTACCCATACACATACACACACACGTACACATACACACACACACATATAATACACACACACACACACACATGTACACATAATACACACACACACACACATGTACACATACACACACACACACATGTACACATACACACACACACATGTACCCATACACACACACATAATACACACACACATAATACACACACACACACACACACACACACATGTACTCACCCTCCAGCTTGCTGAGGAGGCCCTCATTGCGCTGCCTCTCGTTTCTGATACGTTCCCGTGCATTGGCGAGCAGTGTCGTTAGCTCTGCGATGGTCATTTCCTGCTCCCTTTGTTTTTCTTCCGCCTTCTGCTGCATTTCTTGGTGCTCCTCCAATGCCTCCTGCAGCCTCGCCGCTTCTTGGCGGTACTTGTGGACTTGCTGCCGCTGCTGGCGCTTTTCTTCTTCTGTATTCTTCAGCGCTGTTTCAAGCTCAAGCACTTGCTCCTGCAATCGATCTACGTCTTTCGCTGCCGCAGCGGCCCTAGATGCAGCTTCATGCTGCGCCATGTGCTGCTGCTGCAGCATCTGCTGCTGCATCTCGCTTGCACTGCACGCCAGCACGCAGCATTGGATGCAATACTGCCTGCACAGCAGGCCTGAGGCAAACTCCTGCTGCAGCAAATTTCCCTGATTTTTCTCCTCCTCCTCTTCCCCACCCCTGCCCCCTATAAGCTTTGGCATCCCTACTCCTTGAATCCCCGTCCACGCTTTAGCAGTTGTGTTTTTGAACCTCAAGGCTACCTCGAGGGCGAGCAAGAATTGGATAGCGGTCTGGGGACTAAAGTAGGGAAAGAAAGAGAGAAGAAAGGAAGACTGAGGGCCTTCTAACTGCAGAGGGATAAAGCAGCCTCTCACGACAGTCTCTGGTAAGCGTCGTTGAGTTGGCTCGTCAGCAGCTGCCTGCAGCGCAGCAAGAAGCACCCACAACAGCAGGAGGAGGGGACAAGAGGTGTTCCTGGCACAGTGTTCGAACCCATACATATACACATATGTGTATTCTTGCCTGTGTTTGTATGTGTATGCACATGTATATGTATGTATGTGTGTAGGTAGGTGTATGTATGTGGATGTACATGAACATGTAAGTACACGTATATGTACGTCTACGTATATGTATGTACATGTAGGTGCATGTGCATGAATGTATGCATAGGTGTGGATGTATCTGTATCTATGCACCTGCATTTACACATGTATGTATGAATGTATATGTATCTACATGCATGTATATGTATGTGTATCTATAAACATGTATATGTGTATATCTACATGTATATATATCTACATACATATATATATATATATCTATATATATTTATTCATGTGGTTGTGCCACAGGTGCAACAAACGGGGTGGCTCAGAGGGCAGCACCATTGTGCACCGTACAGCTGTGTTTGGAATGCGTGGAGTTGCTGTTGTTGTTGTAAGGATGCCTGTTGAAGCTGTTGCTGGAGAATGCAGTTTTGCTGGTGGAGGAGGGCTGTCTCGTTTCGCGCGACTTCCGATGGCGTGGCAAGGTTTGCTCCGTCGACCTGCAGTGGCACAGAGCACCAAGAAGATATCACTGGAAAGCTCGTGCTTCGTCTTCACGCAGCATGCGTAGGGAGGGCTGCTAGCAACAAGCCTGCTTGTGTGAAGCAGCAGCTGCTGCTTCACACAAGCCGGCGTGCTTCTCTTCGGTGTCTGACTTCATCACACATGCCCTCTGCCGTGTCTCTGGAGTCCGCTGTCTGGCAAACGCATGCCAGCCTACCGTATCCTTCAGCTTCCCTGCAAGAGAGAGACCATGGGAAGGAGCAGTAGGCATCTCCACCACTGCTGCCCCCCCCCACGAGGTTGCGCTTTGTGTCGCAGCTGCTGTCGAGGCGTCGAAAGACTTCTCGGCAGCAGCGATCTCTGCCTCTGTCGAGGAGAGAGCGTCAGCGATCTTCACGGCAAGCACGAAGGAAAGCGTGCCAGAGGGCTTCCCCGCGCATGCAACAGACTCTGCAGTGCCTGGTGGCAGCAGCGTTACTTGGTGGAGGCATGAAGTAGAGGCTGAGAAAGGAAGAGCGGCAAAACAGGCAGCAGACGCAGAACCAGCTGTGCTGTGTGGGAGAAGTTTACACATCTTCGACAGGGATTTGCCTTCTGCGTGGAAGATGCAAGCCGAAGGAACCTCAAAAAGAAAGCACTTTTTTTATCTCTGCCATCATCGTCTACTGAGCAAAACGAAAGCACTTTTTTTATCTCTTCTGTCATCTACTGAGCTAAAGAAAGCACTTTTTTTATCTCTGCCATCATCGTCTACTGAGCAAAACGAAAGCACTTTTTTTATCTCTTCTGTCAATTACTGAGCTAAAAGGAAGCACTTTTTTTATCTCTGCCATCATCGTCTACTGAACGCGGTTCCCCCGCTTTTTCAAGGGGAGAAGGGGGGGAAGAGCAACAGCACGCCTCTAGACAGCGCCACACGAAGGGCAGGCAGGCAGGTAGGTAGGTAGGTAGGCAGCAGCGAACAGCAGCAAACGCAACCTTCCGATAGCTAGCAGCAGCAGGTGACTTGTAATACGGCAGCGGCAGCAGCAGCGCTGGAGCGCTTCTTCCCACGCACATGCAAGTAGGTCAAGCGGGAGCTGCGCGACAAGGAGAGGCTTCCCACTGCGTGCAGCTTCAAGAGAGAACCTCAGCCTTCCGCCATGCTGCCGTAGACTTCGCCGCAAAAGGCGTGCAGGGCTGCTTCTCCTGCTGCTGCTTCTTTTAGAACTGGATTTTCGCCGCAGTGAGACGCGGAAGCGACGGGCACCTCGCCACGTAACCTCCAAGACACCAGCGCTGTTGCTGCTAGCAACACCAATTTCGGGAACATCGAGGCTTTCAGTTGCGACGCTCTGCATCATGCAGTGTACACATCGGCACGACACACAAATCGTGCAGTGCTGCTGCTACGGCACCTCATGCCTCGATCTTTCGGCACTTGTATCAGCGCGCGACAAGAAGTAACCCAAGGGTCCCTGCTGCGTGAGGCGTCAAGACTGCTTTGGCACTATGGCTGGAAGGCAGACACCAACAGAGGTCTCTGAGCGGCAAGCTGCTCAGAGACGCCTTTCCAAGGAAACATCTTCAGCCAAAAGGGAGAGGAAAGCTACCCCAGTTGATCCAGCTGCGGCGCCCTTGCGGCAGCCGCTGCTGGCGGGAAGCAGAGTTGGTCTTGTCTCGCGGGGAGCACAGCGTAGCCTGCTTACCTGTGAGGAGACAAGCAGCTCAATGTTCAAGAGCAAAGCGTCCTCCGCAGCAGCAGCAGCTCCATGAGGAAAAGCCAGCACGGCGTGCAAGGAGGAGACGCAAACGTGATAGCAGCAGCGTTTCCCCCTTTCGCCCTTTGCTGTTGCTGCTGCTGCCTCTCTCGATGTGTGGCGATGTTGGGAAGGGGAGCTCCTTGATTTCAACCCCCTGTCCCTCCTGCGGCTGCTGCGCTTGCTGCCTGCACTCGACTCGCTGCCTGCGCTCCTCCCGCTGCGGAGGCTAAAAAGGCTGCTCCTGCTGCTGCTGCTGCTGTGGCTGGTGCTCTCCGTGGTGGGGTGGCCTCTGCCGCGCAAGCCCTTCGCTGCATGCCCTGGCCAAACGGCTGCTTCCGCATGCGAGGCAGCTGGAAAAGATGCAGCAGCGCGAGCAGAGGGGAGGCTGTGGCGGACGGCATCCGGTGCGGGGGGAGGCACTAAGGAGTCGGGGGCAGTCAGACTCCTCCATGCAAGGGAATTCGGCTGGTTGTGCGTTGGAACCCCCATATAAGCGTCTGCGGAGGCAGCTACTGGCCAGTCGGCGAAAAGATCCTCTAATTGCTGCTGCTGCTGCTGTTGTTGTGACACAGCAGCAGCTGCGGGAGCTGCAGCAGCTGCTGCAGTCAGGGGGTCTTGTGTCGGTGGTGTTGGTGCTCCTTCTGCTTCCCAGCCAGCAGCTACTTTGGCCTTATCCTTCCTGTGTCGGCGTCTGCTGCTGCTGCTCTTCTTGCTCCTGCGCTGCTGCTTCTTGCTGCTTTCGCTTGCCCCGCTGTCGCCTCCTTCGAGCCATTTGACTCCTTCCTCCCGCAGCTCATGTTGCTGCTGCTGCTGCTGCTTCTGCTCCTCCTGCTGATGCTTCAGGTCCTCGTCTGCCGCAGCGATCGAATGAAAAAAGCCGACAGACTCTTCCAACTCCTTGCACGCCTGCAGCAGCAGCACTCCAGGAACACACAGACTCGGGGAGTAGCCGCAACAGCGCTAGAGATCAGCTCTCTGCTGCCAATATTGCACTTTCGGCAAGAAGCAGAGGCAAGGTCGATGCTGCGTGTATACCTGCTGCATGCGGGCGTCCTCGAACTCAGCATTCCTCCCTGCAACGCGTTTGATATCGGCGAGGTGTCTGCGCAGACACCCACTGGCAGAGAATCTTCAAAGTGCCCCGCAAGGCGCAACCGCAACAACAACAGCAACCCCTCTCTTCTCCCCCCATCGCACAGAATGCGATATTTTTGAGCGCCACGGATTTCCACACAGAAGACACGGACAGCAGCACATGGAGCCCGCACACGCAGCAGCAGCACGAGGAAGACGCCAGTGTATGGACGGCGCGAAAGCGGCACAAAGAGACAAGCAGCACAGAAAACAAAGGTTTGACCCCAACGAGATATCTCATGTGTAGATGAGGCCACACCCAGCGACACGGGAGGTGCAGAGAAAAACGGATTCATCGGGTGTCTTAGCACGCAGCCCACACGACGACAGACAGCGTGTTCCTGCTGGTTCATCTATGTATAACATATACAGATGCCTGAATAGGGGTGAAACGAAGGACGCCTTGAGGCAGTGAGGCACTGGACGCCCGCAACTTGCAAGCGTCACCCTTCGGCAATCTATGAAACGTTCGCCCATTGCTGCGAAAGCCGCGGCGGGCAGCTTTCTGTTTGGCGCACTTTTCGCACTCCGCCGCTAGTTCCTGGACTTGAGAGGATCGAGGGGCTGCAAAAGGCATGGAATAGCGCAGCACAGAGGCACGCGATGCTTAGAGGCGGGGTGGCAAGGGTCACCACTCGACTGTTGCGCCGTGAACGCGCATGAAGCGTTCGTACAGCGGCTTCATGAGGACGCTTACAATACTGCTGTAGCATCTCCCGGAGCTGCAGGGCGCTGACGAGGGCGAGTTCTGCATCCATGGCAGCGAGCGATGGCTTTGCTCCCCTCGGCCCGGCTGTCCGTACATCTCGTGGCTTGAAGCTCCCCTTAAGGCTGCCGAGCGCTTCTTCTGCCGCGTTCTTCGAAGCGCATCTGAGTGCCGAGACGTCGAGGGAACCCGAGACAAGGCGGCAGTTCGAGTAGTCCGACAGAAGGAAGTTCGGGAGGGGGGAGATGCCCTAGCTGCCACACGCAAATATATGGAGGGCGCATCCAAAGAAGGCCGTCGGCAATGCGTTGCCGCCAAGAGGGCTCACAAAAGTGTGCGGAAGCGCCAGAAGTTGGAGCGGAGAGAGAGGCCCCTAAGGCCCTCCCAGCATGGTGAAGCAGTCCCTGCGGAGGTGCCTTGCTCTATATTCCTAAAACTTCGTGTTTAAATACATTTTTGCAGTGTGGTTTCAAACAGGGAACACAGGAAATGAGCTATTCCCAAATTAGGAGTCGCGTGCGTCGGCCGCCGTGGGGTGATCGTTTGACTGCGAGGTGTCTGTACACCTGAAACACTGGAACAGAGCACCGGCAGCGGTTGCGCTTGAGCTGTGAAAAAGCTTATATTCTAGCTCTCTGTTTTTGGCCGCGCGCAATGAAGCAAGGCCCCCGATACCTCAACGCCCGCAGGAAGTTGATTCGCCTCCTGAGCCTCTCTTGTTGGCGCAGACAACGATAGCACAATTAGCCGAAACGCCGTCATGACTCCTTAGAATCAGCTTTCTTAGCCAGCCAACAGGAGCTTTGCCGTCATTCTTGAGCAAACTCGTGCACTAGAGATGCAAGGCGACGGTGTCGTAAGCAGGCATTCTGCAGCTCCACAGCTAGCTCTAGATCCAAAAATTGTGCACTGGCGATATAAACTTCAGCACAACTTGGATAGAGCTTTCTGATAAGTCTATTGAAGCTTGACGCAAAATCCCTACCACAGTCGCTCGCTCTTTCCCCAAGGGCATGCCACCATACCAACCATTTCCCGCCCTTCCTGTAGGAGGCCCCAATCACGCCTACAGAAACCAGGAATGCTGGAGCTTATGAGCAGTCAGGCTCCTCCCGCCTTATACTGTTTAGATGTTTAAAGTTCAGACAGTAGTTGCCCTTCACTTCTCGTCTGTCACCTTACCTGAGGGACAGACCACAGAGACCCCCTCGAGAGATCCGGCTTAGTGTTTCCTCACGGAAATCCCAAAACGTGAATCAGCTGTACAATCCATTTAAAATGGTATTTAAAAAGGTTTGAAAAGAGCATCTTTCCCACCTCGCGTCCAACCAGAGACTCCCAGGGCTCACGGAGTAGAAGGGCATCAAACAACATGCCGCCTGTGAGGATCAAAAGCAATTATGAGGGCTGCACTCACATTACCAACTAAGCGCGTTCACGAGCTAATAGTGCACATAAAAACGGCTAGCCATGCACTCCAGTGGCACGTGGGGGGTTGAGGTACACCTCTACACGTCCTACCAAGCTAGTTATGTATGACTAACAATTAGTAAGCAACTGACTAACTGTTTTGTTGGTACATGTGTCTTGCGTATTGCAAACTATGGTTTGCGTGACCCTAGATGACGCACTGTTGTGTGCAACTAGCTGTGAATGCTCAAAGTATTTAGAGAGCGCATCTACACGCACGGTAGCTGTACCTATCCCAGTCGCGGACTCTTACAGGCAGGGGCCGAGAACAAGGAAGGGCGAGCGTTCTTCCGAGAAACACTCAATAACCATCTGTTAAGTTTATATTGAGTTTGTAGTCAAGTGCTTTCATTCGGAGACCTCAGATGAAGCGTTACACGGGTAAGTGTGGTGGACAACTGAAGGGGCTTATTTGCTTAATGTGCACCATTCCAAGGAGATCCCATGCAGCATAAAATTCACCTGCTCAAGGCAGCCACGATCGAAAATCCACCTATAGAGGTGCGATTGATCAAAGGCAAGATTGTGAGGGTTTGAAGCTGGAGGATGTCGCGGGCAGATGCCAGTGTGGATGATCTGTGCATGAGTAGTAGACCTGGATGCCTTATTCGCCGTAAATAGGTATATTGTATCGGGTGAACGAGAAAAATTGCCTTGATTGCCCTCTTCGTTTCGTCGCTCCACTCAGAGAAAGGCCCGATAGAGGAAAGAGCATTCGGTCCTGCTTTATCAGGGGCCTCCGTGTATTCTCTCTCCGAAGAAAGGCTTGCACCCCCATGCGAGGAAAAAGAGCATAAACGAGCGTTGGGATGAACGCGTGTGCAGGTTCTCTTGCTTGGGCCAATTTCATCTAAGAATAGTCACTCTCACAGAAGGCCATCACGCCAGCCTTTCTGGTTGTCTTCAAGGCAGAGCAAATATTAGAGGGAGGAGGAAGCAGTGCTTCGTCATTAGCGTTTTTTTTGGAGCCTGCAGCATTACGTGTGCCTGTATCGGTCGTGGTCTACGCATTGCTTCTTTTCTTGGTCTGTCCATGACCCTTCTCAGAGATGCTATTCTTCCCAGTGTCTATTATGCTGATTATTATATATAAGTAAAGCTTTACATGTGGACTAGGGAATTCCTTGATAAGGGTCGGCTGGGTGAGACTGTGAGAGGCATAGCCGCATCGATTGGCTGCCTGTCACCTCCCTGTGTGTGAAATACCTCGCCCACGCACCAAACTTTGGTTTACGAGGCTCTTTTCTATAGAACATAAGGAATCTGTTCTAAGATTTCATTAACTTGGTTTGGAGAGGAGGGTTTCACGCCCAATTTCCCACCGAGGCCTCTGAGGTCGAGTCACTGTCGTCAGTCCTCCGAGAGCGCAAGAAGGCGTCAACGGTTCTATTGTGTTCTTATTATGAATGTCTACGTAGACCACAGAATGGGCTGTCGGGATAAAGATGAACATTTGTAGTCTCAAACCCTTATCCTTTCTATTTTTAATTAAACTCACCCTACTGCCTCTTCCGGGATTGGACGATGCCACACAGCCGTGATCTAGCAGGCGACAGAGCAGGAGAACAGGTGGAACCGAAGCCATGCTTCTGCAGTTGTCCTCGCTGTATCCCTTGCTTTATGTTCTTCCTGACATTTGGAGTTGGCTTGAGCTGCCTTTTCTTCATGACGACCGGGGGGTTGGTCCTCTGCATCCTTCACTGTTCGCTCGGCTGTTTTCTTGTGCTGATCCCTTGTGGAGCTCGCAAAAGCCCTGAGCTGCTATGTGCTATTGTAGCCCTAATCAGCAATTTGGCTTACTTGGCCCTGGTCCTCTCCACCTTGGCATACGCTGTGTACCTGCTGGGACTGAACTCCCTTGCAGAAGACGCAAGATCTCGTACGACTGGAAGTCCCCTACATGAAGCGCTCCTTGATCTTTATGCACGCCAAGGACAATTGGAAACTTCTGGCAGCGATGATAGTGCTGAAGGACCCATGGAAGAACAGTCCCAAGGGTTCTCCAGTGGAGAGCCCCCGATGTCTACGGTGCTTTTAACGTTCAAGACAGTACCTTCCATCGCCATTCCATCAACTTTGGAACCCGATTTACGTAAGCTCGTCGAGCAAGCACTTCCCCAGAGTAAGCCACTACTCTCAAAAAGCAATTCAGCAAAGGCCGCGGGGGAACAGATGCTCAACATTTCACACACAATTGCGGACACTCTGAAGTACGCCCCAAGTCACCCGTATCTGCAGCCTTCCATAGGCTTTAGTGGTGATCAGCTGATTTCTCCGGCACAACAGCACTTCGGGAAGTTTCTACCCAAGGAGCCACCGTCCACCAGTGCCGAGCTTCCTGTCCGAAGTCACAGAGCTTTCTGGTTTCCTCAATTCACAAGGGGTGACTTGAATTGTCTCGAAAAGATGCAATCGGGCACTGGAGAGGTATCCGGTGCAATGCTCCGAGCGCACGTGTTAATGGATTGGGGTTTGTTCTGTGGCTACACCCAGTACAGCGTGGGTGTGTTAAGAAAATGGCCTGTCAGCTGTAAAGCCGACTGTCTCTTTGATAAACTTCAGTTCTCCGGCTACGAGAAACAAGCTGGAGAGGCTGAAGATCAAGGCGCACTCTTTGTAGTGGAGGTAAACACCATGAGCAGAGAACAGGCACTACAGTGTACGGCGTTGGCAGTTGCTACAGCCTGCAGAATAGAGGAGCACCATTTACAGTATGGCGCCATTGGCGCCCTTGCTGTGGCTCTGCTGGGCTGCATTTCCCTTTTCGGATGCGGTCTTTACCGCCTCTCTGAAAGTACAGCGAACATTATGCAGGCCAAACGGAAAGTCCCAAGCAGAAGATAAGAGATTTCAGGTCAGCTAAGCAACGGAAGCTTCCTATTGATAGTTCACAAGAATCCATTCATATCTCAAAGCTTGAGCTGTAGCAAAGTCTGCAGAATGATGAAACCGCGTATTCTCGTGTGAAAAGGTTACCCCCTCTCTCATCGGCCCTTGTCTCTGCGATCCGAAAGCATAGGACGTCCATCACTGTATTTCAAACACACTGCTATACCTATTTTCGTCATGCGGCCTATTTTTGCGCTTTTGCAGTCCCAACAGGCAATTCGAGGGTTTCAGACCAATATGAATCTACTTATGTAGGCGCGCACATCGGGGTTTATTTGCATATGCTTGTACGATGTACCCTGGTATGTATACATGCACCTTCTTCATATATGTTTTGTAAAGGATTAAACGAGCGAAATGCATTGTATCCAGAACTACCCTTGCCAAGCACCAGCCACATTTGCATGGTTTTCTGGGTTGTACACCGAGGCCAATGCGGAATGCTATATCATGGGCTAATACTTGCTGGAGTCCAAAAGAACAACGGAAATCATACATTTTAGCTCTTGAAATACCATGATGCCACCATGTATTGCAGCACAACCTTTTATTTGCTGCTCTTGCAGTAGTCCACCTGAACCTATTTGCTACCGCTCATCTGTGCAAACAGTATTCCCCAGCTTTGCTTGCCTGCTCACTGTGTATTGATCCAAATTATCCAAATGCTAGGAAGACAGTACATATTTGCTGCTGACGGGCCTAGAGAGAGTTTCTTCACCATCCCCCCCTACGCCCCCCCGTGTGGCGTCGCTTTCTTATCTCTATCAACCAAGCTACCAGGGCATTGTAGTCTCAGTAAAAAAGGCATTTGTGAAACAAATGGCTGCTGCCTCGCACAGCACCCTCGTACCTTCGGTACTGATATAGGGACAAAGAATTCTTGAGGCGGGAAAGTAGTTGAAAATCGCATGCAATTGAACGAAGCTCCGTCAAATCCCTACCAAGAAAACACGCCCCATATATGCACAGAAACTATACAGGAAAGGTATTTATTCAAAACACCTCATCTTTCCAAAAACATCATAATTAAGCCAGTAGGATGCGTGTCAGGCAGTTTGGGCAGTGAGTGTTTTGACTAACATGTGCTCAGTTGCACTATATATTTTTACACTTTTCGCACTCTTCACATCTCTAAAGCCGCCATTTGTATAAGCTGAATTTCACAGCTTCATTTCTGGTAGCTTTTTGAAGCGATACGGCATTTACGTGGCGTTTCGTGGTGAAGAACGAGCGGCATACACTCTCAGATAGTGGGACGTTGGCCTGGATAATCGTAATTGAGAAGCGCGCAGACTTCACATCTTTGTAAGTCTATTTTTTCCGGATATTTCAGCAATTTACAGCGCAAAGCCAACGGTGCTGTTTACGCGCTCTTCTTCTACCACCGAAAGGCGCTCGTATCGCTTAAAAAGCAAAAAAGCAACAATTTTCAAGGAAACACTACCATCCCGATACAAATCTAGTACATGATCCGCGGCTCAGCCAAACGGTCTTATCGGTACAGCCGAGTGAAAAGAAGCTAGAGTGTATAGTTCCCATGACGCTTGATGCCTTGCATCTGGCTATGTAGTTGAGAGATTCTACCGTGTCCTCCAAATACGTCGTGTTTTTAAGGTGCTGCATTGTGCTAGGCACTGAGGCAAAGTAGCGGGGATGGCTTGTATGTACGGTAACACATGAGCCGCTTTTAGAAAGCACCTTCTTTTCACGCCAAGGATCCCTGAGGAGAAGCTTTGAAGGGACGCAAAGCGCAGAGTTTTGGGCTGAACAAATCGCAAGCCTGTGAAGGATTTTGGTTCATGGCTTCTTAGAGAGCGGCCTTGATGGGTCCTTGCAGACAGTAATGTCTTCTGATTATGCTGCAGCGTTTTTGTGTACTCAGATATATATGTGTGCCTTGAGTTTCAGAGACACGAACCACGGCTAACTGTGTTGCCTTGCTTCTGAGTACTGTCTGGAAAAGCATGGTTGAATGCACTTTGCCATCGTCCTTGTTGCTGTTCTGATTGTATCGGGAGCACTTGCTGCAACGATGCTGGAGGGTATTTTGTAATCGGTTAAAATGTTCTACACATGGGATATCGTGGAAGTGCTGTGATGGAGGCAAATAGGAACAGCTAGAGAGGCTACACTCTTTTTGTGTTAGATCCGTTGGTGGTCTCGCTCCTTTTATCCTGCACTGCAATGTCGACGCTATGGTTTCTGCCAGTACAGTGCTCTGCCTAATCCCCCGTTCAGAATCCTATGCTTATGCTGGGTGGCTCTTGCAGGAGCTCGTGCACGCTGAAGCGGAGTTATGCATTCTGAATAGCAGATTTCCTCATATTAGTCTGACGCCGAATGCCTTTTTAAAGTGAGCTGCGTTTCAAGCGCCAACGCATCGCCGAGAGGTTGCTGAGAAGCTGAAGAAAGTAGAGGCTTTTTGCGCGTGCTGCGTGATGAAGCGGTGTTTAGCGACATCCATTGGCCCCGAGCCGTCCGGGGCAAGAGGCTTTGGAGCAACCCTCGCCTTTCGGTTTTTGAGTAGCGTATTGTTGTATGTAATACTAGACGAACTTCATCTACGGGATACAGAGGATCTCAAAGGCAGTTCCTATGTACGCCATCCTGCTGCAGACAGCTTGGCTGAAAGCACCGCGAAATCCTCATCTGCGGGCGCGATAACGCTCACCGTTTTGCTCAGCTGGCATAAGGGCAAGAAAGATCGCTCAAGAATGCAGTCTTGCCCTCAGTGCCTTCGCGCTCGGTCAAGAATGCCAAGATCCAATTGTGTTCAACTTCAACAAAGGTGACCAAGAAAATCTTTTCTAAAAGCAGCCCTGGAGCACGAGAATATGCCAATACTTTGGAGTCGACTCGATATTCCTTTGCATAAGGCGATCCATCTGCGAAAGCAACGCTGCAATTCGGACGCTGTAGAAATATCTGGTCAGCTGTGATTCCAATTGCCACTTTAAAATTTTTTTGGTGCAGTGCAATTTCTAGCTAAATGGATTGGGCCCCAGAAAAACACAAGAAACTAGACAGCTGCGGCAGTGCAGAAGAAACTCGGCTGTGCCAGCTTCTCGCCATTCATTGCTCTAAGGATTGAAGAAACGTACCTTGACGAAGGGGTCTTGCCGACGCTTTATCACTGCACTATTCGCTTGCATTTGTATCTTTAAATCCACCATTGCAGGTTTGATGCAATGCATGTGCTTCCTTTCAAAGTGATTAGGCCAGCAGAGCCGATGAGGAGCTCCAGTCTATCTGTCAGAAAAACGTAGTGACAGAGGTAGGGTGCATCCAATCCTTGCCTCTAATTTGCCGAGGTGATGGGAAACCCTTTTGGCACACCGGTAGTTACAGTTTGTGTATCAGGGTCTAAGCTAAACATTTGCCGCTAACTCTGCATTTGCCCTCCAGCTAGCAGGGAGAGAGAGAGCGGCCTGCATGCCAGCTGATGCTCCGTAAAACTAAACCATGCAGTTGTGTGTGCATGCAATTCTGCGCCCTTACTGTTATATCCGCATGCATCTCCTGACAGTGCTCCAGCCAAAAGCAACCCTGGGCTTTTGCGAACCTTTGAACTCCAGCAAAGAAAGGACAAGCCGCTGGCTCTCACAAAATTCGCACTCTAAGTCGCCGAGACTATGGTAACGTGCCTACGGTACCAGCGGCCTGCTGGATCGGCGTCACGTATACGCCTCGTGTAAACTCCCTACATAAAACTGAAGCCAGTTCTCGAAAAATTTAGAGGAAGGAAAGCAAGCCCCCTCCGTGCAACGCAGAGAGTGCGCTCTCGGTCAAGAAATAAAATCCAGAGAGACAAATAAATTACCATGCAGCAGAGCAGTTGTTCAACCCTGCAAAAGCAGGGGTGAACAACAAAAAACGTGAACAGCGTAAATGCCCACTGGGGCAGCGATGCTGGGCACCTCCAGACACTTGAAACAAACGACTTATACGGCTCTTCTCAATGAGAGCTATAAGGCAAGAAAACTCCATCCCCTGCAAGCCGACAGAGCCGCTTTTTCAAAAGCGAGAGCAAGGGAACTCCCCCAGACAGGCCCGCTCCCTAACTGCTCGCTGCTCCGTCGAAAGGAGGGATCTTCACTACCCAGTGTCTCCCGATGGGCAAAACGACGACATGCTGGATAAGCCAGATAGAGAAAAATCGGAGGAGTCTTCTTCGTCCGCGGAAGCAGCAGGTGGAGCGTGTGTAATCCCCAGAAAATCTCTCCCACCGCCTCCTGATGGCGAAGTAGCTCTCTCTCTCCCTCTCACTTCTTTTGTGACTTTAGGAGGAGGCCCCTCTGCAGGCTTCTCTGCAAACGCTGCTCGTCTTCCTCCTCCTCCAAGAGAGATCTTTCTTGGGGGCAGCCGCAGAAGCCGCTCGCTCGCAGTTCCGCTGTAACTCCTGCTGCCGCAGCGCATGCTGCTCGCGGCGGATGTTGTCGGGAAGGAGGGGGTCTCCTCCTGCTCAGCAGGTGCAGCAGAACGCACGAAAGCTGCCGCTGCTTCACTTTCGAGGTGTAACGTCTCCTGAGGCAGTCCTTGCTGCAGTCCGACTTGAAGCCTTGTCTGCGCCTTGCCGCGCAGAGGCTTCCCTTCTCTTGTATCAGGTGTCTGGCGTGGCTGCTGTGCATGTAGCTCAGCCGCTGCATCACCACTGTCGGTGCTGTCTGCTCCTCGTGCCGTCGCTGTAGCTCCTGTAGCTGCTGTAGCTGCTGTGACACTACCAAAGACGCCTCCCGAATAAGCAGAAATGCCATCGGGGAACCCCCCCTCTGCTGGAGGAGGGCTGCTGCTATGGCGGATAGCAAAGTCGCCGTGGCTGTGGCAGTCTTGCGAGACTCGAGCATCATACTTGCTGGGGATGTCATCTGTGGCGCTATTGCCGCAGCTGCTGCTGCTGCTGTGATTGCCACTGGCACTGGCACTGCTGCTGTGACTGCCACTGGCACTGGCACTGCTGCTGCTGTGACTGTCGCTGCCACTGCTGCTGCTGTGACTGCCCCTGCGACTGCTGCTGCGCTCTGCTGTGAAATCAGAGGCGGAGCGAGTGGACGTTCGCACTGCATGGCAGGCGACATTTTTCAAGCTCCCTTCCAAACTTTCCCCACCCCTTCCGCTGGCACTGAAGTCGCTCTGGAAGCGCAGCAGATCCCTTAGAGCGCTGCCACTCGTCTGAGCCGCTGCTGGGGGGTCCATGACTGCCGCGTCTGAAGCTGGGTAGCAGCTGAGACGAGCAGGCTGGCATCTCTCCCTCTCCAGCGCTTCTGCATGCGTTTCGGAGTCTTGAAGATTCGCAAGAAAAGCCGCCGCATCCACCACTGGTGTCGCCTGCACAGGCAATGCTTCCTTCTGACCAAGACAAGCAGCAGCAGCAGTGCAACGCAGCACAAGACGGTGTAGTGCTGTCACAAAAGCTTCCAGAATGACAACATCCTGCTGTTTAAGATTCCCCACAGAAATGCTACTAACGGACAAACGCAGACCTTCATCTGGATGGCGCTGCTGCTGCTGCTGCTGCTGCTGCTCCTTTCCTTGCTGCTGCTGCTGCGTGCATGCAGCAGCAGCATCAGCGGGCTCGCGCAACGCTAGCGCATCCAGGAGCTGCTGCACTGTTGGCGCCGCAGGAATGAGAGGCCCCTCTAGGGAGCCTTCTGTTTCCTCGCTTGCAGCAGAGAGAACGGAGTTGCAGAGAGCAGCAGCACAACTCCCCCGACTGCTATAAGTATCCTTGGAGCTGTTGCTGACTCCCGGCAAATAGCTGCCGCAGTTGTTGCTGCTTTTGCTCGTGCCGGAGCCAGAACTGCTGATTTCCTCGCCACTCCTCGTACTGCTGTTGACGCCTCCCTTACACTGCATGCCAATATACCGCGAATAGCCCCTTACTGTCATCAGAACAAACTCTGCCAGCTGTGCCACGCGGCTGTCTGCTTCCTGCTGCTGCCGCTGCAGCAACTGCTGCAGCAAGTGCTGCTCCCTACGAAGATGGAGGCACATGCCCTTCAGCAAGGCACGCTGCGCTGCAAGACTCTCCAGAAGAAGCGCCTGCTGCTCCCTCTGGAGAGGCTCTCCCCCCTCTGCCTGCGGCTGCATCCTCTCCTCAGTTGCTGAAACATGCCGCTCAATTCGTCGCAGCAGCAGCCGCACAAGCCGCTGCTGCTGCTGCACACCCTCCTCAAAGGCTTGCTCTTCAGAGACTCCCTCGACGCACTGGTCGTCTTCTTCACAGACATGCAGTGGATGCTGCATCCGCTTCTCTTCACGACAATCACAAGTCTCTTGGTGCGCATGCAGACGCTGCCCCTCCTCCAGGAGATTCATCAGTTCTGTCTCCTCCTGCGAATGCAGCTCTCGCCGAAGAACCGCCTGCTGCTCCAGCCGCAGCTCCTGTACCGCACATACGGGGTGCTGCTGCACATCTTCTTCTCTCTTGAGCATGCTCCTCTCCTCTTGAGCCGCTTTGTGCTGCTGCTGCTGCTGTTGTTGTTCCTGCTGCTGCTGTTGTGCAGACAAGTGCTGCTGCAACTCCCCCTTTTGCTGCAAATCTTCGATTTTCTGATCAAGTGCTCGCTGCGCGGCTAGCTGAGCCATCCCTTCTTCAGCCTCAGGATTCTGAGGAGCAAAACGCTGAGACACCCCCGAGCAGGACGGCTGCGATACTGATTCACATGTCGGATGATCTTCTTGCGCTCTCCTCCATGGCTGCCGCAAAGAAGCGTCTGCTGCAATCGCAGAAACGTCGTATAAAAGCTCAGGTTCCCCTAACTCGCGCTGCTGCGCAAGCTCGCCGTTGCCATTGCGATCGCTGCAGCCTCCTGCAGCACTGCCTTCCACGGCAGGCTTGCTGCTCTTCGAAACTTCCTGCAGCAGCAAGAAAAGCAGTCCCTCCAAGTGGTCTTTAAGCTCCTGCAGACAATCCGTCAAAGCAACCTGCTGCTCCCGATCCAACCGCGCATACTGCTTGTCTAGCTGACGTGCGAGCAAAGCGTAACACGCGAGAGATCGCTCTGCATGCAGCCGAAGGCGATCCAGCTTCGCCTCCTGCTGCTTGTCGTGCTGCTGCTGCAGACTCTCCAGCTGCTCCAGCTGCTGCTGCGTCTCAGTAAGCTGTTCTTTCGAATCGCCCCTTGCCGTCTTCACGTTAGGCTGTAACCTTTCCACGAGCAGCTGGCGTTGCTCACAAGTACCCTCCCCTTGCTGCAGCCGCTGCTGCTGCTGCTCCTCCACCCCCTGCTGTTGCTGTTGCAGACTCTCCAGTGCCATTATTTGCACCCGTGCTGCATCTTCGCATACGTTTTGCTGCTGCGCCTCCTGCTGCTGCTTCATCGCTGCCAGCTGCTGCTGCAGCAATTCTACCTGCTGCTGCAGCAATTCCACCTGCTGGGTGCTGCGACGCTGTCCTCTCTGCAGCTCCTGTTGCGCATCCAGAACCCTTTTTTGCAGCTCATCATTCGCGTTTTGGAAAGACAGTGCCTGCTCAAAAAGCTCCTGAGAAAAAAAAGCCGTGCACTCACAGACAAAGCGCCAAAAGTACGAATCCAGCAGCCGCAACAGTCAGTGCGCGAGCTGCATGCGGGCAGTCGTCCTACAGCCCATGCCACACTTGCAGGCGACATCTCGACAAAAAAAACACTACAGCGCTTACCTGAATATGCTGTTGCTGAGTTTCAATCTCACTTCGCAGTCGCTGCACGAGGGAGGCTTCTTCAGCCTCTTCGTGCTGCTGCCGCTGGTGCTCGTACTGACGCTTGCGTGATTCGAGCTCCTGTCTTTGCTGCTGCAGCTGAAACTTCAGCTGCCGTGCAGCCTCCTCTCGAATAGCCAGCTCGTGCTGCTGTTGCTGCACCTCCTTGTGCTCCTGCTGCAGACGCTGCTGCTCCTCCTGCAGACGCTGCTGCTGCTGCTGCAGACGCTGCTCCTGCAGACGTCGCTTTTCTGAAAGCGCATGCTCGCCTTCAGCAAGCTTGCTCTGCTTCCTCCGAAGAGTCTCCTCCTGCTGCTGCAAAAGCTGCTGCTGCAAAAGCTGCTGCTGCTGCTGCATATCCTGCTCCTGCGAACGTCGCTCTGCCTCTACTCGCTGCTGCTCTGCAGCCGACGCTATACGCCGATCCTCACTTTCTAGACGACACTGCAGCTCATCGGCTGCCTGCTGCTGCTGCAAAAGCTGCTGCTGCAGCTGCTGCACTTCGCTGCCACGTTGAAGCAGCTCGCGCTGCTGCCTCTGAAGATCTCTCTGCTGCTGCAGCACAGCCTGCTGTTGCCGCTGCATCTCCTGTCTCTGATGCTTCACATCTGCACGCTCATGCTGCAGCTCCTGCTGCTCGTGCTGCAGTTTCTGCTGCTCGTGCTGCAGTTTCTGCTGCTCGTGCTGCAGCTCCTGCTGCTCTTGCTGCAGTTTCTGCTGCTCTTGCTGCAGTTTCTGCTGCTCTTGCTGCAGCTCCTGCTGCTCGTGCTGCAGTTTCCGCTGCTCTTGCTGCAGCTCCTGCTGCTGCTGCTGGAGCTCCTGCTCCTGCTGCTGAAGCTCCTGCTGCTGCTGCTGAAGCTCCTGCTGCTGCTGCTGATGGTTTCGCTGATCACGCTGAAGCCGTTCGTTCATGCAGTCAAAGTCTCGCTGTTGCTTCTGAAGCTTGTGCTTGTCTTCGCCGAGGCGTCGGAGCTCCTGCTGCAGTTGCCGCTGCTCCCGAAGCAGCTGCTGCTCTGCAGTCTGCAGCTGCTGCTGCTGCTGCTGCTGATGGATCGGGGGATGTTGCTCTGCCTGCTCAGCAACACCAAGAAAGCGTAGAGACGGCAGCTCCTACTGAGCATCTCCAGATACTGCTCCTAAACTGCAAAGAGACTTTCTGTGCAACAGCGCCTGCTGCATCTCTTCAACATGCGTGATGCTTACCAGCAAGTCTTTCAGTCTGTTTGAAAGTCGCTGCACGGCTTCCTCTGCATCCCTCTGCTGCTCTCTCAGCTCCGCTTCGAACCTTTGCTGCTGCTCCTGCTGCTCCATGCGCAGCTGCTGCAACTCCCTTTCTTGCTGCTTGAGCAGCTGCTCGCGTTCGTGTGCCTGCTGCTGGAGGCTTCTCTGCTGCTGCTGAAGGGATTGCTCTCTCTGTTGCAGTTGCTGCTTGTCTGCCTGCAGCAGCAGCAGAGCTGTATCCATGTAGCGTGACTGCGGTCGCTGCGCGCTTTGCTCTTGCAATCGTTGCTGCAACTTCTGCTCCAAGTCTCGATGCTGCTGAGCCTGAAGAAGCTTCTGCTCCTGCAACTGTTGCTGTGTGCTGCGGTGCTGCTGCACGACAAAGACGTAGAGGCATCGCCAAACCTGCGGACGCAGCAGCCGTAGCATGCAGCAACAGCAGCAGTTGTAGAAGCATGCGGCAATAGCAGCAGTTGTAGAAGCATGCTGCAATAGCAGCACTAGAAGTATGCAGCAATAGCAGCACTAGAAGTATGCAGGAACAGCAGCAGTAGAAGCATGCAGCAACAGCAGCAGTAGAAGCATGCAGCAACAGCAGCAGTAGAAGCATGCAGCAACAGCAGCACTAGAAGTATGCAGCAACAGTAGAAGCACGCAGCAACAGCAGCAGTTGTAGAAGCATGCGGCAATAGCAGCAGTTGTAGAAGCATGCTGCAATAGCAGCAGTTGTAGAAGCATGCGGCAGTAGCAGCACTAGTAGCATGCAGCAACAGTAGAAGTATGCAGCAACAGCAGCAACAGTAGAAGCATGCAGCAATAGCAGCAGCAGTAGAAGCATGCAGCAACAGCAGCAACAGTAGAAGCATGCAGCAATAGCAGCACTAGAAGCATGCAGCAATAGCAGCACTAGTATTCAGCAACAGCAGCAGTAGAAGCATGCAGCAATAGCAGCACTAGTATGCAGCGACAGCAGCACTAGAAGCATGCAGCAACAGCAGCAGAAGCATGCAGCAACAGCAGCAGAAGCATGCAGCAACAGCAGCAACAGTAGAAGCATGCAGCAGCATCATTACCACTTCAAGGCTGCACAGAAGGACAAAGAATGCAGCGAAAAAAGAATTTTTTCAGGATGCACGAACCTGATGGAGCAGCCACGAAGAAAGCCGCCTCTCTGGCAGCAGCACAGAAGGAACGAGGGGGAGCAGCAGCAGCTGTTGCTGCTTGGTGCTGCTGGAAAGCAGCAGCAATTGCTGCAAGTGCTGCTGCTGATCGCGCTGTGGAAGCTCCTGCAGGAGGTCTCTAAAGAACGTCTGCAACTCCTGCAGCATGCCTCTGCATGCAGCAGTTGCAACCAGCGTTCTGCTTGCCGCGGCATACACCTCAGCCTTCAGAGTCTTTGCGGCTCCAACCATCTGTCTCTGCTGCTGCATAAGCTGCTCAATGTCTTGCCTCTTCTTCTGCTCCAAAACTAGCTGCTGCTGCATCTCTTTCAGTTGCATCTCTTTCAGTTGCATCTCTTCCATATGCATCTCCTTCATTTGCATCTCCTTCAGTTGCATCTCTTTCAGTTGCATCGCTTTCAGTTGTATCTCTTTCAGTTGCATCTCTTTCAGTTGCATCTCTTTCAGTTGCATCTCTTGCTTTCGCTTCTGTGCGTCTTCGTCTGTAAGGCGCAGCACCGTCTGCTGCTGCCCATGGAGCACGAATGCTGCTGTTGCCGCTGCCGTGGTGTCTGCTGAGGTTGCTGCAGTGGAAACTCGAGTATACACGACTTGTGCATCGAAGGGGCAGCAGCATGGCTGCAGCCAGCGAGGCAGCATATGCCGTTGCTCCTCCGTCAGGAGCTGTTGCTTCCACAGCACAGCGGTGCAAGTGCCTGCATCGGCAGCAGCTTGTTCTTCAAGTTTTGCTGCAAAACTTGAAGAACAAGCTGCTGCTGATGCTGCTGCTGCCGATGCGATGGACGTGCCTTCCACACCGTCAAACGTCTCCCTTGCTGCTGCCTTCGCCATATGCGCGCATGTGAAGAAGCCACCACAAGACGAGCAGAGTAATCGGCAGCCTCTAGCCACTGCATTCGCTGCTAGCACGGCAACAAAGGCAAATGCAGCCTCTTGCAGAAGGTGCTGCTGCTGCTGCTGCTTTGCTGCAGGGAATAATACGTCCCTGCTAGCAAAAATACCCCGCCCCCAAGCTGCATGCTGCAAGTGCTTTGTTGACTTGACTCGAAGGCGAGGCAGCACCGCTGCATGCCGCATGCTACGCCATGCGCTAGGAGCAGCAGATGCTGCCTCCAGCTGCCACTGCTGCTGCTGTAGTTGCTGCTGCAGTTGCTGGGATTGTCTATGCTTTGTACGGGGGGACGGTACAGCAGGATCTGCGATGCCGTCAATTTCCTTCAGGAGATCGACAAATTCTTCTACCGGATACGTGGGTGGTTCGTGTCTGTGCGACGGCTGCTGCTCTTGCTGCTGCTGCTGGTGAAGTTTCTGCTGCTGCTGCTGCAGCCGCTTTCGGGAAAAGCGGCTCGCTGCTAAGCTGACACCCCAAGATGTGTCACTCTCCGACTGCTGTCGCTCCTGGGGATGGTGGTGAGAGTGGTGGGGTTGCTGCTGCTGTCTATGCTGCACGAGACGTCTTCTTTCCCGCCGCCTTTCAGCTGCGCGCATGCCAGCAGCAGGCCGTATTGTTGAGCGTCTGAGAAAGCCTCCAGAGCTATTTTCACTGCTGCTGCTGCTGCTACTACTATGCAGCAGATGCGGTTGCTTCCGCTTATACTTCTTGTAATGAGATCGAGCTTGCGCTCGAGCCAGTAAACCCTCCGCATCTGCAGCACCGACTGCTTGCAGCAGTGAGCGATCCAGCAGCTGCCGTTTCTTGCAGCAGCGGCAGCTGCAACGAGCAGCAGCAGTTGCTGCAGCAGCAGTTGCTGCTGCGGCTGCTGCTGCCGCAAGAGCAGCTGTAGAGGCAGAACGTCGCCTTGAACCAGAAGGGGAAGCCTCTGAAATGCGATTCCAAGAAACGCTGCGACTGCTTCGCTGACTCCTGCGCATGCGGATTGCCCGATGCATGCTGCTGCGATTGCTGCTGCGATTGCTGCTGCGATTGCTGCTGCGATTGCTGCTGCTGCGATCGCTGCTGCTGCTGCTGCTAATTCGGCGAATTCTTACAACCGGAGTATCGCAAGTCGGCACATTTGAAACCTCCTTTCCCAATAAAGTCGCAACACCTTCGAAAGAACTGCCCTCCTGCTGGTGCTGCAGTTGCTTCTCCTGCTGGTGCTGCAGTTGCTTCTCCTGCTGCTGCTGCAGTTGATTCTCCTGCTGCTGCTGCAGTTGATTCTCCTGCTGCTGCTGCTGCTGCTGCTGCTGCTTGTCCTCTTCAAAGTCTGCCGGATCTACTTGCGTTTGCGCATCTTGTGCGTTACCACTGATTGCTGCTGCTGCTGCAGCAGGCTTCTCCCTGTTGCACTGGATCTTTACGCTGCGCTGGAGCGGCAGCAGCGTCTGCAAGCCGATTTCCTGACTGCGTGCAGTCTTTCCAGTTGCCTCTGTCTGTAATGCGTCGCTTGCAGCCCCCTTTTGTTGCTCTTGCTGCTGCACAGCCAGTTGCAGCAGCAGCGGATGCATCAGAGACACCTCCGTTTGAGCTTCAACATCGACAAGATCAGAAGCGAGAAACTCTGGCTCAGTCTGCGTTCTTCGCTGCAGCAGCAGCGTCTCCTTTTGCTGCTGCTTCTTTGTCTGAACGCCAACAGATACCATCTCCGGAGTCTCTCGTGCGACACCACATGCAGCTTCCACTTGAGCAGCAGCAGCAGCAGCTGCTGCTGCTTCTGCAGCAGCCTGCTTCTCTTTGCATGCATCCTCGCGAGCTGCACGAAGCAATGCCTCGTATTCCTCCTTCTGCTGGCGCAAAGCCTCTTCAGCTGCCTGCAGCATATCTGCCTGCTGCTGCTGCTGCTGCTGCTGTTTGTGCCTCTCTTGCGCCTCTGTCTCCCTCTCCCTCTGCTGCTGCTCTGCATTTCGAGTGCGCTCCAGCAGCTCTTGCTTTGCGGCAGACAAATCTTTCTGCAGCGCTTCTTCGCGTTGCCTCCCTGCTTCCTGCAAAAGCATCAAAACAGCACAGTCAGGGCAGATTTTCCAAGGTGAGAAGATCGCCACAAACGGGAAAAAAAACATCAACATCATCCCGAGGGGAAAGTGAAATCCAAGACTCAGAGTTGCAACACTCCTAGGAGAGAGAGGAGGCAGGCAAAGCCTACCCGTACAGCGGCGACTTCTTCCTGCATGTGCTTCCAGTCTTCTCGCAGCTGCTGAAGCTGCTCTTGCAACTCCTGAACATCATCATCCTGCCCACCCTCGACGCCTTCTACTGAACTTTTGCTCAGAAGCGGCTCCTCTCTTTCTGTCTGGACAGACACTGAGCAGCAGAGTCTTGGTCGTTCTTGCTGCTGCTGCTGCTGTGTCTCTAGCTGCTGCTGCTGCTGTAGCAGCGAGCTTCGCATGTCAAGTTCGGCTGTGTCGAGAGCCGCAGTCAAATACTTTCTCCGCTGCACCTGTGCATGCCATTGCAACAAGGCGCTCTGCTGCTCTGCTACCCCTCTGCAGCTGCTCCCAGCAGCTCCTTCGGCACTGCCGCTGTTGCTGTGTCTTCTGCGCATGCTGCAGCAGCTTTTGCTGCGTCGGAAGCACCTGACTTGCAGCTGCCTTTTGCGGCTTTGTGGCGAGCTCGAACGCGTTCTTCTAAGCCCTATAGACCTCCTCCGACCCCGCAAGAGACGCTGCTCCCGCTGCTGCGAGTGCTGCAATTGCTGCGGCTGCAACTGCAGCTGCTGCAGCGCTGAGGAGAGACTCAGCTGCAGTTCTTGCTGCCACGGCTGCTGCTTCAGGGAGACGAGCAGCTCGCCGAGATGCTCACGCAGCGTCTCGAAGTCATCTTCCCGCGTAGTTGGCGTAGAAGGCGCAGACTGATGGAGAAAACCGTTGCGTCTCTCTGTGCTGCTGCTCGGACTGCTTGCGCTGCTGCTTCCACTGTGGCTGTGGTGTAAGCGCTGCAGGAAGAGCTGCAGCAGCCGACAAATCCACTGCGACAACTTATCATTGACGCTCACGAGCGAAGCGACCTGCTGCTGCAAGCTCCACACACGTGCTGCTGTATCTTCCCCCCCCTCTTGATGCTCTTGCAGCAGATGCTGCTGGTCGTCGCAGCGCTCCTGGAGCACGCGCAAAGCCTTAATCAAGGCGTCTCGTTCCTCCACTAGCGCCTGCTGCTGTTGCGACTGCCTCTCCAGTGTCAGCTGCAGAGCAGAGACTTGCAGCTGCTGCTGCTGCAAATGCTCGTGTTGTCGTTCCTCCTCATACGCAAAAATCTGACGCTGCGCAGCCTCCAGCTCCTGCTGCGTCTGCTGCAGCTCCTCCTGCTGCTGCTCCGCCTCGCGCTGCAGCTGCTGCAGCTGCTGCGCATACTCCTCCGCTGCGAGCTGCCTCTCCAGCTGCAACAACGCAGCAACTCCATCCTTCTCGCCTTCCCCTCCCCCCCCCGCAGCAGAAGCCCCCACCGCTACAGCAGCAGCAGCGTTGCGGCGATACTCAGCCGCCTCCTCCTGCAACTCTTCATTTTGCTGCTGCAGCAAGTCGATCTGCTGCTGCTGCGCCTCGAGCTCCCTCCTCGCCTCCTCGCTAATGCGGCGCTGAACCGCAAGCTGCTCCTGCAGCCTCGAGTTATTCTGCTGCTGCTGCCCTAACGACACTTCCAAAGCATTCTGCCCGCTTCTCGCAGCAGTCCACTGCCGCTGCACGCCTTCCAGTTGCAGCTGCAGCGCAGATGTCTGCTGCTGCAGCTGCTGCTCTCGCTGCCGCAGTTCATGCGTCTCATTCTGCGCCTACGGCAAGCCAGCATACGCAAACGCATACATACACAAATACACACATACACACACAAATACACACATACACACATCGGGGATACAGACACTGCACTGTACTTCACCGCAGCCTCCCCGAATCACACAACAACCTCCACCTGCAGCAGTTGCTGCCATCGACGCGTTTTCTCGCTTTCGCAAACATAACACGCTAGCTAACAAATCGCTCTCAAAGAATCGCAGAAAATACTACTACGCCTCATCTACCCTCCTTCCTCAGGCAGCATCCAGCTCAAACAGCAGCAGCACACTAAAAGCAGCAGCAGCATCCAGCTCAAACAGCAGCAGCACACTAAAAGCAGCAGCATCATCCAGCTCAAACAGCAGCAGCAACGGACAAAAGACAGCAGCGCAGCATACCTCAGTCAGTGCCGTAAAAGCTTTCTGCAGCTGCTGCTGCAGCGCAGTTGCTGCTGCCCTACTCTGAGATCTAAAACTGTCAAAAGCTGCGGCTAAGCTGCGCAGATGATGATCCTTCTGCATCACCTGCTGCTGCAAGGTGTGGATCTGCGTCTGCTGTATGTCGTCCACACGCAAGCCGCTCTGAGGCATCGAAAAGTGGTGCTGCTGCTGCTGCTGGAGCTGCTGCTGCTGCTGCTGCATCAAAAGCACATCCTTGTGCAGCTCAGCGAGATCTGCCTGCAACTGCTGCCGCTGTTTTCGTTCCTGCGAGCCACCAGAAAATGCTCACGAAGCCGCAATGCAAGACGAGCAGAGAGATTGTCTTTCCCCGTCTCTCGACTGCCCCTCCCTCCTCGCTCTGCAGCATGACTCTACTACTGCATTCCAGCCAAGTGTCTGTCTTCCCCCTCCCCCATCACCCTTCCTGTGTGTATGAGTATCAGCCTTCCGCCTTCTTCAAGGTGCTCTGCGAATTTTCTGTCCCTTCCCCCACCATCACCTCCACCCTTCTCTAATAATGCGCCAACACGTGAGCCTACTGAGGCAAGCGCAGCATCTTTCGCTTTAAGGGCCACATGAAGCAAGGCAGCCTCCTGCCGCAAGTTTCCGATGTTGTCATCATCTACTGCTGCTGCTCCTGCTGCTGCAGCTGCTCCTGCTGCTGCTGCTGCTGTCGCTCCGAAACGCGTGCTGAGTTGCGCTTCCTGTGGTGCCCCTCCAGGCAAGCTGTCACCGGCTCTGCTGAAGACTGGTGGCTGTGGCTGCAGCAGCACGAGATCGAGCCTAGGCGGCTGTCTGTACACCTCCTTCTGCTGCTGCAGGGGAGGCACTGCTGCTGCTGCGCTGGCAACAAGTGCATTCAAAGGCCTCCCCAAAGCGACCGTTTGCAGCTCATCTGCAGCATCCGCCGCAACCACGGAGAAACTTGCGCTGCTGCTACGTCTTCCCGTCCGCGGAGTGCTGCTAGGAGTAGAGAATCCACAGTCAACAGGAAGAGGTCTTGTTACTTGCTGAACAGCAGCAGCGAGCGCCTTGTCTTCCTCATCGCTGCCCCCTCCATACGCCAGCAAGTTGCCTCTCCTCCCTCCTCCCGCTGCTGCTGCTGCTGCAGTGTCTGTAGAAGCCATGGGGTAAAAAAACTATTGCGGCAGTCCATTGGCATCGGCACAGGGAAAGGCTGCCCCTGCAGCGCCGCTACCCATCGACTCCGCCTCCTGCTCCTCCCTTGCTTCCTCAGGAGAAAGAGAGAAAGAAAGAGAGAATGAGAAGGAAAGAGGGAGAGAGCTGCAGCACTGGAGAGCTCGAGCTGGAGAGACAGAGAGCTAGAGCGAGCTTAGGTAGTTTCGACGAGGGAGGGGATTGTTCGAAGGGAAGAGGGAGGCGAAGCCTCTGCACCAAGAGGCCACTGCCGCTGCTGGATCGCGGTGCATCACCCCCTTAGGAATCCGTGTTGCAACTCGAAAAACATCCAGCAGCGCACTGCTAGCGTGGATTTAGCGTTCAGGTGCTGCCGAAATCGTGGCTGCGCGGGGGGGTAGGAGATGCAGGAGACATACAGGATCTTGATTTTTCCACAGGCAGCCTTCACAGGATGACTTTCAGCCTGAGGGGATGACTAAGACTGCCAAAGGAAACGAATTTTTGAGAAGTCGTACTCTTTAGGGGGACTGGGTGGCTGGAGGGAGCCAAGGGGGGGGCCTCTTGGGGCTGGTTGGAGGCCCCTACTCTTGCAGCGGGAAGCAGAAAAACGAAAGTACATCATTTTAAAAGCCTTAAATAGTACAAGGGGAAACGCATTTTAAACGCCGGAAAAAAAATAGAGTGCTAGAACTGCGGGATATCGTCCGTATTAGCGTCCACTCCGTGCGGAGAGTATTGGCGCTCTCTCCCACTGACTGGGGGCATATACACATGCATACACACATACATACGGCCTGAGAGAGACTCAAGAGGGCAGACATAGGGAAGCGTCAAGCGTGGGAGAAGCTCGGCGCTGACACACACCGTCGCAGCACGCAGAGACACCGAGCGCGATTCTATTTGTGGCGAAGGGCCAAAGTAGTAGACTTTTGACACACAGGAGCACAGAGAGCTCGAAATCTGCGCTAGACGCGTTAATCCTGCTATGACGCTTGTCTCTCATGAAGCTATTCACGCACATCTGCATCGGCAGCTTGTAAATACACGCTGGTGCTAGGTGCTACACTGCGATTGAGAATCCTTAGTTGTGAATCCGCGTGCCTATGCGCTGTCGTCATCGCTTCTGCTTGCCCCGCGAAGTGGAAACTTCTCCGCTATCCGGAGAAGTTTTCAGAGGGTGCGGCAATACGCAGGCACCCAAGGTGTGCCCCCCTCCTCCCTGGAGCACTCCATCTCTACGATCTCCGTGATGAGAAACACCACGCAAGACTCAATGCGAACGCAGTGAAATGCTGCAAAGTGCTGTTTCAGAAGGGTCGCTTCCTTGCCCCACCCGGTCCCATTGGAGTTCCCTCGCGAAGGGCGAGGGAGAGAAGCATAGCGTGCATGCGATGTGTTGTTGTTGTACCCGCTACGCCTTCCAAGTGTCTCTGCATCCAGTTGCACAGAACAACTAGCGCACCCGCTTGCCGCTTGAATTCATGTCATCTTGAACTATCGCTACTTTGCAACGAAAAGGATATACGGGCAGCCGCACCAAGGAGCTAATTCCTTGCGCATTCTTGATTCAATATACGTACCCCGTCATGGAAACGGCCAAAGCGGGCTTGTGGTTTTAGAATGTGCGGCTGTGTCTGTCTTCTGTGGAACTGCGTGAGATATTCAACTTTTTCTGCCGGAGGCTTCGCTGCCTGCGTCGACTCACAGTACACACTCTCCGTCCTCCTCGCGGGGATTGTGAAGAGCTACGAGGCGTTAAGGACGCAGGGAGGAAGCTATTCAAACAAAGACGACACCTTATACAGCTTTCTTTAGTGTTTATATTGACTTTGGGGCTGTTCTCAAAACCCTTTCTGCTACAATCCTGGTTGGGGGAGCGCTGCAAAACTCTAGGAATACTGGCAGCAAAGCCACACACACGAATAAAAGAGAAAATGATGCTCCTCGCTCCCGGAAAAGGGGCTTAATGAACGATCCCCCCTAGAAACATCCAAAACAGCAGCGCCACACCACCAACGATACACCCAAACGCACCCTCTGCTGTCCTGGCTCAAGGCACCTGTGTTGCTGCAGCCTAGCGCTCAAATTGTGATTCTCTAGATACAGCTCTGCATCTACGGCACGCAACGTGTGCTATAGGCGAGTTTTGGCTCAATAAGGCATACAAATCTTCCGCCGCCTCCTGCCCCCTGTGATGTAGGAAGGTCAAACACGGACTCGGCAGCAAGAGACGGACTGCCATCTCGTCTCTCTGCCAATGTGAATGCAGCTGTTTCAAACTAATCCCGCCGCAGCCTGACGGAGGGGTTCTGTGACACTCCATCCAAGGCTTCTTTGGAGAGACAACAACTGTGGATCGAGGTTGTGCTGTGCTATTGCTCTGTGCGTGCTTCCAAAAAAAATCCTGCGTTCCCCGACCTCCCACCCACCCCTCGGACGTCCCGATGAGGGGAGAGGAGAAAAGGGGGGTGCTCGTTGTCTCACCCTCTTCGCACTCAGATATATCACAGCTACACGCACAGAACACTGCATCTTCCTGCATCAAGCCAACGCTGCGCTGCGCCACAACACCGTCTACGAGCACGCATGTTGACTACTTCATTCTTTACTTTGTCTCGTAAAATTTGAAGGCGCTTCAGTGCAACTTCGCCCGCTACAATCGCTGTATGCAGACGAGAGTACTTTTTGACGTTGGATACACCGCGCTGCCGGAAAGGCAACTTATGGTCTCGCGCTCTCTGCTGTCTCCAGCAGCCGAAACGGCATGCAAGGAGGGATCGCTTCAGATTTTCTCAAGCTCTGCTGTGTGGCCCCCGCCTGTGCGGCACACCAAGCTTTTTCCTTCTCGTTATGGCGTTGTGCTATTTTTCAGCAGGTTGGGTCGCCTTCTGGCGCCTATTGCATTGCCTGTATTTGCCACATTAGACCTTGTTACTCAACGGTGCGTTACGCCTCGCCTGTGCTGCTGCTGCTGCTGCTGCTGCTGCGCAGGGCAACGGTTTGCCAGAAGTCAGTTTCTGCCTTGTGCTGGATCCTTTGCAGTCCTTTGCACTCCCGAAAATCCCGCACTATACTTTGGCTAGCAAGCTGCAGTGGTTTCTCCTCGCCCCTTCTTTGTATTCTCTTGTTCGAACTGCAGACGAACACATGCGGCCTGCTGGCGCCTCTGTGACACCCCTTGCTGAGGAGCACGCCGACTGCGTTGCTGGAAGTGTGAAAATTAGGTACTTGCCTGCATTTTGCGGGCTTTAGCTTGCAGGCGTGCGAAAAAGCCCAAGGCGGCGGAACTAACCTAGAGGCGGCCCTCAGCAGCAGCAGCAACAGCAGCAGCAGCAACAGCAGCAGCAGCAGCAAACACAAAAGCAGCAGCTCGACCTATCCCTGAGCCGAAGCGAAACGTGGGAACGAGGGGCATCATGCATGCATGCATGCATGCATGCATGCGACGTGCACAACGGGAGGGCAGCGGAAGGAGCGTCTGAAGGGACGGGGTAGCAGGTGCAGGCAAACGGGTTGGGCAACAAGTATCTTAAGCCGACAAGCAGCACGATTCGAGCAACCAACCAAGCGTTTCAACATCTAAAGCTGTGTTTCAGTCTCTAGATTCTTCCCAGCAGCTGCGGCTCTCCAGCTCCGTTTATGCCAGCTCTAACTCCGAACAGCGGCAGAGGCGACGTTGGACCTGAGGCTTCGCCTGCCGTGGGTGGCCTTGTGATATCGTCGGCAAGGTGCTGCTGCTGCTGCTGCTGCAGCAGATGCTGCTGTAGCTTGGAGACAAAAGTTGGCGCTTCTCGTGGCGTAGGAAGCACTGTTTCGTGGCTGCCGCAGGAAGGCTGCCGCGCTGTGCCAGCAAATTCATCAGAGCGCTTGTCAGGGGGGTCCCCGAGGCTTCCCTTGCTGCTGCTGCCCCCTGCGGGGGTGGTTCTTGCATGCTGCTGCTGTAACAACAACGAGGGGAAGCGAGTTACAGAACTGTCTCCTTGCGTGTGCGGTGACACCGCGTGGATCTGGCGCTGATGCTCGTAAAAATCATTAAAATCCAACCGCACGCGTAAGGACCTGCGCAGGCCAGGCACAGGCAGCAGCTTTCCGAAAGCCTCTCAATTAGGCGAAAAACTCCAACTAGCAAACAAAAATTCTACCTCCATACAGAACGCATGCACGAGCTGCGCCGAGTGACATGCGAGGCAAAGAAGCACACAAAAAGACCCCACAAACACAGGAACCTGCGCTGTGTGAGCGCGCTGGCAAACAAAGGCACATGTCGCCTTTCTGCTCTTTGCCGCCATCGTGCAGCTGAGCAACAAGGAGGCAGCGACAAATTCAACAGAGAGATACAAAAGGAAAGGAAGCAGAAGAGGCAACGCGCGAGCCGCGCACGATCCGGATACAGCGGGCGAGGACCCACCTAATCGCCATGCAATGATCCAAATAAATTCGACTCCTGCTGCTGCTGTTGCTGGCTGCTTGTGCTGCAGCTGCTGCTGCTGCACGAACTTCGCTTTGCTTTGCATCCAAAAGCTGCAATAGTCGCAGCATTTGATGCCTGAAAGCCTGTCGTCGCTCTTCCACCGCCAGCACGCTGTTGCTGCTGTTGCTGTTGCTGTTGCTGCTGCTGTTGCTGCTGCTGCTGCCAGCATCAGCTGCTGCTGCCGTTGGCATACGAACTTCTGACGTCCCCTGAAGTTGCTGCTCTGCTACTGTGGCGAAGCGAAACTCCTGAGAGATATGGCCGTTGGCACCAACAAATGCTGCTATGGCCTTTGCACGCCATGGCAAGACGAGCGGCACAAAACGGTGGAGCACTTATGACGGCAAACAGGAGCAACAGCAACAGCAGTAGCAACGGCAGCAGCAGCAACAGCAGTAGCAGCAGCAGTAGCAACAGCAGTAGCAACAGCAGTAGCAAAGGCAGTAGCAACAGCAACAGCAGTAGCAGCAACAGCAGTACCAGTAGCAGACAAGACGCAACAACGCAGCCAAGTGGATCTAAGCTTACAGCTCTCGACGCCATTGCGGAGCATGCCTCGTGCATTTCCTGGATCAGCGCATGCAGCTGCACGCTGATATTGCTGCTGTCGTCACCCTCAGCAGCAGCAGCAGCTGCCGCTGCTGCTGCTGCTTCCTTTGCATCGAAAAGAAACAACCCGTCCTGCGTTGTCACGCACACAGACGCGCCTTCTTCCTAAAGTTTCCAGCGCAGTTTTCAGCAGTCTTCGCCTCCCACCCATCGAGGGTAAACGTCAACAGCATTTTCTACCAAAGTCGCAATATAGCAACAACAACAACACACTACAGCAACGACAACACACTACAGCAACAACAACACACTACAGCAACAACAACACACTACAGCAACAGCAACACATTGCAGCAACAGCAACACACTGCAGCAACAGCAACACACTGCAGCAACAGCAACACACTGCAGCAACAGCAACACACTACAGCAACAGCAACACACTACAGCAACAACAACACACTACAGCAACAGCAACGCACTGCAGCAACAGCAACACACTACAGCAACAGCAACACACTACAGCAACAGCAACACACTACAGCAACAGCAACACATTGCAGCAACAGCAAACTGCCACAGGAGGACGAGACTCACATGTTGCTGCTGGATGCACTGCCACAACAAACCGAGAAATTCATCAACATCCCGGCAGCTGCAGCAGTTCGAAAGCCAACACACGCACAGCCGACAGGCTCACGCAAAATTGATGAGCGCAGCTGTCTGACAAATAGTTTCTGGATGCAACAACGCGAGACATCACACGCGAGTTTCTGCTGCTGCAGCAGAAACTCTCGCCACTGCCGCAAAGATTTCTGCATTTCGAAAGCCAGAGCAAAATGACGTCTCTCCGTCCACCTCTCTGCTTCAGTGGCAAGTGTCAGCTGAGCGCAGAGGCGATTCGTGAGATCCCACGACATGCGCACATGCGTCATGACAATCGACGAAGCGTCGATGCTGTTTCCACGCGTTGCAGCGGCTTCCACAGGCGTGAATATGTGTATATGTGTGTATGTATGTGTGCATGTGTATGTGTGTAAGTGTGTATGTGTATAGGTATGTATGTGTATGTTTATGTATGTGTATGTTTATGTATGTGTATGTGTATGTGTTTAAGTGTGTATGTGTATGTTTATGTATGTGTATGTGTATGTGTTTAAGTGTGTATGTGTATAGGTATGTATGTGTATAGGTATGTAAGTGTGTATGTGTGTAAGTGTGTATATGTATGTGTATGAATATGTATGTGTATGAATATGTATGCATATGTATGTGTATGCATATGTATATGTGTGTATGGGACTGTTGCAGCTTCGTACCGAGGAATAGCCTTGTAGAAGATGCGCCAATTGGGCGAGAGGACCTCCTCATGCGCGAAATGAAGCCACTGCCTCGAGAAATGCAGCATTTCATTCAGAAGATGCGTTAGCTGAAGGCATGCAACACATGGAAAAGACGCACATAAGCACATGCCTGAAGGCGCTTCAGCGAGACAGAGACGTTTTAGCCTCCCTCGGCAGATCTTGTAAGAAAGAGATACGTAATGCTTTGTACCACCCCATCAATACACACATAGTAGCGTCCGCAAAGCACACACACACACACACAAACACACACACATAGAGAGTATTCTGAAAGACGCATATGTCGAAGTTGACAACGATGTTTTACTTGGGAGATTTGCAGAATGAGGATCTCTTCGCGAGCTGCAGCAGTAGCCCTTGAGACTAAATTTCTTTCAGGAACTGCGGCTGCTGCAGCTGCTGCCGCTCGCTGCTGTTGCCGCAGCTGCTTTTGAAGCGCACAGCCTCGTAGCCATGACGCATGCAGCTGACGATGCGCCATATGGGCTCTGTAGATACACCCGACACTTTCGTGGACACACATGTCAGAGCGCCGCTGTATGTAAAGCAGCCGCTGCAGCTGATTCACCACATGCGGCAGCGCAGCTCTAGGCGCAGCAGAAACAGGGGCAGCAGCAAAGTCAGCAGCAGCAGCAATCTGAGTAGCGATCCGAGCAGCTGCAGAAACGGAGGCAGCAGCAAAATCAGCAGGAGCAGCAGCAGGGGGAGCGACCAACGTGACCAGCAGCAGCAACAGGGGCACAAAGGCAGGCAGTAGCAGCAGTCTGAGCAGCAGCAATCTGAGCAGCAGCCAAGTCAGAAGCAGCAACGTCGCTCGGCAGGGGGAGCAACTAAAAGCTCACTTCCAGAGAAGTGCAAACAATTTGTGGCATTTTTGGAGGAGTTCTTCTCCAATGAAGGATCGAAGTGGCTCTTCGGTGCGCAGATGTAATATGAGACCTCGCCACAACGAGTTACAAGTGGTGTTTGTGTGTGTGTTGCTGCTGGTGTGTTGCTGCTGCTGCTGCTGCAGGTAGGATATATGTGGGAATCGCGCAGTGAGGGCGAATGCCAAAGTCGGAGCAGCAGCAAAAAGGCAGGCACCGCTGCTACCTGCGAAGAGAGGAAAACGGAGAAAAGCTGACGCATACTTCTATTGCCTCAAAAGTCTGCTAGTGCAGCTTTCTTGTGCTGCTTCGTTCCTGTGCTGCAGGCTTCTTATTCTTACACTGCCGGGATGCAGTGTCGATGGAGGAGAGGATGAGCGGCTGCAACGCCATGGCACTCCCGTGTAGCTGCTGCTGCTGCCGCTGCTGCTGCTCCGCTGCTGCATCCAGCAGCATGGACCTGAAGTCTCCGTCTGCGAGCAGTAGAAACCTGAGGAGTCAGACAGCGAGGAAAAGAGAGCAGCAAGTCGCTGACGGCGCGCACGTGGTTCGTCAAAGAAGCGCTCCACGAGGTGTTTTGGCGATTGCGGCAGCGTGTGCAGCAATGCCGTGCAGAGGGCGAACGCCTCCTCCTTCTCCTCCCCCTGTCTCAGCAGCAAACGCTGGTGCATTCGGAGTAAAAGGAGCAGCTCGCGCAAGCCTCGGAAGCAGCCTTGGCCTTAAAAGAGGGGGCAGAAGGGAAAAGGGAAACTCCAGAAGGCGGATACTGTCTACCTTCGAATAGCTTCTAGGTAATACAGCAGCTGATGATCCCATAGGAGCAGAGACACGAGCCTGAGAACGGGGATAGGCGCGAGTCGCAGCACAAACTGAAGCGCGCATGTGTGTATGTGTGTGTGCGTTTTTCCTTCGCTATCCGCCTGCCAGGCATCATCATCATCGCCGCTTCCCATGACTACACTGCACTACAAGAACATGGGCTCGAGATGCTTGGCTGCCGCTATTCGATGAAATGCTGTTTCTGAGCAATAGCGGGAAGAAAGGGGATCAGATAGGAGCAATCGCGCAATTCGTGTCTTCTCTAAGATCAAGAGGGGCATCAGCTTGCTTAGGGTTGCCTCGAGAAGAGACGGCGAGTAAGCGTTCATCGAGTTGCTGCAGCAGCGGCACTTCTGGATCGTGCACTGGACGTGGCGTGTGTTGTTGTTGTTGTTGTTTTTGTTGCTGCTGTTGTTTTTGTTGCTCTTCATGGCGTGCGACGATTCCTTCGCCGCACAGGGTCCTCAGTCGATGCGGCAGAGGAAAGGATACTACTACCTGCTGCTGCTGCTGCTGCTGCTGCTGCTGCTGCTGCTGCTGCTGCTGCTGCTGCTGGGGGCTTTGCAGCAACTGTTGCTGCTCCTCCGAAGACAGCAGCTCTCGCAGTGTCGCAGGAAGCTCGCGCTGCTGCGGGGAGGCAGCTGCAAAGAAGCCTGTGGACGGCAACTCAGGCTTCGCTTGTTTCTCGAGCAGCCTGCACGCACAGCTCAGCGGCATGCCTGTTCTTTGCACAAGGATATCCGGGTAAGCCACGGATCTCTAATTCTGAAAAAAGCGAAAGCAGCAGTAAAATTCCAGAAAGGCAAGCGTGCCAAAGCTGCAGCGGCGCTCCCTCAAAAACGGCCAACACAGACACCGCACGGCAAGACAAATTTTTCTAGGCAGTGCTTGAGACTGTAGAGAAACAGCTCCAGCTGCCGTCTTCACATGCAGCTTTCCTGCGCTCCTTTACACCGACTAGCCCAAGGCGTCTGTGCCACGCCACTATTATAGCGCTGCATGCATATGCATATGCATGCACGAGGGTGTGTGAACTCAAGGATCAAAGTGCCCCCCCTACTCCCTACTGGCTGTATAGAACGCTTTTGCCCGCCAAAAGAAGTCTCTCCGGAAGCTGCCGTGGCATAAAAGAAGGAATGTTCTCCCGCACCAAAACAAACCTGAAAACGCATGCAACAATTGCAACACAAGAGCACCGTACTAGCAGCATGCAGCAATTGCAACACAAGAGCACCGTACTAGCAGCATGCAGCAATTGCAACACAAGAGCACCCTAATAGCAGCATGCAACAATTGCAACACAAGAGCACCCTAATAGCAACATGCAACAATTGCAACACAAGAGCACCCTAATAGCCACGTTAGAGCGAGCAACTGCAGCATAAGAGCCGCAGGCAGCTACAGCGCTCTGATAGCAGAGCCTAATAAAAACCTAATAGCAGCAGAAGCGCAGCTGCATGCACATATCCGTTGCAGCGTTTGTTTCTACGCGCTTGCAGTCGAGTCTATTTGCCGCAGCTGCCTTCTCTAATGATGATCAGAAGCCAGTGCAGGGGAGGCAACGGCAGTCGGCTCTTCCGCAGCGTAGGCTGCACGAGAGCGTTTTCGCCTGTTCTCATAGAAAGAGATGCCTTTCCCTTTGTCTCCACAAAACTGCCCATGCCTCCTGCACATGCTGCTTCTCTTTGAACGGCAGCCTGGATGTAATGCGTGGAACGCTTGTCGGTTTCCGATGCGTCTGGCCTTAGGCATCCCTCCTCCCCCCCCGCTCTCCCTCTAGATTCCTAAAAATCTCCGCAAAAAGCCTCTCTAAGAACAGTACCTTCCCCCTCCCCCCCTACGCAAGCCTCTTGCCTCTCAGCAAGCGGCAGAGGGCAGCTAACAGCTCACCGCGAGCACCAACTTGAAAGCTGCGGATCTTGTTGCGCTTCTCGGATAAAGAACTCCCCAGTCTCATCCCTGCAGCAGCCGCAACACAGGGATTTGCGCACTCTACGCAGCTGCCAGGAAGGCATCAAAAAAGGGATTTTTTCTCGCTCCGGAAAAAGCCTTTCACGTGCAACACCTACCTGAGCTGCCCATATATTGCCCACGCCTCCATAGCATCCACCAGCGGCTGCAGAGAGCTGTGCAACTGAAGCCATAGAGAGAGAACGCAGCACAAAGAGGCAAATCAGGGGGCAGCTGGCTGGTGTCGAATAGGCTGCGGCGAGCGGCTTTGCCGACACTGCCTCTCTGCTGCCTCCCCCCACATTTGAAGTAAGCTTTCCAGCAACTCTACTACTGCCACCAGGTAAGCGCTTGAGAGACACTCATAGGCCGCTGCTGACGTACAATCTGGAGAGCCACATTCCGCAGTTCGGCATCTCCAAGAGCGCAGTGTGCTGCAGCGCAACAGCATAAGCATAAGCATAAGCATAAGTTGCATGCATGCCTGACAAAAAGCCACCAAAACCTTTTTTCCAACACCCTCAAGCTTCGCCAGGTTGTTCTGATGCCGTGCAGCGACGGCGCATGCCGCCACGGCGCGTAGCTGCAGCAGCACACTTCGGGAAGGCGGGCAAAAACGAAATACACAACTCGCAACACACACATTTGCTTTAGCAGCAACGCACCATAGATCGTGGAAAGCAAGGCACCTCCAGTAAGCCCCTTTGCAGCCTCCGTCTGAGATCAGCGGATGCCATCACATATACACACATATACATACACACACATACATATACATACATATACATACATATACATACATATACATACACATACATACACATACATACACATACACATACATGTACGTACATACACATACAGAAGTAAACAGACATTTATGGTATCTATTCCTAGCAGTCGTAGGGTAAGCAAAGTGCGCGGAGGCTCAAGCACAGAGAGAGATCTGAAGAGAAGAAGAAGAGGGAAAAGACGGGGTTGAGCGACGGGGGTGAAAGGAGGGAGAATTTCCGGCTGCCTAGAGAAACTGCAGAGGAGAGAAGAGAAGAGGGGTGCAGTCAGTCGGCATGGGAAGCCTTCATGAGGAGACGTTTTTTTTAAAGAGGCGAGGCAGGCAGAGAGGCACACGGGAACAACGGAGAAGCTCCAGATTCTATAGAGCGTACAGACAGCAGGGAAGAAGAGAGGAAAGAAAAAGCAGGGAAGAAGAGAGGAAAGAAACAGCAGGGAAGAAGAGAGGAAAGAGCGAAAGCAGGGAAGAAGAGAGGAAAGAGCGAAAGCAGCAAGCAAGAGCGAGGGAAGGTTTGCGCGGGCTGCTGCCAGTGATCGGCAGTGGGAAGGAAGAAGAAGGAACTCCTTCAAACTGAGAAAGCATCAGGAAGCATCAGGATTTCAACAACTCACCATAGAGGCAAGCAGCCGCATGCGTCGGTAGGGGCCTTGCAGCCAGACGGCTAGTCGCCGCAGAGTGACTGTGCCTGCATCTGCTGTGGAACTGCGAGCTGTTTCTGCAGCTGCTTCACTTCTGAAGAAGCAGTAAAGCAAACCCACACACACACATACACACATACACATACACATGGCGATCCTCCCAAAGGAGGCGTCGATTGTGGCCATATGAAGCCGCGAGGAGAGCTCGAAGGTGTGAGGGGGAGCTGCCCAGTGCACCATGCCATGTCAACCGTTTTCTTTGGGGAAAAAGATATTTTTCTCGCATGCCGCTCCTCTTGAGGCATCCGCTGCTCCTGCCTGCCTAGCAGTACCGTGCAATGTCTTCTTCGAGGACGGCGAGCAGCTTGAAGTACTGCCGCAGCTCGGCGGCGACGCTCTGGCGAAAGGCTTCCGCCGTCAACGAGCGAGGGCTGAGTAGGGCCCCCTGACGAACACAGACGCCGTTTGGCAAGGGAGGCTAAGCGGGAAAATCTACGGGAGAAGGCGGCTCTCGTGAATTCCCGGCTGGGAATCCACTTTTGCACTTGCAATTGGTTGCAGAGGGAGGGGCTAAATGCAGAAAGCGAGAAGCGGCTCCTTGCCAAACGCACCGGAAGATCCTCCACGGCGCTTCGCACGCGACTGTAGAGACTCCCCAAAGAGGAGACGCGAGCTACAAGGCTCTGTAGACTTGGAGGCGCCCGTATCTGCACGGAGACATGTGCATGCGCAGGCATTTTAAGACAGAATGCAGCGGGAACTGGATAGCCATTTAGGTGTTTGCCTGTGCTGCGAGGCGAGTAGGCGAGAGGAGGTGACGAGGGCTTTCTTTATTCGAAGAAAAAGCGAAAGAAAGAGAGAGAGAGAGAGAGAAAGCCCTCTCCCCGCAAAGACTCTCTACAGCCAGCGGATGGACGCCGCAGGAGACAGCAAGATGCGGTAGAATAAGTGGCGAGGGACGAACGCCAGGCGACACGGGAGAGCTTACGGTTGGGCAGAGAAAGCAAGTTGTTCGGAGTGCGTCAAAGCGAACAAATCGTCCTTCGATGCCTGGAGAATCAGAGAAGAGGGCAACAGGCAGACAGCGCAACACCGTAAGCGCAGGTTTGGTAACACACGCTGCGACTGGCCCCCTCCCCCCACGCCTCGGATTGAAAACTCCTGCAGAAAGAGCCTTTTGTTGCCGCAGCAACAGCAGCCTCCTGCGCAGCACTGCGCAATTCCTCTAGGAATCCCCTGGCAGCCTTGCATCGGCGGGGGAAGATAACGTCGAGAGATGAAGAGAAAAAAGGAGATGCTTCGGGTGCTTCCTAAAGAGCTCGGCACACGCACCTTGGAGAACGAAAAGCAGATCTCGCAAGAGAGACACCTCGTCTATCCCCCATATTGCTGAGAAAAGACAAAAGCGCATAGGGCAATACGCAAGAATGAAGAACACGTTCCCAAACGCGGCGCTGCATCAAAAAAGCCCAAGGCGCAGAAGAAACCGTGTAGGAACGAGGCAAAAGAGAGAAAGAGAGAGAAATAGAGAGAGAGAAATAGAGAGAGAGAAAAAGGGAAAAAAGAGAAACAAAAAGAGAGTGAAAAAAGCAAGATCGAATCGCTGCATCTGTACAGGCGTGGAGCCGCATTCGTTAGGAGAGAATGGATAGAATATAAGTAGGGCCGGTGCCTCAAGACTCCAGCAGCCAGCTTCCTCTTGTCTCCCGCGCAAAGAGGCATGGAAAAAAACTCCCCCTCCTTCTCTCCCTCTTCTCGCAGTCCATGCAGCGTAGGATGCAAGAAGCCGAAGAGGTCTCGGATGTGGCGAGGGAGGGCAAAACAATCAAACACAGTAACGCACAACGCCGGCAGAAAGAGGATTTTTATTGAAGGCGGAAACTACGATGCCAGCAGGAAAGAGACTTTTTCACACACCATAAGCAAAGCCTGGAGCTTGATTTGCCTGCGAAGCAAGCGGATGGTAAGACTTGGGGGCGGGGGCAGTGCTTTGGCTGAGAGAGAGTGCCAAATGTCGGCTTTCTGCAGTGCTGTTAGCAGCATCACTTTTCTGAGTCTCAGAAGACACCCCCGCTCCTCGCGTGAGAGCAGAAGACGCTGCTTCTGCTTCTGCTGCAGCTGCTGCTGGCGTAGATCCTGAGGGTAGACCTTCACTTCTGCCGAGAGATGCCGCCTCCGTGCGCGAGGCAGATTCCATCTGATGGCGTGGAGCGTGTGCCTCGCTCCTTTTCACTGCCGTTGCTCCTGTCGTTGTTGACGCCGAGACTGCTGCTGCTTGCTGCTCTCTCTGTCGCATCTGAGCATCCTCCTGCGCTGCAGCTAGCTGCAGCAACACCTGCAAAATGGATTGGGGTCTCTGCAGCGGCTGCTGCTCCTTCGCGAGCAGCAGACGCGCGAGGCGAGCGAGCAACGAGCTGGAGGCTTTGTCTAGGAGACGAGCTAAGAGGCCACAGCGCAACGAGAGAAGGAAGAAGCATACACCCCGCACATGCATAGCGCAGTACTTGCCACCACCCCCTCATCTTTTAAAGGAGAGACTTCACAGATTGTCTTACGACACCGCTAAACGCGCAGGACATATAAATACACACATTTACATATATTTATACATATTTATATATATATTTATATATACATATTTATATATTTATATATATTTATATATATATTTATATATACATATTTATATATATATTTATATATATATTTATATATTTATTTATATATATTTACAAAACTCGAGGCAGCGGAGAGTTCTACGAGGCTCGAAGAGGCGCTGCTGCAGGGCCTGCGGAGAGAGCAGCCTCGAATTCCAGTGAAAAGGAAACTCACCCTGCAGCTCTGCCAGCGTCTCTTCTCGTTCTAGCGCTTCCGAAGCCGCATCCTTGGGGAGGGCGACTGCACGGCTTTGCTGCTGCGCTGCAGCGAGGCGGCGCATCAACAGCTGCTGCAGTTCGTGTTGCAGCTGCTTCTGCTGCTGGGGGTTGAGGGCCTCTGCCGCAGGGCAGTCATCGCTGCGCGCGCCGACGCTCGCCAGAAGCGCGGCGAGTCGTGTCAAGGGGGGAACTGAGCGGCGTTGTGACTCCGGGGGCCTCCCCGAGGCGCTTTGCTGCTGCATTTTCTGCCGCTCGAAGCGGAGAGGCGGGGGGGCAGCAGTCTGCGAGTGGAGGGGGGGTCCAGCAGGAGGCGAAGCGCTTTTCGCGGCACTTGTAGACGTCGCACATCAGCGAGCCTAAAAGGGGCCGCAGAGTCGGCGAGTGGCCTCGGGGAGCGCCTGGGGAGAACACCAGATTCCCCAGGGCATGCACGAAAATCCAAAGAAGCACCCCCGCTTAGGACCTTCGGACCGTCTCTCCACAGCCTTTGGAAGGGAAATAAGCAGTGGCAAAGATATTAAGTCGCCACCCGGCTTCGAACCGGCAAAAAGGAGGCCCCAGTGGGCGAAGAACATGATGGCGTGTTACTCCGGGGGGAGGAGGGAGCCACTGGGGCTGGGGGCCCTGCTGGGCTTTGCAAGACATGAAAAAAAATATTCGGCGCTGAATTATCTTTTTAAAAGGCTGCGTTTAGCAATAGAAACGAAAGGCGCGTAAATATTTGCTTCAAGGCTCAGTTTCACAGGAAGACACCCGATAATCAAGGCACGTTCTGCACTGCCGGAAACAGACCACCAAATTTGTGGTTTGTCACTTGTTTGGCAGCGCACAGAACGCTGTGTGGCGGGTATTTTAACTGCTTCAAGGTCTTTGACTCCATATATAGGCGCCTTCGAGAGACATGGAAATACTCTTACTTGCTACTGCGGCATGCCATATAGCCGATCGCTCGCGGTGCCACTTCCCCTATTGGCTTGCCTCCCACTTGCCGCACAGCAGCATTCCACTGCATAGTCAATTCTCTCTCCCCCTCTATCCCTGAGCCTCACTCGCACTGCACAGGGGGCATAAACCCGCGTCAAAGCTTCGTGGCTGAGGCTTCCATCCTGTAAACCGGCAGTTGTTGCCTTTACGCTGCTTGAACAACCCAGGCGTCCCTCAAAACATTCACTCGTTCTCATAGAAGTGTTTACTTTCCGGTTTCACTCCTATAGTTTCACTTGCTTGATGTTTGTCCCTTAGTGCGGCGCGAGCAACAACCAGCAATGTAGAAGCAGTACCATTGCTCTTCGGAGCCTCAGGGCCCTGCCGCCAAACGGGGAACGCAAGTACAGCTTGGTGCACCATGTTTTTTTTTCTCGCGTTGAGCAACGCAATTCAGCACAGTTGCACCTGCAGAGCGCATCTCAGCATATCTGGTATGCTTGCAACAAACAAATTCCTGAATAATACGTACAGTGTTTAAAATTAAACTTACATGTGCGAATGGGGGAAGGTGCCTCGGAGTGCTGTTCCCAGTATTGGTCTGAAGCCTGTCTGCTGGGTATTTGTGCGTGACCCCCCTAATATATGAACCAGTGCTACATGCTCTTCAATGCTGTGCCGTCTGTGGGATCACCTTTAGGGAATCTACATGTGTGCAGTATACCTGCAGAGGCACTCAATATCCATCCTGCAGGTTAGCATTCATTTCTTCTGAGGTGTACGAGGGCAGACTCCACCAACAGGGCACCAAGGAACCTAGGAGGCAGGTGCTTCAAGCGCAGCACAAATTTTCTGTGGCTTTACTATACAAAGGGGAGTGTTGGGGATCTTCCCTGAAGTGTCATTTGCTGTGAAGTAGATAATATCAGATGATGGAGTAAAAGTATTCACGAGTTTCTGTAGCAGCCAAATTCCTTGAGTTAATGATACATACAAGCAGAGGAAACACCTTTTTCGTCATAGGGCCACAGAGGAGGCGACTAGTCTATTGTCTAGATTTATGGATGTATTTATGAAGGCATGTTTATACAAGTGAATCTGCACACATTTGCACATGTGTGCGTCCGAGATCACATGCACAAAGGTTCTTGCAGCACGACAGGTGCCTTCCCTTGGCCCACACATTCATTCGCCCTGCACTGTTGCACTACATAATGAAACATGATCCTCTATATTTTGCTTTACTGAAATCAGGTTTGTGCCAGCATCCCGTCAAAGGCATTGTAGAGGCGAAAAGACGTCCCCCTGCAGGACTGACAGCGAGATTTACGCTAAAGGCCAGTATTTCTTTTTTGCCACTGGAGTCTGTTCATGGGCGTGTTTGTCAGTTGTAATTTCCATTAGAAGCATGTTTCAAAGAGACAGGCAGAGGGTCGTTCGCGAGGACGGCAGCGAATCAGAGGCGTCAGGATCATTAGGAGAACCCATCTTATACCGACACAGGGACAAAGGATAACACGAAAAGCAGATGAGCGTGCAGTTTTCTCGTCGACGTAGGTGAATATCCACGCATACTCACCTACGTCGACGAGGAATCTCATAAGGTGCTTCATTTCTTCCTAAACACCTTATACCCAATTACACCATGCACAAGGTATGGATGCTCCAACATACATAAAACCCCCGTATGTACATCAACAATCAACACTGACATCCGAACCAGCTCCACAGCGACGACGACACATGCCCACCGATAGCTTATGCACAAGGAGACTTTTTGAGATGCATGGGTCACAAGAGCCCACTGCCCGACGTCAACATGCTCGACACCACAAGTCGAGGTGCGTGTTTGCGTGACGCTATACGCAAGCGCCAAGCCGCGAAGGCTCAGCAACAGAGGAAATGTCTAGTGCACGACGAAGGTCGGAACATCATACATTCCACCCAAGGCAGACTACGCGCATTGCAACCTCGGCATGTCATTTAGCGCCCTACCTAGATCCTTCAAAGGAGCAAAGCCTATCATACCCTTTTTCCCTAGACGCCAGCAGGACCCTCGAAAGTGTATTAGGGCAGGTTCCCGATACAGTTGAGGGATTTCCGCTAGCGCAGTGTACACTAGGAAAGGCCGCTTCGCCCAACCTGCAGCCTTGCAATTCCCGGGTGCCTAGATTTGCTCTTGACTGCAATGGAGAAGTTCTCTTTTACAGCTATATGTGGGGAAGTAGGCTCCTCAACAATTAGTAGCGCAACTCACGAGGGACCCTACACACGCAGCTACCCACTTCGACTGCTTCAGTAAGAGTACAGAATGCCTAAAGCTAGATCACGAGGCTGAAGAATACACAGCAAAGAAGGCCTTCAAATGACTTGCATGGAGTCGGCCTGCCTCTCACTGGCTGTGCCTAGAGAGCAGGCGCGCGAAGTTCGTGAGAAGCAGCGACAATCTATGCCTAGTAGCGTTGGAATGAGCGAGTGTGCTCTTTGCATGAGTATATATAGGGTTGACTTGGTGCACGGATCCTAAAGCATTATGCCTCGGGGGTGCAATAAGCGCAATTCGAAGTTCTTTAAGACAGCTGTCCGCAGTCCGCGATGGTGACAGTCTGCTGTGGCTTTCCCGAATTGGTGCCTACTTTCTCGATCGTCTTGACGACGTCAATCCCGTCGATGACTTTCCCGAAGACGCAGTGCTTGCCGTTTAGCCAGTCGCAGTTGACTGTTGTGATGAAGAACTGCGAGCCGTTGGTGTTCGGGCCGGCATTCGCCATGGACAGAAGGTATGGCTTGTCGTGGTTCAGAGTGAAGTTCTCGTCTGCGAACCTTTCACCATATATTGATTCCCCCCCCGTGCCGTTTCCATCGGTGAAGTCACCGCCCTGGAGCATGAATTGAGGAATGATGCGGTGGAAGGTGCTACCCTTGTAGTGGAGGGGCTTGCCCTTACGGCCCTTGCCCTTCTCCCCTGTGCACAGGCACCTGAAGTTCTCCGCCGTCTTGGGAGTCACATCCGCGAACAACTCCATAACAATCCGCTTTGTGGCAGCGCCACCAATGGACACGTCGAAAAACACACGTGGGTTAACCATCTTCGTCACAGGAGAGGCGTACGGCGAAGCGAAAAGCGATGAAGGAACTGCAAGGGAAGAGGTAATGCTCAAATAAGCATAAGCACACACGGAACTAAAATGTGAAGAGTCGAAAACTCTTGGGACAACACGCCATCGCCCCCCATGCAGTGCGCCCGAGTTGCGCGCACCCCGCCCCTCTGCGAACAGCGACTGCTTGCAGCCTCCCCACCGTGCGACAGAGGGATCCCTGGAGGGTGTAAATCCATGGAATGCTCCGGTGTTTTTTAAATACGAGTTATTAAATATGCCTGATAATGCTAGAGAGGCCGATTTTTTCGACGCCTTGGGTTCAGGGCTGTCGGGGGTATATTGCAACCCCCTTCGTAATTCCGGGGATTCTATAGCAAAGGCATGGCGGGGCACAAGAGACGACAGAGGGAGCCACCTGGCCTCCCACCTGCCACCAAGGGCCAAAGAGGTCCCAAGGCTAAGAGCCAATAATAAAGACAAAGGAGAAAACATTTTAAATGCTTACTGAGATCATCATTAAGACCCTGACATCCTCCGATCTCCCCGCACCCCGCACCTGCACACACCTGAGACGTGTGGTACCACCACCAGATCTTCTCACTCGAGTGCCATGTGCAGCTTCTCGTAGTTCCGTCTCTTTGTGCCATCCACTTTGTTACTCTTAATCACCAAAAACGCCTTCCGATTTCTTCCCTGTGTATTTTAGCTAGCGAGAGCGCGTACCTTGGCATCTATGTCCCCGTTCACCCCGAGACAGTTCCGACCACCTCGATTTTGTCAGATTGTCACTCGGTCGAGATGGGACTATCTGGAGCGAGGCACGAGTTGAGCCCGATATACAATGTAAAATGCGTGTGTTCATTGGGTGTGCGGCAGCAACTTTGGAGGGATTGCCGCGTCTGCATGCTTGCTGCAGGCACATTGTAGCGATATTCAAGCCCAGAAGCCGCGCATCAACAAACAGCTATCGTGTGCCTTCCAAAGAGGCTCCAACAACCCCCGCTTCCCCTACTTTCGACATAGGGTAAGGTCTAAAGCTAGGATGCGGATAGCTATACCTTTACGCATATTGGGCTCTCACAGCTAGCTGCACAGTTATGAAGTGCACTAAAACGCAACATTGCGATTCCTTACATGTAACCAACGCTCAACCGACGGTAAATACGAGATACCAAAGCAAAAGCCGGTGGTGGCAATAGAAAATGCTGATGTGCAGCGTGGGCCGATGCATCTTCCCCTATTCGAGAACACGCGCCATTGTCCGTTCAGACCAACTGCGTACAGAAAGGTGAAAGACTTCTCACCACTCCTCAGGCAGGCAGACACGCGAAAATAATGTAAATGATAAAGCCTAAGTGCACATCAGCCCGTAAAACAAAATCGGTGGGTGCAAAAACAAGTAAAACAAAACGAGTGGAGACGAAACCAATACCGCTATTGTGACGCAACATTTTTTAAAGGTAGAATGACTAAAGATGTGTACGCGCCTCGCGTTTGGAAAAAACATACAAGTAAATATGTAAAGGGAATCAGAACTTAGTCTACTTCAGCAGTGCCTGCGCGCCTCATACAGAAATGTCTGAATAAAATTTTATGACAAACGCATGCAACGTCATTAAAGTTAGAGCTCCAAAAAGACTTTGGCAAGAACATCGTACCTGAGGGTACTTGCGCATAAATCTAAGCGTATCGAAGACCTTAGCAAAGGGTAACCAGGAAATGTTTAGCAATACCAGTAGATGAAGGCTGATATTCTAAGCAGAGCATGCTCGAGCGAAGGGTAAATATCCAGGAACTCGAGGAGCACCATCAGCAGCAAATGGCGTTTCCGGCCAAAGACAACCTCAAGTTCTTCCACTTGCAATAAAGCCCCAACTTGCGGTAACATCAACAGCTGTGGTTGGTATTACTCACCAAATTTCACTAGAACTTCCTGTTTAGTGTAAAGGAGCGCTGAACAGCTCCGGAACCCAGCGTGTATTCGTCTACGGCTCTACACCGGAAGATGGTCTGCACGGCAAAGTGCACCAAAATTTTGGGGCCGTTGTACGTTCTCTGAAAGGAAAATATTGATAGAGCTCGGCAACCCAATTTTTAAGGGCATTGATGCAGTAAATAAATGCCTTGATTCCATGAGACCACAGCAAATGGTCCTAGCCTCTACAGCGCAAATTGTCTGTGTGGAAACTCTATGGTGAACCTCGTACAGGGTGCAAATCCACTAGGACTCAATTTTCAGCCTCGAAAACGCATAACCCCCAGCCAATATTATTACGAAGCGCTTGTATTGAGCTTTACGCATACATGCGCGTGCAATATTCAGATGTTCTGTGAATACTTCGTTGCTTGCGGTGGCTGCGCACCCCGAAACATCATTTTCAGGCTTTGATCGGAGAGTGGCTTCTTGGTGTGTACCAGGAAGGAGAAAGGTCAAAGTGCATGGTTGTACTGCTGTTTTAAAAGCCCACTCAGTTCAAGCAACAACAAAATAAGCCGTTGAATTTGTGTATACAAGGAGTCTTGAATACTGCAGAAGAGTGTGCCCTGTCTACCCATGTACCTCACCGAGGTCTCCAGTAGTCGTATTATGATCAATGTGGAAGCGGATCATTAAGGCACTCTTGGAGGCACTAGCGAACTTATTGTCCTTGCACACAATGGTATCCCTGTGGGGAACCTTGCAGATCTGAGTTAAGCACAGTTACGCAACTTCCGGAGTCATGACAGAGCTGCATTAAGGGATGAAATGGAACGAATTTGCTGAGGCCTTCGACAACGCAACTTTGATGCAAACTGTAGGTCGTTACAGGCAAGAGTAGTTGTAGCGCGCATGAATCTCTGGCTCGTTGCGATAATGCGGTGGCGGCCACGTTGATATGCCCTTTATACAATTCAAAGTACAGTTGTACTGGAGGGGGCGCCCAAGCCAGCAACCAACTCAAATATTATCAAAGTCCCGAAAGCTCTTTGGAACGTACATCTTAAGACTAATAGTCTGTTTCGGGGCTAAAGTGAAAGCCATATAAATAGAGCCGGTAACTTTTAACCCATCGCAGTCTCATAGATTGCCTCTCCCCGTACTGGGTAATCCTGCTCGGCTCCGGGGCAGCAATGAAAAGGAGCAGCAATAACCTAATGTGCGGAAGAGCCCGTAGCCTGTCGGAAAACAGTAACACCCCCTAAAACGTCACAAGCATCTATTATTAGGAAGAAATAAAGCTTACAATTGGACAGTGCTAGGACTGTAGGAGCTCGAAGTGGCCGGCGAGTGACCTTCGTGCGGCAATTATTGCTCTGGTCAGGTTAGAGGCTGCAATTTCTTGAGTAACTCGGTCAAAGAGGCCGAGATCTCAGCAACCGTAGGACTGAAATTTCGGCAATTGAATGCAAGCCCACACAATTTGACAGCGTCGTTGCGCGTGTGTAACGATAAAGGCCACACCTTGACTGCTTCAACTTTCTAGATCTGGCTCACTTTCTTCAGGCGAAGCACGGGACCCTAGGAATATATTTGGTCCTGAATTCACTCATATGGCTTCATATGCCGATGCTTGACCCGCAACAGCTAGAGTGCACATACTATCTGCTGCAGATACTCTTAAACGTTTGAGCTAAATATTCTCATGCTGTCGACGTGTTGGCCATCGCCCCCTGCTTCATTCGGCACGAAACCCCAAAGTAGACATTAATAGGTTCAAGCGGCATATAGATTACCGCTGCTCGCGAGTGTGAATGTGGAGCGCGGTTTCAAGCTTGCCATTCGGGTGAATAGGGACTTTGTAGGAAACCGTCTACAAAGTTAAATGCCGAGTAGGTTGCTGATCCGAAATTTTAAAAGCAGTTCTCCAGCATGAGGTATCAGGATTTTTCTGCTTCTCAGTGCTCTTGTTCAGAAGCTTAGAGTTAACGCATGTGTGCCACCTTCCGACCTTTTCCGGTACTAACACCGGGTTATGCCCAACGACGTTGGATAATTTGTGCACTTTGCCTTATTCAACAAATCTTCTGCCTGGCCCGCAGTCTCCTCTCAGTAGTGGCCTTCCATAACGCGGACCTAACTTGAGGATGACCCAGGAGTGAGCTTAATACGGTGCACTAGACGACCAGCCAGTGGCTAGCCTGGATATAGCCCACTCTTCATTCTCTGGCGCCTCCATGGATTACCCCTTGAAAATATCCACTCTCCTCGGCGGAAAGAGCAACTGAACTTTCCCTTGAAGAACTAGCTGCTGAGCCACTCTGACGGCTTGCATGCTCAATACCTTCTCCGCTTGGTGCTCTGGGGAGTAATTGTACACGAACAGACAATCCAAGCAATCGATTTTTACTAGTTCTTTTAGGAAAAGCTAGTGTAGTAGAAAGTGGCTAAGTGTAGCTTATTCTATACAAGCCCTACTCCTTTTCTGGTAGTGCCACCGCTTTGGGCTAAGGGAAGTAACAGCTGAAGAGACTGAGCTGTTCCTCGGGGGCAGCATTAACAAATCAATACTGACACTTCTGATGTTGACAACAGAGCTATGCTTCGTGCTTGAAGGTTCGAGTATTTTCGTGAATCATGGGGTGGAGGGAACAGGGAGCACACTGCATGCCAAACATGCCAGGAAGCCATCCCGTATGGGCTGCTACTGCTACATACTTGCGTAGTAGTGGCAATAATAGGAGCACAGCGACATGCGAAAGTGAAGGGTATGCTTTACTCGGAAAGCCTTGGGCCGCTGTCGGTGATGCTACATAGCCCGTTGTTTGGCGTGGCGACCTGCATCTTTACATACTCGAGTGCTCGCTTTAGTGTAAATGCAGGCTGCCCCAGATGCCTTCATCGTCTGCGACGGCTGTGTGGAGCATGATGGCATGAGAATTTGGTCCATCTCCGTACAATCTAGCCTTGAGGTGTAAAATTTTTGAGCCTCGTTGCTACATATGTTCCTCTCCTCCTACTGCGGATCCCAATAAAGAAATTAGGCGGTGTAATAGTTTCATACTCATGCCGTTCACTTTCACGA